AAACACAGGTGTTGGTTCGTGGGGAGACGGAGCACGAACTTGTGACTGCGTTCCACACTCCAGACAGAAGAAAAGACCATCGTGCGGGTCTCCAAAGTCGGAAGAGCCGCACACGACGCACACAGACATGAAAATGGGCGAAAATCACAGGAAGAGTGGAAAACACTACACGTGGGTGACTTATATTTATTTCCAATAAACGCACCCCGCCCGCCGCCGGTCATCGGCGGCACAATTATTTCGCATTCCAGTCACGCGAGGCGGAACTCGTCAAAAAAACGAGCGAGAGAGGCAAAAACAAAGCTACCACCACTCTCTCCTTCCTCCTGTAGGTGAGTGAGTCCCGGACTGTGGCGGGGAGTAGTCCCGTGGTATACATAGGCGTAAATCCAAAGTTGAACTAGGGCGTTTACGTACTCGGGGTATATACTTGTAGGCTTTGTCGGGTTTTGAGTCGCAAAATTCTCGTCCTACTTCCCGACAGTGCCTGGAGGTATATAACTCTCAACTGGGGTGGAAGAGGACTCTACAATGGACACATCACACACTGACCCTTCCACCCAGCTCAGTGAGAGCACCCAGCAGACACAGCAGCACCCACCTCCCCCTCTCTCGGAGCTCAAGATGCCCAACTTTGTCGACGAGAGTCTCCCAAAGGAGACGCTGGAGAGCATGGAGCAGCTCCGTCGCAACGAGGAGCTGTGCGACGTGGAGCTGGTCGTGGATCAGCAGTGTTTCAGAGCCCACAGAGTGGTCCTGGCAGCCTCCAGTATGTACTTTAGAGCCATGTTCTGTCGACAGATGGCCGAGAGCGGACAGCGGAGGGTTGTGATACAGGGCGTCGATTCAGACGCCCTCGCCCTCCTCATAAAGTTTGCCTACACCTGTGCGCTGGAGATAAACGAGGAGAACGCGCAGAGCCTCCTGGCAGCGTCAAACTTTCTCCAGATGCTCCGGGCACGCGAGGCCTGCTGCAAGTTCCTGCAGGACCGGCTGGACTGCTCCGTGTGTCTCGACGTTGCCGACTTTGCCGAGTTCCAATCCTGCCAGGAGCTCCTGGAGGCATCGCTCACCTTCTCCCGTCGAAACTTCACCGAGGTCTCACAGAACGAGCGTTTCGTGCACATCTCCTATGCCCGCATGAAGCACTTTTTGAGTTCCAACGACCTCCATCTCCCGGACGGGGAAGAGGCAGTGTTCACGGCCCTCATAACATGGACCCAGCACAACTTCCCCGAGAGACAGACCCACTTCCAGGAGCTCCTGAACCTCGTCAAACTCCCTCTCCTAGGCCAGGAGTTCTTTGCAGTGGAGGTGGCGGCCAATTCCCTCGTCAGCTCCAATGAGCCGTGCATGAAACTCATCCGCGAGGCTGCACGTGCACTCTATAACACATCCTACCCCGATGGCATGGCCCACCTGTGCCGGCTCCCCACCCAGATCCCAATGAAGTGGTGGCCACGGGAGACCCTGAGAGCCGGCGAAGTCATCCACATTCTAGGTACAGTATCTCTCACAGTCCTCAGTTGTGTGTGCTACCGTAATTCACAAAAACATGGCTGCTTACGGTACTTTTGCACTAGTACATGGTGCATGCATGCTGTGTATATAAATGAGACACATACCTAAACGGCATGCATCAGTCTATGCCATTATGAGTGTCTTGTCAGTGTTGTGTGTGTGTCATCTCTATAATGTAGAGAATAGAGTGGTGTTGGTATAATATATGTGCCATATTTGTGTGTCTTCGTCACATAGTTGGCTCCTGTAAGGAACTCCTAACGTGAAACTCTGCCTACGCCTGCATTGAGATCCCAATTTACTTGGCATGCTCTGAATCAACAACACCGTTATCATAATGTTTAATGCACGGTCGCTAACATGCCTTTTTCACCAGTCATGCAGTTTTCTACCAGCACACACTTTTTGTAGTGTTAGCAAGTTACTCTGAAAATACTCCCAGATTTCCTAAATAGGGGAGTGCGTCCATAGTCCACTGGTCTTGGTATTGAGAAATGACTCTCCGCAATGTATGGCAATTTACTGTGCATACATTGTGTATGTACATATGTGCGGCTATTCAGTAGTGTTTCATTTTTCACAATCCTTCGTTTTGGGTTAGTGTGCTATATATACACATCCTCATTGTGAGTGTATACATATACTGCCTCAGTTGAGTCTCTCAGTATGTAGCTAGACGTGATACGCTCGTTGTCTGTCACACAGGAGGAGTGTCGGAGCACGAAACCCTGGGCAACGTGGAGTGCTACGACCCGGAGACTGATCGCTGGGTTGTCGACGTCATCCCTCAGATGAGGTATCGCCGGAGCGGAGTGGGCGTGGCAGTTCTCCAGGGTCTCCTGTTTGCCATTGGCGGGTACCTGGAGGGCAAGACCAGTACCGATGCAGTGGAGTGCTACAACCCCAGGACCAAGAGGTGCATAATGTAGACACACTGTCATGTTCTGTTGTTTGTCTTTCTAAATCTGCCCTCCATGACTGAGTGGTGATATGTAGATTTTGTCACTTGTCCTAGTGTCATCTGAATTAACTTTGAAGGAAATTCACGTGCAATGTCAACTTGTTCCATTTGAAACTCCCATCATTGTTTGTTGTTCTATACAGACAGACATTTTGAATTTCCCTTCTATAATTCTGTAATTCTGATATCTCTGTGTGCAGGTGGACCCCAGTGGCCCACATGTTGACTCCCCGTATGAACCTGGGTGTGGGGGCAATCCGGGACATGAGAGATGCCGTGACCGGAGTGTCTTTCAATGCCATATACGCCATTGGTGGCTACAGCGGCAAGTCAATTCTGGGGACGGCTGAGAAGTACGACATACAGTTGGACACGTGGACTGAGATTGCACCCATGAAAACCCCTCGTAGGAATGTCGGTGAGTCAATAAATATAAATGTCCTGTACACTGTATGTATTATACCTCGGCAGGAGTGGCAGTGATAGAGAACCTGGTGTACGCAGTGGGAGGAAGCAATCGGGACGACGGGACTCGCTCCAACCTCAACTCCATGGAACGTTACAACCCAGAGAGGGACGAGTGGGAAGACATGCCTCCCATGCACCGCAGTCGAGGGGCAGCCAGCGTGACTGCCCTCAACAACTGTCTGTATGCTGTAGGAGGCTACGACTCAGGTTAGCATACTCTAACTGCAGTGGGTCAGGTCACAGTATGTGTGTGTACTAGAATGGATGTAATACAGTGGAGCGTACGCAAGTTAGAATTAAGTAAACCATTACGGTCGTGCCATATAGATTAATAGTTCTACTAGGTGTGCTTACTTTGCTTGCCCATTTAGTTTTAGGAGCAACAGGTCTGAAAGGCTTACAATTATCCCTCTCTCTCTCTCTCAGGCCAGTGGCTGTGTGAAGTGGAGAGGTTTGACCCGGTGGCCAACCAGTGGAGTCTCATTGCTCCCATGCACCATAGTCGGACCGGTGTGGCTGTCACTGCACTCAGGGGTTAGTGGCAATGCTGGGAAATTTCAAGGAGTTTTTAGAACTGGCAATTAAATTAAATGTTTGTCTGTGATTAGGAATGGAATTATGTAGCTACGTAGTGAAATTTACATACAAACCTTTTTCTGAACGACTTGAGATTGAATATAGGATTTGTCAAGCTGTTTCTGATGTTCACAAATGGTTGGGTTGTCTATCGCTAATTTTTGTTGTCAGTGACAACAAAAAGACCAGCCAAATTTTGGAAACTGGTTAAAGACTGCGTGTGCACATATAATAGTCCACACAACACCCAGTGTTACTGAGAATGACTTTTACTTTCTATTTCTCTACCAGGTGAAGTGTATGCAATCGGTGGCTACAACGGAGTCAAGACAGTGGATGTAGTGGAGAAGTACAATCCAGAGGAGGAGGGGTGGAAGGAAGTTGCTCCTCTTGTGTTTGGCCGGAGCGTCCCCGGCATAGCCGTCGCCCACCTCTGGCCCGTCAAGTCCACCATGAAGAGCTTCTGGGAGCCCGAATCACAACTCTGACTTTCTCTGCCCGCTTTTCTTTTTTTACTACTTCAACTTGTCACACGCCACCCTTCGCAGCAAATATAGATCTAGCGTAATCTTATGTGTGTGTGATTTTGTGTACATTCTCACTCCCATATAGTTCATGTAAACATCCACACACAAAGAAAAAAGCAACAACCACTAACGTTAATGACCTTTGAGCTTTGAGTTCGCTCGCGGGAAATACCCGGGGTAGCGCACGCGGGAAGTGGTCGAAGGCTCGAAGCTCCCACGTACGTGTGTTATACGTCCAGCCCGGTAGACCTCATGTCAGCTATCAACGAAGAAGGAGAAGGCCTCTCTTCTCCGCGGCGACCTACCCACTCCCCTACGCTGCTGCGGAAGGGCATTCCTGGCGAGCGAAAGCCGCTCAAGGAGAAGCTCATAACGTACTATGAGCAGCTCTTCAAGGTTTGCACCGACTCCCTCTTAGCCGTTTCTTCTTATTAGAGCACATCTGTTTTCCTCATGCACCACCGACCAGGGCGAGGATCCCTCGCAGGGGAATCCCCGTTTCTGGGAGGAGTTTTTCCTCCTCAAAGTAAGCTCTCCTAATGGCTGTGTGCTGTGTGTACTGTTGCGCTCCATCGGCAGGTGAACATCCAGTATTTCCAAACGACAATGTCCGAAATGAAAACCTGGGAACTTATTTCGCTGAAGGTATTGAGTATGTATAATATTGAGCCTTGTATATAGCGTTTTCTCTTTCTGCCTTTCCATAGAAATCGCTAAGTCTGCTGTTTGTTCAGTGCTGCACAACGCTTCAGTTGGACGATAATGTCATCAGAAACATCAATGCCCTGCAGGTGAGTATACTACTGTAGATATCTTCACCCCCCACCCCTTCCCTCTCTTCTTTACTCCCTCAAGACACTGTGTGTCCTCCTGCGGTCCACGTTTGATAAGAAACTCAGTGACTCGAGTTTCGACGTGATTGATGTGGTGATAGGATTTGACTCGGCCGAATGCCAGATGAGAGTGAGCGTGGCTTCAAATTGATACTCTCAGAGGATCTCTATGTGATCGTGATGTTAATGAAGCTGTAGTGTAGTGGGGTTCTGTTGATGAATTCTATCAGAAGCCCTGTTGTTTTGTGTGTTTGTTCTTTCACAGAATCTGGTTGAAGCACTGAACAAGTTCCTCGTCCATGACTATCCAGGTATGCACGATCGAGACATAAACAAGGTAGAAAGGCAAGGCAAAGCAAACAAGTGTAGGCATGTGGATCCCGTGTTTGACAGACGCGTTCTCTATTAGTAAACAAGTGTGCTCCCTCTCTCTCCCGTGCTGCAGCCAGCCTCAAGAACCTGTGTCTGCGTCTTCTCCTGGTCATGCTGACCGCCATGGACAACATCAGCCAGAACATGCTGCTGGAGTACGTCATGATGAACAGTGTCTTTGAGACAATCATGCACGTTAGTCCCCCCCACACAACACACCGTCTGAAACAACACGTGATGCGGTGTGTACTTCTTGGCTGTAGCTCCTGTCAGTACCTGATCTCAGGGACCAGCATGGCTACGATGCAGTGGTGGTACTAACGCTTCTGGTCAACTACCGCAAGTATGAGGTACATATAATATACATACTGTAGATGCATCTCTCAGTGCCTTAGCTTTGAGTCTCATGCATATCTTTGTGACCGGTTCCGTTTGTGCAGGCTGCCAACCCGTACGTGATAAAACTGTCGGTTCTTGACGATGAGATTGCTCTGCATGTGAGTTAAGAAACCGAGTAATTGAGAGGTGTGTTAGCCCACTCCGTTTCCCCCAGGGTCTGGGTAGTGTAGTATCCTCAGTACTGACAGAATACAACAAGTAAGACTCTCTAATCTTGTAACAGACCTCGCTCACACACACACTAGTTCTCTCAGGACTTCGTGCTCCCATGTTTCCATCCTCTTATCTTTCCATTCTCTGATACACAGGAAGTATGTTCCGCCCACTGAGGAGCCGGTCGGAATATTTGGTCACATCAGCAGCTTCGTGAGTAACATGCTGGTCCCGGTGGATACCTCGCAGACCAGAGTCAAGATTGACATGGCTGTGCTGCTGGTGCTGTACGAGGCCATCCACCTCAACAGGAACTTCATCACAGTCTTGACTCACGTGAGGAGGGGGAAGAGAGAGAGAGAGAGGGAAGGGGAAGCTGTAATAGGAGAGGAAGAGTGTGCTTAGTTGGACGAGTCTTTTATTGGTGTCACTTTCGGTTCTCTGCAGACTAAGTCACTTTCCAATCCAGTCACCCCCACCACTCCCAACCCCGCCATTGACAGATCCCTCCCACGTGAGAACTTAACCCCTTTACTCCCGTGTCCTCTCTCATGCACGGTGTACGTGTACCACAGTGCCATCTTCACCAACTACACCAGCTGGCAAGCAGCCAACTGGACTCCCCCAGCCAACCAACCTTCTGGGAACTTTCTTTACCTTCTCGTCCATCATTCTCCAGAACATTAAAGGTTTGTACATGCAGAACCCTTTTCCCTTTAATCACCTTCCTCTTTTTGTTTGTTCTCCTCTCTCTCTCTCTCTCTCTCTGCCAGATGATTCATCTGTCACCCATGCACGTCTCTGTCTTGTCATCATCACCTGTATTGTCGAGGTACGTCACTGATCATACAGCTAGCATGTGGCAGGGGACAGTAGCTGTTGAGCTGTCCACACCTCCTCCACACAGGATCAGTTTGCCAACTCATTTCTCCACGACCCCAACATGACATTCCCAGTCACCCTACACAGAGCTGTGAGTGGCCCATACGTTCAGTAATGTTCCAGTAGTGTTGAGAAAAGTTAATGTTTGCTCTCTGTCTTTCAATTTCTGTCTGAAGAGTCTGCTGCACAGAAAGCCGACCAAAGACGGTCTGTCTCACGTTCGTCCTCTGGCATGCTCCCTGCTAGGTGAGCCCCTGTCTTAAGTAGTTCATTTAACGTTTGGAAAGTTTCGAGTGCCGAACGTGTTTCAGATTTGATGGTAGAGTTCATGATCAGTCACATGGCAAAGAACTTCAAGCTCGACCTGTACAGGTCTATATAGTATACACGGCCGCTGAAAGTGTGTGAATTTGGTTTGTGGTGTGCGTAGAAAGTGTCTGGGAGTGGTCCATCGGATGCTGTGCTACCAGAAGCGCTGCAAGATAAGACTCAACTACAACTGGAAGGAGCTGTGGGTCGGTGAGTCACATCGCGTTCTGACCTCCCTCCCTCTGTGTGTCAACTGACACTGAATTCTAATGTACGAAAATGAAGGTCTGCTGAATCTGCTCAAGTTCTTTGCCGCCAGCGAGGAACACCTTCTCCCAAAGCTGAACATCTTTGCGGTTGCAATTGAGGTCAGTGCCCCTTGCTACTATTCTACACATAACAGTACTCTCTATAGTATAGTACATGCAACAGTAACCATTGGCTAGTGGTGCATACAGCATACGTAGTTCTGTCTCCCTCCCACAACAGGTGGTCAAGATCTTCAATCTGTTCATAACCTACGGAGACACCTTCCTGCCCAATCCCAGCACTTACGACGAGCTCTACTATGAACTGATCCGCATGCAGAAGATCTTTGAGGACGTCCACTCAATGGGTGAGGCCTCGACTGAACGCTCATGACACTGCATCTTGTGCATATGTACTTGGCCCAATGTTTAAAGCAGAAGTCCTGCAGACTAAGTGGCCCAATTGGTAAATTGGACTGCCACTTCTTGTTTGGTGACTTTTTCTACATATTGTGTGTTAGTGAATCAATTGATGTGTTCCAATGTGTTAAAGAGCCCTCATTGTTTGGGGTGTTCCATCTCTGCAGCCAAGCGCTACTCCAGTCCAGATGCCCACAGTGAGTTCCACTCGAGTGCCAGCCAGCTCGCCGCGAACCTGGTGAACGTCAGATCAATCTCTGCTCACTTTCACCCTCGCATCAACGCCTGGTCCGCCAGCCATCACGTCACCTCCATAACTCCAGAGCAGGTATATACGCATGTATGAGACTCGCTCTTAGTAATAGTGGAGTGGGGAAGTCTTGTTCACAGAGCAATCTCAGTGGATCTTCTGGCTTCTTGTGAACCTGTATGTTAATAGGCTGCACTAGGGGAATCTAATTTTCACAGAATGAGGCATACCTGAAGAAATCCGGTGCTATTTGCGCGTCACACTGTGCCGGTGTCCACAGATTGTGCTGGGGTTATGTAACGTGTGATTTGCATGACTAATCTCAGGTTCTGGAGGTTGTGAGGAGCAACTACGACACGCTGACTCTGAAACTGCAAGACAACCTGGACCATTTCGACAAGTACGCAGAGAAACTGAACGAAGCAGCTTTCTTCACACAACTGGTGAGGACAGTAAACCGGTTCCTCACACATTGTCTCGTTTCCCTCTCTCCCCCTCATCTCTCTTTCTTCCTCAGCTGCGGTCGGTGACTAACTCAGTAAGAGAGACCGTAGGACTCTCTAGTGTCCAGCAGTTAACTCTTCTCAATGAGTTGGGCTCGACCTCTTGATACCTCCCTCGCCTGCTCTCTCCTCTTTCTCTCCCGTTCTGTCACCACATCCTTTGAATGCTGCAGTATAATACTGTACAACTGGAGTTTTTACATCTGCAGGTAATGATTTTTTTAAGGAAATCATCAAAGTCATGTGGCAGGGTCAACACGTGATGAAATAGCATGATTGGAAATAGCATGATTGGTGACTCTAAAACGCTATAACTCCTTGTTTCTGTTCCTAATGTTTCTCAGCAGTTCCTGAGAGTGGTTTAGTAACGTCTGTGAAAATTCGTCTTCTTCTTGTTTCACTGCCGCTTGGAACTGTTGCTGCAGCTCTTGGAGTCTCGGCAGGTGACCGGTGAAGTCACAGAGATGTTGGAGAACACTCATTGCCTGTAGTAACGAGAGGGGCGAGGGAACTGAGGGGGGAGACAGAGTTAAAGAGAGAGTATTGCCTGTCTGAAAGAAATAGTAATGAGATGGAAGGGGTGCAAAAGATAAGTGTGTGGCTGGTGGTGGTGGTGGTGGACCTGTAAGGCCTTCTCGGTGGGTGAGAGCGTTTCACTGTGGAGTAGCGATGGTACGTGCTGGCACCAGCCATGCTCCTGGACACTGCGGTGCAGTAGACTCTTCAGTTCTTCAGAGTTGTGTATCAGCTGATCCTAAAATATCATAGAGGGACAATTTTTAATCATTCTTTTTTCGTTCTGAGGATGAAAATGTGACAACATGTTACCCATGTGTGCAACATAGCAGGATGGCGGGAATGCACACCATCCTGCAGGTGTATATTTCAGTATATACACACCTGTTCATGTAGTAGGTCAGTGAGCAGAGTAACAATCTTCAACTGGGTGGGCATGGTCCGTTGCTGAAAGTCCAGTCCCAGCTGCATGAGGCCGCGGCACTCCTGGACAAATGCCAGCTGGGGCTGCGTGTTGCCTCTCAGGAGGGCACTCAGAGCAAACAGGCCTCGTCTCTGGACCAGCTCCGGCTCTCCTGACCCGATAAACCCACACAGTAGCTGGAGACCTCCGTAGTCCAACACCTCACTCTGAACGTGGGGGTTGCTGCAGATACAGGTAACAGGGCCAGTAAACCATGCTGTCGTTTGGCAAAATAAACCCAACACTGTCCTGTAGCCATTTCCCATCAGATGTACGCCAGGCATTGGGAAGATGGCTACACAAATAGTAGTAAGTACCTCTGTGTTGCGGCACCGATGACATGGGCAGCACTGCTCCTGACGTCGGGGTGTGTGTGGTTGAGGAGTCTCACCACCACCACCAGCCCTCCGATGGAGTTCAGCTCCTTGGCATTCTCAATGTGGTGGACGTGGTACTCGAGCTCCTCCAGGGCCTGCAGCAGCTCCGGGACGGTCACCGACTTCCTGGCGAGCGTCTTTGTGTGTTGCAGCATCTCTGACAGCTCTCGGTGCATCGGCCTCTCCATCCTTCCACCACCTCCCTCCTGTTGGACCCCTGCAGTCACTACATTCTGCGACGGAGAGGAGGAGCCACCAGAAGCCGGCCGGGAATGAGTAATCATCCCAGGGGGCCTCTTGGGGATTTGGGCATTGTTCTCGTCAATCTTCCTGAGTGCTGCGGCCACGTCTCTGTGAGTCAACATCCGTCGGCGAAGGTTTATGATCCCTCTCCTGTCGCTGTGGCCGTAGTAGTGTGCCCTTCGCTGGTCTCCCTGGAAGAAGAACCCTGGAGAAGGCCCAGTGTCACCTCTCTTCTGGTTTGCTGGAGGAGGTGTTTTAGGCTGTGGTGTTCTTGTTTCAGACCCCCCACCCTTATCGGTCGTTTTCTCGCTCTCCCTATCTGTGGCGACGTCGTCCATAAGTTTCGCCTCGTTTTTACCGGTCTCCATGTTCATTCGGACGTGGAGCCCCGCGGGGATTGCCTGACCTTCCTCCACCGTTTTCCATTCGCGAGTTGGCTCAAAGACGCTGAGCGTTGCTTCCTCTTCGTCCTCAACCTCCAGAGAGAGATCGTCGTCCTCAAAGTCTTCAGAAATGCCATTTTCTTCACAGACACAGACATGGTTACAGCATTGAAGCATCATGACTAGCGATGCCGCCACTATAAGGTAGGCACCTCTAACAGCCATTGTGAAGCCTGTACAAAGAGATGGAAACAGTTTAGGGGTGAGGAAAGCACTGGCTGATAAATAACTTTATACCCACCTTGTTAGGTGTCTCGCTCTGATTGGTCGATCAAAAGCGCGAAAATTTGATTGCGCGCGACGACAACGTGCTTGACCGTATATTGTCAATTCTAAATAGCCGAAAATCAATGATCCATAGTTTTCTAAATTTCTTATCCCCGCCTCGACTTTTGGCGGGAAAGAAGGCAACTGCTCCCGATATCCTATGTAGCCTCGATCTGGCACTTGTCTTAGTGGACCAACAGAGCCGTCCCCTATCCCAGCCAACCTCTGACGAGACGACCGCTGCCCGCGAAGCTTCCCGCCATGCATATCAAGCAGGTAAAGCTTCGACTTCGCCCTTTGACCCCGCTGGCCGCTTACTTTGCGGGCGCTAGCCAGCGTGTCCTTGCATGCAGCAAACCAGACCGCTAGTCTAGCCTGCAGTCTCCCGAAGGGACACGCGCGTCCATGAATGTGTTTTGCAAACCGGGCTGCTGGAATGAGAAAGCCACACCCACCTAATAATGTATGCTACTCTGGTGATTCCCCTAATGAAGGTCATTCTTCACGGGTTTCGGAGCTACCGAGACCAGACAGTCATCGAACCCTTCAGTCCCAAAAACAATGTCGTCGGTGAGTGTGTGTGCTGGAATAGAGTGAACACTTTTTACTGCTCCCCTTTTATTTTGTACAGTCGGGAGGAATGGCTCTGGAAAAAGCAATTTCTTCTACGGTATGTGTCATGAATCTTTTAAATTTATGCGCCTGTGTGTGTCTCTGTTTTAGCTATTCAGTTTGTCTTGAGTGATGAGTTCAGTCACATGCGCCCAGAGGAGAGACAACAGCTGCTGCACGTGAGCTACACTAACACCCTTACACCCCACTCACCCCTCCCTCTTCTTTTCCTTCTATATACCGTTGCAGGAGGGTACAGGACCACGGGTTGTGTCTGCTTATGTTGAGATCATCTTTGACAACAGTGACAATAGGATACCGGTGAGAGAATCACTCGCATCACACCACCATCACTGTCCACGCACACACACACACACTCCCCACAGATTGATAGGGAGGAGGTCTCAGTGCGTAGAGTGATAGGAGCCAAGAAGGACTCATACTATCTCGACAAGAAACACGTGACGTGAGTAATATTTTCACACTCCTGCTGGAAGGATTGCTACTGGGGTGTTGTGCAGTAAGAGTGATGTGATGAATCTACTGGAGAGTGCAGGATTCTCCCGAAGCAACCCCTACTACATTGTCAAACAGGGAAAGGTAGGAAAACAAGTAATAGCTGCCCTGGTATATGCAGCCTGTCAAGGGTTCATGGCCCTCCCAGGACAGCTCTCTTTATGATTATTTTGTGTGATATGTGTACTTGTTAACACCCCATGATTCACACAAGATTGAAAGGTTTTGCATGGGTAAGTGTGTGTCTCTCCACCCACCCACACACAGATCAACCAGCTGGCTCTGGCGCCCGACTCACAGAGACTGAAGCTACTGAGAGAGGTAGCCGGTACCAGAGTCTACGACGAGAGGAAAGAGGAGAGTAAAACCATCCTCAAAGACACTGGTACATGTGCACAGTACTTATACCGTGTGTGTACAACACGTATGTACCTCCCAACTGTGGAACTATTGAACACACATTTTCTCCGTAAAATTCTGATCTGCTACCAAAGTGAAATTCAATGGTATGCAGTCCAAGTCATGAAAGACACCACTGCGTGTGTTGTACAGAGGCCAAGAGGGAGAAGATCGAGGAGATGCTGGGCTACATAGAGGAGCGACTGGCCACTCTGGAGGAGGAGAAGGAGGAGCTAAGGGCCTACCAGAACTTGGACAAGATGCGACGCTCCCTCGAGTACACCATCCACGACAAGGAGCTACGAGACACTCGCAGCAAGCTGGAACAGGTACGTACACATGATACACTGCAATTTTAATGGTTGGTGTACACACTAGTTTGTAGAGGATCAACAGATTGATAAGACTATATGATTTAGATATGGTTGCCTGTGATTATGCTGTGCCCATGGATAAGCGTGGGTGTTCATATAATCTTTCTGAAGTGCTGGAGACAGGTTTGCCCAGGTCGTTTCACCCCCAGACTGCGCAGGTGTTCTTTCAGCCACTGCTCACTGCAGCCACTCCCACGAAACCGCTCCTCCAGTCTTATCAGGCTCTCCCCCTGCCTCACCAGTGACCTGGCCTTCTGCTTGTGCAGCCCCAGACTCTCGCTCAACTGGTGAGTGTCGTCAGACAACTGCCAGCGCTGGACGAGGTCCTCGGTGGATACCAGCCCCAACTGGCTCATCTGGGCAGAGAGCGGCGTCTGTGTAAACATTCTCCTGAGTGTCACGGCGTCGCTGAGAGCTCTGTGCGGTTGGCCGTCTGGGTGCGATTCCTCCGCAGTAGGGAAATAGACAGACTGTAGCTCTGAGACTGAGAGTTTTGTGCTACCTCGTAGGACTGGGTCCCCGGCAGTCTTCAACTGCTGACACAGGACGTGTGTGTCGGCAAACTGCAAGTTCATGTCTCTGAACTTCGGCTCGCAGTGACTCCTCTTAACCTCTGTCACTAGCAGTGGGAAGTCGAAGGCTATTCCTCCATGTGCTACCAGTACGGTCTGGTACGATCTCTGCTTCAGTCTCTCCACCTCCTTCGCTCTCTCTCCCAGCCAATCAAACATCTCCTCCAGGACCTCTCCCACCGGTCTCTCGTGGGCGAGTGACTCCCTGTCGATTCCGTGCTTCAGCCACGCCCCCTCCTGGATCTCGGAGCTGCACCGACACAAGGAGGAGTAGTGAGCTGCTCCGAGTCTTTCAGCATCGCCTGGCTCCAGCCCTAGGTTCTCTGTCATCACCACCGCTGCCACCTCGATCATCTGGTCCCTGATAGCACTGCCTCCAGACCCCTCACAGTCATAGAAGAAGTACAGGCAGGAGCTGCCTTCTCTACTGCGGGCCTCTCTGCTTTCTGTGGCTCCTGCTGCCATTATGTCTACCTTACAGAAGACTGAGAGAAAGAAGGGAGAGAGAAAGAGAGGGAAGCTCTTGACAACTTGTTTATCTACCATGCATGTGCCACGCCCACTTTTATTAAAGTGTAGCCTATGAGACTTGCTGACCTGGTGTACAGGAGGTTGGGTCAGTCCAGGACCAATGCTAGCCCCGTGAGCTTCCTGCCCACCCTGGCTCTCCTCACAGTAGACACATCTCTCGTGGTTGAAGACTGCGAGTACTGAGCCGTGTCTAGTGTCAAGTCCGTACACTGTGCATATTCGTTGTGAATGATCTGTGTCATCGCCTATTTGTTGGGTCTGTGCATTGTACATAGCGGTATTCATACCTATCATTGCGTGAATACTTTATCTGCGGTGTCACTGCATACCATTCATGCCGGCCGGCGTATAGTGTGTACATTGTCCTGTTGCTAGTGCTTGCATAGCTGCAACGAGTACTCCCATGTCTGTCTGTGTGTGTGTGTATCTTCCAAATATGTGGAGGTGATTCCCCGGGCATCACTATAACATTGATCACGGAAATGTTGTGTGACATGAGCACAATGACTGTGTGGTGTGGGTGGGTGGGGCTCAAACTGTTGTGAGTGATGAGTTTTGCTCTTAACGTTAGCTCCTGATTTGCTTTCTCACACACACGCACAGCTGGAGGATGCTCGTAAAGGCAGCAAGGAGGGGTCAAGAGAGAGGAACGAAAAAATTGCAGCCGCTCGGTCGAAAATAGAGGTAAAACTTCCCCACAGGTGACTCCCACCACTGTTGACTGCCCTCCCTCCCTCCCTGTCACAGTCTCTAGAGAGGGAGGTGAAGGAGCTTGAGGTATCCCTGCATACCCTCCAGTCAGAGAGGCAGCAGTTGGCCGAGGACGACCAGGAGATGATCAGACAGAGGGCCAAGCTGGAGTTTGACGTCAAGGACCTGGAGGAGAGCCTCGTGGACGACAAGAAATCCAAGGTACTGTATCTGTGTGAACACAACACAGTAGGTATAGTGACTACATACATAGTGCTGTGGATGTTATTCAGGCCTTAGTCCTTTATGTATATATGTTTCTCATGAGGTACGTATAGTATATATGAATCAGGGAGTGCATGAGGTACAATATAGTATATATGAATCAGGGAGTGCATGAGGTACAATATAGTATATATGAATCAGGGAGTGCATGAGGTACATATAGTACATATATATATATATATGAATCAGGGAGTGTAAACACAAGGCAAGTGCATATCAACTACACCTATGTGGGACTCAAACGCAATCAAACTGGAAGGCATAGTTTTGGAGGATATGTGCAATAGGCTTTGCAGGTGTATCGTAGTGTGTGATGGGAGTATTGGTGTGTGTTGAACTATTCAGGAGAGCTGTCAGCGAGAACTGACCCAGCTTGGGAAGACGGTCGAGAAACGACAGAAGGAGCTCGGCAGACTCCTCCCCCGCTACACACGGCAAAAGACGGAGGAAGAACAGCTCAACACTCGGCTGAAGGCCTGCGAACAGCGACGCTCGGAACTCTTCGCCAAGCAGGGCCGCGGACAGCAATTTGCCAACGTTGACGAGAGGGACGTGTGGATCAGGAGGGAGGCAGGGTCGTTGTCAGAGTCTCTGGAGAACAAGAAGAGACAGTTGGCCCAGCTGCACCAGGACGTGGAGCAGAGCATGGCCAAGGTGAAACGACAGGAGCGGGACATCAAGGTACATATACATATACCGTGCTGGTTGCGTGGACCTGTTGAGAGTGATTGGTGTGTAACGACAGGAGCGTGGGGAGGATCTGGAGCAGAGGAGAGAGGCCATCGACCGAGCCAACCGAGAGCACGCACAGCTGAAGCTGAGGAGGGATGACCTCACCAACGAGAGAAAGTTAGTATTTCACCAGCATTCTCAGAACACAGACTCCCTGCCGTACAGTATGAAAATGTGTACAGTTTCTATTGCTGGGTATTGTACCTCTCTCTTGTGTGCGGCAGAGAGCTGTGGCGAAGGGAGGCGGGGATTGACCAGACCATCCAGAACGCCAGAGACGAACTCGCCAAATGTGAACGAAACCTTCGAGGCACCATAGGAAAGGTAAACACCAGTCTATCAACAGACGCTCGACTAACACTGCCATATCTGTGTGCGTGTTGTTGTGTGGTGTGTGTGCAGGCAGTTAACAGGGGGCTGGACTCAGTCAAGAGGGTAGTGGAGGAGAAGCAGATGAGCGGAGTCTACGGCCCTCTTCTAGAGAACTTCACGTGCGAACCTCGTGTCTTTACTGCCGTTGAGGTCACAGCTGGAAATAGGTCTGTCTCAAACATTTAGTCAGTAAACATTCCCCCAAAACATTTTGGAAAACAAATTGTACCATTACTGCCATAGGGACCGTGCATGGACATCACACGTGTAGTGTCTTACTTACTAAGTGAAGATACATACTGTAGATATGTGTATATGTTATCCATGATCTTCTCTTGTCTGTCTTGCAGATTGTTCCATGTGATAGTGGACAATGACCGCACGGCCTCCCAGATCCTCTCCATCATGAACAAACAGAAACTGCCCGGAGAGGTCACCTTCCTGCCGCTCAACAAACTCAACCCTCCCCGCATGGAGTATCCCAACGCCAAGAACGTACGTATATATGTATTAGAACCATGGAGGTTTGTTTGGGCTACAGTGGAACATCTCTAATTGGGACACCAATGGTACAAAAAGACAGTGTGTGGATATTAGTGAGGTGTCCTTATTTCAAGCACAACTAACTATTCAAAAGTTGTTGCTATTAAGAGAATTTCTTAGAGAGGGGCTCGACTGTGTGTGGAGGTTGGTATCTGTCTGTGTGTTAGGATGCGATTCCGATGGTGGAGCAGATGAAGTTCAACCCCATGTTCCAGCCAGCCATGAGACAGGTATTTGGCCGGACGCTCATCTGCAGGGACATTGACAGAGCCTCGCACTTTGCCAAGAATTCCAACCACGACTGTGTCACCCTTGATGGTACAATTTGGACTACCCATCTCCTCTCTTTTTGAGCTTTTCCTTTCTTTACTCATCCTCTTCCCCCTCCTCTCTTCATCCTCTTCTTCTCCCTTCTTTGTCCTTCCTCACTATTTTACCACCTTACCTTTTTTACCTGTCGTCGTATGTTCCAGGTGACCAAGTGAGCCACAAGGGAACGCTGACTGGAGGCTACTATGACACGAGGCGGTCTCGACTCGAAATGCACCGCCAGATGATGGAGCAGAGGGAGAGGCTGGAGGCAGCCGAGAACGAGAGATCTCAACTCAGACACCAGCTGGACCATATCCTCTCTTTCACACACGCCATCTCTTTCCTCCCTTATCCCTCCCTTCTCATATTGTCCGGTTGATTTCCTTGACTCCAGAGAGCACAGCTGGAGGGTAAAGTCACTCAGGTCCTAGGAGACCTCCAGAAGACTGAAACGAAGCAGATACAACTCAAGTACGTAACTGTTCTCTGTCAACTAGTATTGTTGAGTGACGGGCTTCATTTCCCAGGGAGACTTTTGAGCGTCAGAAGATGGACATCAGGACCATTACGAAGGAGCTTCAGGCAAACAGGAGGGCACTAGAACCAAAGGTAGTTTCACACACCAAGCTTGCTCTGACATCTCTCTCTCTCTCTCTCTCTCCCTGCATTAAATAGGAGCAGTCACTGGCATCACAGGAGACTGACATCCAGTCAATGGAAGGAGCTCTGGGGACCCTCACAGCTGAGCTGGGCACTGAACTCCTCTCTCAACTCAACTCTGGAGAACAATCTGAGGTATGTACAACTTGGCACAGAGGCATACACACCTGCCTATTAGACCTATTACACATGAAACTGATAGCAAAGACCCTCTTCTGTTGTATTGTGAGACATACACACCTGCCTATTAGACTTATTACACATGAAACTGATAGCAAAGACCCTCTTCTGTTGTATTGTGAGACATACACACATGCCTATTAGACTTATTACACATGAAACTGATAGCAAAGACCCTCTTCTGTTGTATTGTGAGACATACACACCTGCCTATTAGACTTATTACACATGAAACTGATAGCAAAGACCCTCTTCTGTTGTATTGTGAGACATACACACATGCCTATTAGACATACATACTTTGAAACTGATAGCAAAGACCCTCTTCCGTTGTGTTGTATGACTTCTGTTGGCCCCTATCGTTATGCATGTGACTGTAGTGTTGCGTACGTACGTATGCACAGGTGGAGAGATTGGGGGAAGAGGTTCAGACTCTACAACAGCAGCTAAAAGAGTGTCTCAGAGAGAGAACAGAGGTACTTTGTTCTACGTGACATCTCCCTGTCATAGTCCCATACATCTATAGTATTGTCAGCATCATAGTCCAATGCACCTACATTTGTAACTGCCCATCCATATGAATACTGTACTTAGTATACAATGAAGCCTTCTACTAACATCACCAAGTGTTTCGCAGTGTTCAATATTTAGCAGTGCTGTATTAGTCGGCATATTATAACGTAGTACCAAGAAGGATCAGGTTGTGGATAAAGTTTCTGCTTTCATTATGCTGCCAGCAGTCACATTGCCAACTACACTCCACCCACCCACGTTGTGCAGTTGGAGACTGAGAAGAACAAGCTGGAGAACCTGCTGTCCAGCAACCTCCTGCGCAGGAAGGAGCAGCTGGTGCAGGAGATGGAGGAGCTCTCGATGGCCGACCATCGCCAGGAACTGGAGATGCAGACTGCCGAGCTGGAGCATCTCTGTACCACCATCAACACCACTCGCTCACGACTGGAAGGTCAGACACCACTCTTGGGCCAGGCGAGCAAATCCAAGGCCTGCTTAGTCGTCTAAATTTCAACTTTTCTCTCCAACACTATCGCACTGACAGTCCACATGCTCGAACATCCATATAGGCTTGCTTTCATTAATTACTTGCCGAATATCGTTCTAGTTCTCAGAGTGAAAAAAGGGTTTGTGAGATTGGTGAGGGTGTGAGAGAGTGTGCTGGTGGTTTATTGCAGAGGTGGTGGCAAGTGTGGATGATCACGGTAAGAAGATCAAGGAGAAAGAGACGGCTCTGGACAAGTGGAAAACCATGGAGAGAGAGCAGCTGGACTCCATCGAGGAAGAGGCCAAGGCCATGGAGAAACTGGCCAACAAACGCAGCCTCCTCCTCAAGAAGGTTCATCGCACACTCACTTTTAAAAATCGTCACAGATTTTGAAGCTTTAGTATTTGGGGATAACAGTACTAGTCTCGTCCCCAGGCCTTCTCTCTCACGTGGAAGGCCTGGGAACGAGGCTACGTAGATCACCGTACTCCGGGAAAACCACACGACACGATTCACTGCCAGTGTTTTGTTTCTCGTAGAAAGAGGAGAGTATGCGTAAGATCAGGGAACTTGGTTCACTGCCTGCAGACGCCTTTGATAAGTACCAGGGGCTGCCCCTCAGTCAGGTGAGAAATTGGTATATCGCCGCACCTGCTGTGGATATTTCATATCTGTGTGTGTGTGTGTGTGTGTGTGTGTGTGCAGCTGTGGAAGAAATTGCACAAATGCAACACGGAGCTAAAGAAGTACAGCCACGTAAACAAGAAGGCCCTCGAGCAGTTTGTCAATTTCTCGGAGCGGAAGGAGACGCTCACGTCTCGCAAGGAGCAGCTGGACCGAGACTACCAGAGCATCATAGACCTCATGGACGTTCTGGAGCAGCGCAAGTACGAGGCCATCCAATTCACCTTTAAACAGGTATATACAAGTACACTGTATGCAGGGATTCGGGGGGGGGTAGGTATCCAGGGCAATCTTCTGAGGGGGGCACAACTTCATCATAGGGCTGAAGGGGGGAGTTTCAGGGTGGGTTGTTGCCTCACTTGAACTCCAGGGAATCACAGTTGTGAGCCTGCTCTGTGTTCCCACTGTGGATTAACTGTTGTCCTCTGTATTGGTGCGAATGAGTCACAGTGCTGGGATACACCATCCATCCATCACCCCCCTGTGTGTGTATTAGGTAAAGTAGCAGGAAGTGGGCCCAAACATGTCTGGTCTAGTACCAGCCACTGCCCTACCACACACAATGACCTGCTCATCTGTTGGAACAACATTCCTCGCATACCTGAAGCTTTCTCTACGCCATACCCTCTATGTGTGTGATTCACTGTGTTGTCAACAGCTGTATGAATAATGATAATATTGGGTTCTGCAGGTATCCAAGAACTTTAGTGATGTCTTTCAAGAGCTGGTGCCCAACGGGAAGGGACAGCTAGTCATGAAAAGAGCCGAAGAGGTGACTGGTCTTAGCACATATAACTGTGGGATATTACATATGTATGGGGGTGTGTGGTGTATTGAATGCTCTGTCTGTGTGTTGCAGCTAGTGCCGTCGGCAGACACAGAGGACGAGGATAGTCTTAGACCGAGTGGCAGTGGGAGGGGACCGTCTGTTGACGAGCATTTCACTGGGGTCTCCATCAGGGTAAGCCCCACTCCTATCGCCCACCCTCCCTTTCTCTTTTCCCCCTCCTCTCTCACCTATATCTCCTCCTTCTCTCACTCTGCCCCTCCCTTCACCACCTGCTGGATCATAATCCCTCTCCCCTCGACACCCTCCACCCTGCAGGTGTCATTCACTGGTGTGGCGTCAGAGACCAAGGAGCTCCAGCAGTTGTCTGGAGGACAGAAGAGTCTCGTTGCTCTCACGCTCATCTTTGCCATCCAGAAGTGTGACCCGGCCCCGTTTTACCTGTTTGACGAGATTGACCAGGCCTTGGACTCCCACCACCGCCACTCTGTAGCTGGTCAGTGAGCCTTGTTACACCTCATAATAGAAACTCTATATACCACCTTTAAAATTAGACAAGAATCTTCGTGGTGGCTGAAGTTACTAGTGAATTTTTCCTTCAACGCTAGAATGAAACGCTCATGTTGTAGATGGAAGTGGTAGCTTCTCTGCATGCATTGTAGTGAATTCAGTTTTTGCTCAGTTTTGCCATATTATTTACACCCTGCAGTATACACACATTTGTATGTCAGAGAGGCCCATTCTGTCTCCACCAATGCAGCCATGATCCACAGACTGGCGGACAATGCCCAGTTCATCACGACGACCTTCAGACCCGAGCTGGTGGAGGTGGCAGACAAGTGCTACGGAGTCAAGTTCCAGAACAAAGTCAGTCACATCAACGCAGTCAGCAAAGAGGCCGCCAAGGATTTCATCGAACAAGAAACGGCCGATAAATAGGGGGCTGGACCTCGAAATAGGTTCTGTATTATCTGGCCACGAATAAACCAACAACAGCAAAACATTATACCAATCCTCTCTCTCTCTCCTGTATTCCACTAGGTTTTATCATTCTATTTGATGCCACCAGCCACACAACTGTTATTTTGGGCATCTCTCTCTCTCTCACTCTCAGTTTCTCTCTCCTTCATACGCCCTCCCCACCACCCTTGTTATATGCCACACTACTACATACATACCATCACCAACCACCACCCCACTGTTGTGCTAAAACCTGTCAACTCTGTACAGTGGTTATTATCACCTCTAAAGTATATGGTCCATCTTATGTTCAAGATGTTGTAATGCATTGCCACTCAAGAATATCGTATTTTTACATTCTTTTTTCTTTATGCGTGTGCTGACCGACATTAGACTAGCTTGAGAGTAGCAGATCTATGTGCGCGTTTACGTGCTGGATGACTGAGATTATCATAGCTACTAAGACAACCTGTGTATGTCTATGTGCAGAGAAGCTGTGAAGTATTTGCGCTCCAAATGAGTCCGTTAGCTGAGCATTCCAGTACCACTGTGTGCCGTGTTGGAGCTCAGAAGCTATAGGGGTTGAGATTCCTTGTCAATTGGCTGTACCATGCAGTGATGCAGTGCCTAACAACTGTGGCACTTTCGTCTCCAGCCCTGCCCCCAGGGCTGGCTGGTACATGCCTCCCCGTGCCAGGATTCACACTGTACAAGTCTCCCAGCAGAATGCTCGAGCTGCTCAATCGGTGTAGGGTATTGGCTGGCCAGTCCCACAGTACCACACAGTCTGCAGTTTGCAAGCTCCTGGACATGAACTAGAACTTTTACTAGGAGTAAAGCAAAAGAGAGAAGTGTCTGGCTAGCTGTGTAGCGTTTTGGAGAGGTCAAGTAGTGAGCTGAATGGAGAAGAGAAGGGGCATGCAGTCCCTGCTGCAGGTGCTCACTGCTGTCCTGCTTGTGTGTGGCAGAGGAACTCATGGAATATCTCAAGCTCAGACAATCACGCCCAGCGGCTCTGGTTCTGGCGTAGTTGGTTCTGGTGTCAGCGGCTCTGGCTCTGGAGTCAGCGGCTCAGGAATGCCAGGTACATGACATAGATACCTCCGAAAAGGACCCTCCGGACCTCTCATAAGGGACACTTGGTGTATTATACTATCTCCGAATATAAATATAACGCCTCTGAATAAAAGACACGTACAATATCCCCAAAGGTGTCCCTTTTTCAGAGGTTTCACTGTATATATCTAATGGAGGACTCGCCGACCGTGTCCCTTTTTCAGAGGTTTCACTGTATATATCTAATGGAGGACTCGCCGACCGTGTCCCTTTTTCAGAGGTTTCACTGTATATATCTAATGGAGGACTCGCCGACCGTGTCCCTTTTTCAGAGGTTTCACTGTATATATCTAATGGAGGACTCGCCGACCAAGCACACTGCATATTATACTTATATTTATACACAGGTTGCATCTCTGCTGGGTTTTGCACCTGCTGTGTCCCAAGTGCCGATCAGTCGTGTGTTATCAACGGTGGAGAGGTTGATATGTGCTCGTGTGATGTTGGATGCTTCGAGAGGGACACATGCTGTTTCGACATCACTGAGGTCCCTTGTCTCCCAGGTTAGTAAGCAGCACCTAGCAGCAGCAATGTGCCGATCAAGCGGACTTCTAACACCGATGGCAAATGGCCTGTTACACCTGAGTGAGACACACGGCTTCTCGTGTCTGTGTGCTGGTAACCCTGGAATGCGGGGCATTCGATGTATTATTTGGGCTGCGTCGTGTGGTGCCAGTGTGTGATTACCTCTTGTAATGGGACCGCTATTATATTCCTCTCACAGTGTAGCTGTGTATTTACCATCAACACTTTTGTTTTCCCGTTTCACTCTCACTGGCTTTCCTTTACAGACATTTTCGTGGAGTTTTCTCCCAACACCTACACCGTCACTGAAGGTACCGATGACTATGTGAACGTCACTGTGAGAGCCACTGGGTTCCCTGGACCGTCATTTGACGTGGACAGTATCACCATCCTTCTCACAACTGAGAGTGGATCAGCGGAAGGCAAGCAGCAGATTTCACTCATTATAACGTGTATTGAATTGGCCCTGGTGAAACCTGTTTGTTTACAGCTGGGACTGATTTCGAGGGGGTCATCCGGTCTCTCAGTTTCTCGTCCGACGGGGAATGGGTGGTGATGATTCCCATCCTTGACAACAGCCCCGTGGAACTCACAGAGTTTTTCTCTGTCAACCTCGCCACAAACAACCCCTTCGTTGTTTTCAACAACAACGTGTCCTCTGTAGAGATCAGAGACAACGACGGTATGGCCTTCTCTTACTCTTCTGTGCATCCGGGTACCTTGTCTGTTCTGTGCAGTTCTCCTTGTGGACCTGGATCAACCAGAGGACACTCCGGAGAGCAACGGAACTGCTGAAGTGTGTGTGTCTGTAGTCAGTGGAGTCCTGCAGGCTGGCCTAGAGGTGATGCTCTCACTAGCGTCCGTCCCTGTGGACCAAGAGGGTAAATGATTCTACCCTAGTACTGCAGCCTCCTATAATACTTTCACTTTTTGTGTTTAGATGCGGATGATTTTGCATCTGGTCCACTGCAAGTGACCATCGCCAGTGGAGATACAACTCAGTGTGTAGAATTTCCCATCAGAATGGACAACTTGATCGAGGGACCCGAAGTCTTTAGTCTCCATATCATCTCCATTACCATCGATCCGCGTACAGTATCCATACTGATACTGTATCGCACCATAGTAATCCTGGATTCAACTGGTAAACACACACTTCAGCAATAGACAACTGCAGGGCCCACTGACTCGCTCTCTCTCTCTCTTTCTCTTCAGTGGGAACCATCTCTGTGGACCCACCACAGCCAGTGGCTGTAGTAGAACAGACCGGGACAGTCGAGGTGTGTGCAGTCATTGGAGGTGCTGAACTGGAGAGGGATGTGATAGTCATGTTAGAAACAACTCCACTCACTGCAACAGGTGCTACAGCTACCATATATTTCTCATGCATGAAACTCTAGCTTTGCCTCTTGTTCTATTTGACAGACCCAGATGACTACAGTGGTGGTGTGTTTAACCTAACATTTGGACGGAACACCAACAGGACATGTGCCGACATCACTATTGCTGTGGACGACATCTTTGAGGACGACGAGGTCTTTGGTGTGTCCGTGTTCTCTGATGATTCAGCCATTCAGCCTGGCTCTGCAACAAATGTCTCTGTTATCATTCTGGACGAAGCTCGTGAGTCAAAGAAGAACTTTTTACCTCTGCATTTTTTACAGTGATCTGTAAAAAATGATGGCTCAAGTCTGGAAAAATTAATGTCGTTTTCACCATCCTTATGTCCAATCTGCAGAAATTTCATTTGATTTTACAAACATCATTGGAGTGTACCTGGTACAAGAGAGTGATGGTGCCGTTACAGTATGTGTGGGGATCACAGGAGGCACTCTTGACCGAGAAGTCGTGCTCATGTTAAACACCTCAGGACAGACTGCCCTGGAAGGAAGTAAGGCTTTCAAGAGCTCCACTACACTTAGTATAGTACTGTTTTGAATGAACGACTCCATTTTGCTCTCCTCTGCAGTTGACTACGGTTCAGTGGCAACAGCGCTCGTCTTTGCCGCTGGCGAGAGTGTGGTGTGTGCTGACATACCACTCACCCAAGACCAGGTGGTGGAAACTCCCGAGACCTTCATAGTGATCCTATCGTCCTCCGATCCAGACGTTGTGTTTGTAAGAGACGAGGCCACTGTTAACATCGTTGACTCTACACGTAAGCTCCTGCAGTATATACATCAGTTGTATGACGCGGTATGACATAACACACTGCTGTCAAATTTACACAGAATTCGTGCTGGAATTTGTGCCAGTCGACTACAGAGTACAAGAGTCCAATGGATCTGTAGAAGTCTGCGTGGCTCAGACTTCATCTCCTCCCGTCCAGTTTGCAAGAGATGTCCCTCTCCTTTTCAACACCTTTAACGGCATGGCTTCTGGTTAGTTGCAAAGCATGTAAAGTACGAATAGTTTACCCCATGACCTCCTCTCCATACAGCTCCAATGGATTTCACTGCAGTGGTGAACGAAATGGTTGACTTCCCCTCCACCAGTTGCCTCACAATAACCATCATTGATGATGGTGTAGTTGAGCCTGACGAGTCCTTCACTGTGGCAGTGACCTCCAGCGACCCAGCAGTCATTCTGGGAGACGATGTGGCTACAGTCACTATCGCAGATGTCGAGGCTCCAATAGGAATAGAGTTTCCACTTTATGAAGTCGGAGAAGCTGATGGTTTTCAGGAGGTGTGTGTGGTGGCCAACGGTCTACTGAATCAGGACGTACAGCTTTTTCTATTGTCACGAGATGTCTCCACTACCTCTGGAACTGGTGGTCAGTAATAGCTTCCCTAGCCCACTATAATATACACATGTTTGAAAGTTCGGTTTGTGTCCGTTTTAGGTAACAGTGACGACTTTGTGGCGGTGTCTGAGCCCTTGGTCCTTGTGGCTGGCAGCAATCCGAGGACCTGTGTAAACATAACAATCAATGATGACGCATTCGATGAAATAAGCGAAGAGACATTTGTAATTGATTTGACTCTTTTAACTTCCATGCCGATATTCAGGAACACGACTGAAGTAGTTATCCGGGATGATGGTGAGCTGGAATTGTCAGTAGCAAAGAAGACAAAATGAGTTTCTTCTGATTACAGATGAGGTCGAGGTAGGGTTCAGCCCTCAGGAGTACACAGTCAGTGAAGGGTTAAACACTGCTGTCACAATCTGTGTCAGCCTCAATGGACTTCTCCAGAGAGATGGAGTGACTGTCCGTGTTACTACCTCTGACGTAACAGCTATGAGTAAGCCTCCAGTGTACATCCCTAGGCTCCAGGCTGTAATAATCCCTCTGCAGGTGGATCCGATTACACAAGTCTCAACCAGACCCTCGTCTTTAACTCTGGGAGCCAGCAAATGTGTGTGGACATAGGCATTCTGGATGACTCTGTCACCGAACAGACAGAGGTGTTCTCTATTAGCCTGGAGAGCGTGAGTGGAGAAGGAATCTTCAACCAGTCGGCCATGGTGTCCATCCTGGATGACGGTGAATGCACGCTGCTCTCTCAACAGCTGGTTTGATCCTATCACATGGTTTTTTCTCTCCCCACAGATATTGTGTTTGAATTCACAAATATACCATTTACGGGTGTGTACATCTTGTCGGAGAGCTTTGGGTTTGGTGAGATTTGTGTGGGGACAATGGGAATCCTGAGTCGTGAGGTCATTGTCACACTAAACACATCGGACGTGACTGCCACCAGTCCTGGTAAGAAATCCTCCATCCTCCATGTCTTCTGATTTACTCGTCACACACAATTTGCCCTGCATGCAGACGACTACACTTCAACCACAGTGGACCTTGTGTTCAGTATGAGCACGACCCAGATTTGCATCAACATAGCACTGGTGGAAGACCTGACTGTTGAGAGTGTGGAGGAATTCAGTGTGAGACTGAGTTCAAGTGACCTAGCTGTCTCGTTTGCAATGGAAGAGGCCCAAGTCTTCATTAGTGATGCAACCAGTAAGTGTACAGCAACGGGGCTACGGTGACAGTTTTGATACAACTTCAAACCTGCAGCTTTTGTACTGGGATTTATGCCAGTCGACTACAGAGTACAAGAGTCCAGTGGATCTGTAGAAGTCTGCGTGGCTCAGACTTCATCTCCTCCCGTCCAGTTTGCAAGAGATGTCCCTCTCCTTTTCAACACCTTTAACGGCATGGCTTCTGGTTAGTTGCAAAGCATGTAAAGTATGAATAGTTTACCCCATGACCTCCTCTCCATACAGCTCCAATGGATTTCACTGCAGTGGTGAACGAAATGGTTGACTTCCCCTCCACCAGTTGCCTCACAATAACCATCATTGATGATGGTGTAGTTGAGCCTGACGAATCATTTACTGTGGCAGTGACCTCCAACGACCCAGCAGTCATTCTGGGAGACGATGTGGCTACAGTCACTATCGCAGATGTCGAGGCTCCAATAGGAATAGAGTTTCCACTTTATGAAGTCGGAGAGGCTGATGGTTTTCAGGAGGTGTGTGTCGTGGCCAACGGTGCACTGAGTCAGGATGTACAGGTGGTTCTACGGTCGCAAGACATCTCTGCTAATGCTGGACCCAACGGTGAGAGTGCCATACAAGACCTGATACACTAACTATCTTGAATTTTGGTTGAAAAATGTAGGTGACTATGTGGCAGTTGAAAGTTTCCTTACTCTCATGGCTGGTAGTAGCCCCAGGGCCTGTGTGAATGTGGGAATCACGAGCGACCTAGCTGACGAAATAAACGAGAGGTTCAGGATCAATATGGCCGTTGTCGGCAGTCTCTGGCCAACATTTAGGACCACAACGGAAGTAGTCATCAATGATGATGGTGGGTTGGACAAAATTGCTTGCCGTGTGTGACCCAAAACGTGATTTGTTTGTTTGTTTGCAGATGTGGTTCAGGTTGGCTTTGATCCACAGGAGTACACTGCCACTGAGGGATTAGATGACACTGTCAGAGTGTGTGTCAGTCTTGACAGACCTCTGCAGAGGGACGGAGTTATGGTCCAGGTCAGCACTGCTGATGGGAGCGCTCAAGGTAAGCCTCCCCCAGCCTCCCACACCCTCCCGTTACACAACTCACACACACCACAAACAAAAACACTATTATTTCCCCCTTCTTCCAGATGCTGTTGACTACATCAGCACCACCCAGACACTTGTGTTCAATTCTGGTGACCTGGAGATGTGTGTGGACATAGTAATAGTGGACGATGATCTGAGTGAGCAACCAGAGACTTTCTCCATCAACCTCCAGAGTCTGTCGGGAGAACCACTCAGCAACTCCATGGCCGGCGTGACGATACTCAGCAACGATGAAGGTTAGAGATGCCACTAACTAACGCCCAGACGTGGCCAAGCGGCATTTTTGTGCATGGAATTATAGTTCATAGCATACCAGCCATAGGTAGATAGAGCATGTTCACTTCAATTCCAGTCATCTAACAGTTGGCTTATGCACTTTCTCCACTTTCTTTTTTCAATTGAAACACCTGCAGGACCAGTAATGCTGTCATTCGAGCAATCGGCCTATGCCGTGACTGAGACAGACTCCAGTCAGATCCTTGTTGTCTGTGTGATATCCCAGACCCCCGTCACCAGAAACGGCATCACTACCATTGCATTTTCGTTTCAGTTCACTGACAGTGCAACCGGTACAGTGACATGAGCTAAACGGAAAACTTTTTGAGTTTTTTCATGCACTGCTTCCATTGTGTAGAGGATGAAGATTTTTTGCGAGTTCTTGAAACGCTCACTTTCAATGTTGGAGAGAGCAGGATGTGTATCAATGTGACCATCTTGGGAGATGACATTGAGGAGGAAACTGAGAGGTTTCCCATGCAAATATTCAGCCCCGAGTTTGGCCAGTCCAGTACCATCGTAACCATCAATGATGATGATGGACAAGGTGAGTTGATATTTCCTATTTCCTCATTTTCCTCTTTAAACTACAAACAATCTCTGTGTAGATCCACCAGTGTTTGGGTTTGAGAATCCTGGGGAACTTATCTTTGATGAGGATGCTGGAACAGTCCCAGTCTGTGTGGTATTGGAGAGTGGGACGGTCAGTCAGCCCACTGTAGTGACTGTAACCTCAGACCAATCAGGAAGCACTGCTACAGGTAAACTGCAGTAGATCTGTAAAAGAAACTAGTGAATACAAAATACACTTTGTCTCCTTGCTGTACAGCTAATGAAGATTATGTTAGTGTGTTTCAAGCCCTGACGTTCACTCCTGGAGCCTCCACCAGAATGTGTGTGAATCTGGTCATACTTGATGATCAGATTGGAGAAAACGATGAGACTCTGACCCTTCGTCTCAGCACTGGACGCACAGCCACTGTCACTATCAGGGATAATGGTTAATATGCAGAGCCTGTGTCAGTATAATTTTAAGCTCACGTACTTCCCCCACGCCTGCAGATCCTGTGGAGTTCAGATTTGGCCAGAATGCCTACACTGTGAACGAGGGAGCTAGCCTGACAGTGTCTGTTGTGGCAAACAGACTCTTTGAGAATGGACCATTCCAACTGAATGTCAGATCTCAGGGTGGAACTGCTACATGTATGCATATCCATTAAATAATAGAGGCAATCAACTCATTCTTTCCCTACAGCTGTTGGTGACTTTACTGCCATCAATCAAGACATTGTCTTCAGTGGCCCAGTGTCCCTGACCATCAGTACTAATAGCGATTCACTGACTGAAGGAGATGAGCAGTTTACACTGATTCTCACCAACACCATGACTGGAGCTGTGACAACAGCAACTGTCACCATTATAGACATAATACAGGGTCCAGTATTTGGGTTTGAGAATCCTCAATTATTTGTCTTTGATGAGGATGATGGAAGAGTCGAAATTTGTGTGGTATTGGAGAGTGGGACAGTCAGTCAGCCCACTGTAGTGACTGTAACCTCAGACCAACTAGGAGGCACCGCCACAGGTAAACTGCAGTAGTTCTGTAGCAGAGGAAATACTTGAATGAACCTTTGTTCTACAGCTGGTCGAGATTACAGTAGTGTGAGTGATTCCGTGACGTTCACTGCTGGAGCCTCCACCAGAATGTGTGTGAATCTGGTCATACTTGATGATCAGATTGGAGAAAACGATGAGACTCTGACCCTTCGTCTCAGCACTGGACGCACAGCCACTGTCACTATCAGGGATAATGGTTAATATGCAGAGCCTGTGTCAGTATAATTTTAAGCTCACGTACTTCCCCCACGCCTGCAGATCCTGTGGAGTTCAGATTTGGCCAGAATGCCTACACTGTGAACGAGGGAGCTAGCCTGACAGTGTCTGTTGTGGCAAACAGACTCTTTGAGAATGGACCATTCCAACTGAATGTCAGATCTCAGGATGGAACTGCTACATGTATGCATATCCATTAACAAGTGGAGGCAATCAACTCATTCTTTCCCCTACAGCTGTTGGTGACTTTACTGCCATCAATCAAGACATTGTCTTCAGTGGCCCAGTATTCCTGACAATCAGTACTAATAGCGATTCACTGACTGAAGGAGATGAGCAGTTTACACTGATTCTCACCAACACCATGACTGGAGATATGGCGACAGCAACTGTTACAATTGCTAATGGTAGGTGTTCTTACACAATACTCTCTCTTAATGTCCACCTTTTCACACGATATGTATGATACGCTATATCCAGTGGCTGTAGTTGGTGCAAGTGTTGGCTTGGAGCTGTCTGCGTACACAGTCAGCGAGGAAGACGAGGCAGTGAGAGTGTGCGTCTCTCTCACACAACAGGTGTCCTCTCGAGTGGTGGTCACTGTCTCCACCTCAGATGGGACTGCCACAGGTAACAACACACCCACACCTCCTGACATCTATCTCATTCCATATCATTGTGCCTCCAACCCAGCTGGGTCTGACTATGTTGCTCGGACCGTCACCCTCACGTTTGCCGAAGATGATCTTCGGGAATGCGTCGAGATTGATCTGATCGACGATTCCATGGGAGAGCCACTTGAGTCGTTCACGGTTCTCCTCTCAGGCAGCACGCTCCCTTTCTTCAGGTCCCTGTCTAGAGTCAACATCCTCCAGGACCAAGGTAACTGAAGTTTTCCAGCCAAAGACCATTTCATATGTCCAGTTGTGTTGTTTGGCTTGCCTTTGGCTTGCGGCTTCATTGTAGACCATGCATCAAACTAAAAAAACCTGCTTTTCCCTCATTGCTACTGAACCAAGGGTGGTACAAGATATTATTGTGTGATTGATGTTGTATAGATGGACAGCTGATTGTGACCCTACAAGAGCCTATAATGGCCGCGGACGAAGGCATTTCGACGTTCCCCGTGTGTGTCGATCTTGTCGGCTCAAACCTCAATAGAGACGCCGTTGTCACCCTTACTACCATCGAAACTGGAGCAGCACTAGGTGAGAACTGATTCAGTCTATCTTCCTTACCCAGTCAGTTATTGCTCGGTCAGCTGTTGACGATTTGTTTCTTTTTTGATCAACAGAAAATGTGGATTATATCAGGGAGAGTATGGATATCACCTACTTTTCACCTATAGAAGAGGTCATCATCTGCGAGAACATTACTATCATTCACGACACACTCAGCGAAGATATCGAGCTCTTTGGAGTTACACTCACTTCGTCAGATAGTGCAGTTTCCTTCATCGTATCTTCTGGAGTCATCATCATAGTTGACAATGACAGTGAGACTATTTGCTGCAGCTTGAATTGGGTACGTAGACACCAACACTTTGTTTCTTCTTACACAGACCCTAGTCTGAGTGCTGGGTTCGTGCAGACTGATGTTGGACAGCCCGAGACAGACGGTCTCACAGGCGCCAGGCTACGGGCCTTTGTTAACGGGCGCATAACACAGCCCGTTGCACTGAGTGTCTCTGTCGCAGGAGGCACAGCTACAGGTAATCAATACTTGGTGACAACTCCAAATCTACCGTAAATCTGAAATTAAAGGGAATGTGGCAGTAGATAAGGGCTAAATCAAGAAAGTGTTCCTTGGGGCCCCCCATTGAACATTTTTACTTATCTATTGACACATTCCCTTCAAGAGAAGTATATAGTACCTTTCCTGTGCCACAGGCAGCCAGCTGATAGTACAGGGTATGTCTTATCTCTTTCTCGTTCTTTCGTTCTCAGTCAATGATGACTTCACTGATTCCATGGCGGTCCTGCAATTCAACATCAACTCCGACAATCCAAGAAGAGTCTTCTACACCATCAACGGAGACACTATAGACGAGCCGGATGAGACCATTGTGTTCCAGCTCTCTGGACCCAGCGGAGTAGCCCTCATCCCTGACAGGAGCACTGCAGTGGTCACAATCATCAATGATGACAGTGAGATGGTCACTTCTATACTATTCACAGCTCCTTTAGTGTGGTCCTGGGTGTTGCATAACCTTGCATAATACACCCATGGCTCATACAGTTGACACCTCTCAATAATAATTAAGGGACACCTTGAAAGTGTCCTACATTCAGAGGTTTTTCACCGTATATGAATGTGGTTCTCTCTCTGGCAGTGTTTCCGATTGAGACTGGGATTATTGTACTGGTGGACGGCACACCTGAAGTGAGGCTAGAGGGCGGGACAGGGACCGTGAGAGTGCAGTTCACTCTGAGCCCCGACATCACCAACGCACTGTGTACCCTTCGCGACGTTGCGCCTCAGCAAGACTGTGAGTTTTGGTTTTACCTCCAGCACAGTACGCGAGATAACTGCTAACCTTCAACAGGCTCTTCTGGGACGTTTGTTGTCACTGGACTAGCACCCAGCCGTATCCCTCCGGTGACTCTGGAGATTGCCGCCCTTAACCAGCAGGGGCAGCAGGTCGCCTTCATTTCCAGAACCATCCGGCTAGGTAATAGCAACAACCCCACTGCTGTATTGTAGCTCAGTCTGCATGTGTGTTGCTGCTCTTTGACTGCAGGACTCAGCGGAGACTGTTCAGTCAACTTCCTGAATGGTGTGGAAGGGGCCCTGGTGTTCCAGGGCGACGTGTTCATTGCCTTCTCAGTGGTCGGTCCTACCACCTCCACCGAATGCCAACTCGATGGCGGAACTTTCACGCCATGTGAGTAAGACTCACAGAAATGTGCCGTGTACAAAGAGATAGCTGTACATCTCTACTAGAACAGCTATACAATTTCATCCATATCTGCAGTTACCCCTAATTTGTCCATCACACAGGTGACAGGACAGTACAGTATGAGAACTTGTCACTGGGAGAACACAGAGTGAAGGTGAGGCCCAATGGGGACAACTGTGTGAGGAGAATCCGCCGTACTGTCATGTTTACCGTCGTCTGACTCAACATCCCACCACGAATCATTGTGTGCATCATATTTTTAAGCATTATAGTTTTCTAGAACACTGCATTATTATAATATTATATTAGCTGATACTGTCATTCTCTGATACGACCATAAATCTCATTCTAAACTAAAGACTGAGGGAGAACTGTGAGGTATAAATGGGCAGAGTCCTGGCTAGAGCGTTGATGTTTCAAACCGGATCAGAGCACTGTCCAACACTTTCTCGAGGTTTTCTAGGTCAGAAAGTCTGAAGTCCTGTAACAAACACACATACAACACACACAAGATCACACGGGCATAAAGACACAGTAAGCGTTCCTTACATCATCAATGTCCTCCACTTCCCCTCTTTCTCCTCCTTCTTTTCTCTGTGAGAGAATAACACACTGAGTGTGAGCTAGCCATGTAATATGGCATACCTGATGTTGAGGAGAAAGTTTCCAGCTCCTCTCAAGACTCTTGAACTTTACACTCTTCACTTCTTGATGATCCCTTGATACTGGGTCCACATAGTGTGTCACTGGTGGCTCTACATTAGTGAATGGATCCGCATCATATGTGACTGGATCTGCAGGAGGCATGCTGCTGGGCCCACTGAAAGACGGAGTGGTGAAAAATGTCGTAAACTCTTTACTGGCGTCGCCTTCTCCCCGACGTGTGGTAAAGGCAGAGGTGGAACCCAATTCATTAGTCTTAATGAAGTAGCTCTCCCTCTCTCTCTGGTTTGAGCCGCGATAGGAGACTGAAATGATGGGGCCTTCAATCTTGTGAGAGGTCCTGCAGCAGGGACACCTTCTTCTCATTCTCTTCCTACAGGCAACTAGTACTGACACCAGGAGAACTAGCGCCAGGAGTAGGGCTGCAGCACCACCCCCTCCGGCAGCCAGGAAGAGAGTAGAGGTGAAAAAGTTGGATGATTTGGGAAGCAGTGAGGGGAGAGTTGCAGTTGCCAGGGATTTGAAGCTGAGTGGAGAAGTGTGTACCCCCTCTGGTGGTGTTGTGGGTGTCAGTTCGATGTGAGCTAGTTTGGTTTTGAGAGAAGGGGTTGGCAGGGCAGAGGTTGAGAGAGGTAGAGAGCGGACCAGTCTGGGGCTTTCTTCACCAGATATCACTGTCACTTCAGAGAGGGGGAATGTGGCAGCAGCAGAAGATGTTCCAGTGCCAAGTACTTCTGGTGTTAGTTTGGGTATCACTGCAGTAGAGGATGGTGCAACTCCCACAGAGAGTTGTGAAGTTTTCTCAAGTTGTGGGGTTGTACGGAAACTAATGGTTTTGACTCCAGAATATGTTGTAGTGGCTGTGGCCGATATCTCAGACGTTAGTCTGCTAGAGAAAACCGGTGTGGCTGTAATGGAAAGTGTTGAAGTTGCTTCAGGCATCTCAGTGCTGTTTGTGACTGAAGAGGGCCTTGTAGCTAACAGTGGCATGGCAGAAGAGAACTCTATTTTGGCCATCATTGAAGGTAGTGAAGTTGTTTGGAATGATGTAATCATCTGAAAAGAACTAGGATATGATTCGGCCTCGAGAGTTGCTGCTTGAGACTCTGTGGTCCTTGTTGAAGACTCAGGAGATGCTGGGGTGACAGACTCATAGTTATCAGAGCCACTACCGAGGTCTTCCAGGTCTCTTGGCCATAACCACCTCTCAGTTCTACCACACTCCACAACTGCACAACAGTGGGAGCTACATACATCGTATATAACACAGAGATATACTCACATGCAATACTGACCACAGCCAGTGTCAAGAGAACAGCCAGCCTCTCCATGGTGTACTATACTCTGTGTTCTACACACGATCCAGCACTCTTACTAATGTGCTTTGACAATGATATGACAGCACAATGTTCATAGGCGGCAGACTTTGAAGAAACACAACCTTACTTAACTAGCTAATGGATGGCCCTCACACAGTGGACGCAGCCCACACTGTGTCATCACAAATGTGGCGAGATGTTGCTCTTTCTGTGGGTCCCGTGCAAAAACAAAAACATTCAGAACTACAACTGCCTCACACACTCGCTATGCCACAAGCCGGCCAGCTACCCCATTTAATGCCTTTCAGTCACAGACGAAATCAAACGCCATTTTATGAATACCCATTTCTTTGTTAGATGTCAAACACTCTTGTAAATCGACACACTACACGTGCTGTGCATAATCTATAGGTACTTCATGTTTCTTGGCTATGTGTGACTACATGTGTGTGTGTGTTGTCAAAGCTAAAAGTCTCCCAAGTCTTTCAGAGCTTGACCCAGTGCCGAGTCAATGTCCACAAAATTCATGAACGCCTTCTCCTGAGGAATCTCAGCGTCTTGTTCTGTGGGCTTTATAAAGAGTGACACAATAGAGGCTTAGTAATTGTTTTGATTTGTCGCTACCTCCAGCGATAGCACAACTTCCGATTTCTTCTCTTCGGGACTATCTGACTTTTCATCCGTGGTGGCTTTCTGGAGATAAGTTAGATTTCAGCTGTGTGTAGTGTTTGGGCATTACTCACTGCTTCACTGGTCGGAGTCTCTTTAGTAGCCTTGTTCTCTGCTTCACCACTAGCTCCAGTTGAGACAAGTCTCTGCAAAAATTTTTGAGTATCTACCAACACACATTATGTATATTTTTTGCCCACTGGTTTCAAAATTGCACGAGACAATTCAAGCATAATGGAAGGGGCACTGCTCTCCTTGACTGGTTTCTCTTTAGTAGTGTTGACAGCAGTTGTACCAGGTTCAGATGAAGCCGATTTCTGTGCAGTCATAACAATGCTCTTAGTTGAGAAATTGTCCATTGTGCAAGTATAACGTACTTGTTTCAAAATGGCAGGGGACAAGTCGAGCATAATTGGAGGGGGAGGGGGGACTGGTATTGCCTGCGGTACACTGGCACCACCCTATAAGGGTGGAAATCTATTGTGTGTGTTGGGTGTTATTCTTTCATTTCTGACTTGGCCCTCTGCAGCCTCTACTTTTTGCTTGTTTTCATCTCCAGTCTTAGTCTGGTCATCTTTCTCAGACTCCTATGGTATCAACCACTGACATGATCCTATAATCTGGCTAGCCTTCTAACCTCTGTCCCTTGGTTCTTCTTGCTTTGTTCACTGCTAGCACCCTAGAACCACACAACACTATGTACTCTGCTAAACAAGTGATTATTCCCATACCTTTGCTTGGTCTTTGGAACTCTCTTTCTTCTCATCAGTAGAGTGACCAAATGTCGATAACGTGTTTTCCGCCTCGAGTTCCACCTGAACTGTTGTGACTTTTGATTCACCGCCCTCACCATTTCCCTCCTCTCCTCCACCATCTTCGGTTTTCTCAACCATTGTCAGCTTCACGCCTCCCTCCTTGTGTTCCTTGCCAGGCATATGCTGCAGTTCTGCCACTTCTGCAAATAGTCAGGCAGTGGTAATATTACAGTGGAAATTAAGGGGCCCACTCCAAATTGGTAATACTTACTGCAGTGGTTGTACCAACAGCAGATGGTGAGGATACACAGGAGGACTGCAACAACACAGCCCACGAGAACAGTAATTATAACCAGCCATCCTTTAGCAGAGGTGAACAGATCATCTGCAGTTACAGCTATGTCTCCATGGGCTTGTACATTTGCACAGAGCAGCAGCAGCAGCCAAAGTAGTCGAGGAAGGAGAGTACTCTTGCCAGCACACACGGACATTTTCAACAACTTGATATGCACGGAACCGGCCTTGCTAGTTATGAACTCCAAGAGCATTAGATCGAGAAACAGCTATTCCCACGCAAGACACCCACACACATTCACTCATTCAGACTTAGTGAGGGCAAGCATCAACATGCGCACAGTAAACACACCTCTGCTAAAATACACAGCCCTAGCTAGCTTTGTGGGGAAAAGTGCACAGAATTGAGCCCCAGTCTATTCCTTGAAATCTCCACCGCCAGAAACTGTACTCGAGGAACTGAAAAATGAAAAAAGGTAAACAATTGCTACAATAATTGAGGGTCTGCACCCAATATAGTATTCTCTTTGCTGTAGTCCTGAGAGGAGTCCAATCTGTGAAGTACAATTATGGCTGGAGATACAAACTTCAACCAGTAAAGCTTCCCCCCAACCTCAGTAGGGTCCCGTAGTTGTAGTCTTTGACAATTCCTTCAAAGTCTTTGCAGAAACTTCTCCACCTCTGTAGTAAAGCCAATAACACTCTGGAATGCCATGCTATAATTATAGCTAGTGGACCTCTTTCGCCTCTGGTGATTTCAAGTCATCTTGACTGATCTTATCGACCTTGGCAGATGAGGAGGAAGGAAGGGGAGATGGAGGGAAGGGGAGATGGAGGGAAGGGGAGATGGAGGGAAGGGGAGATGGAGGGAAGGGGAGATGGAGGGAAGATGAGGAGGAAGGAAGGGGAGATGGAGGGAAGGTATATACAAACTGACCCTAACCTGCAACCCCTTAAATTTCTTTTGGAATTCCTGATACAGGTCCTCATCTTGTCTACCATAGGAGTCTAGGTATACATGGAACACCACCAGTCAATGGTATCAGGGCACCTGGTTAGAGTCAGGCTGGCTGCGTCCACATTCTGGAGCAGCTGGAATGACAGAATAGGCCGTGCTGGGGTGGCCACATTAACTCAACACAACGCCGAACCTTGAAATGAGTCTCGGCGTAATGGATGGCCTTTAGAGCCCATGCCTGCTCCAAGCCACCCTTTAGGGAGAATATAAATGCTGAGTCTGGAGGTGTAGATGCCACTCACGAAATTGGAATAGTCTTCTGCTCGAGTTGAGGGTACTCCTCCTGCAGAACTAGCACCACCTACTCCCTGTGCATAGATAATAAGTGGTATACAAAAAACAGTGAGGCAACTTTACAAGTGCCCTCAATTCCTCCTCTAAATCAGCCATGCGAGTTCCTGGTCTCGATGCGAGGACGGAATCCGGAACGGAGAATGTGAAATGCGCGCGCCGTCATTAAAGTTTTGCTGAGTCATTGTCATTTCCGGGCGGGCCGGTCAAGCCAGCCGCGCGCGCGCAGTGACCTGGCGGGCGCGCGTCACTAGTTTTTGCTGTGTCATTTTGGGCGTGGTTAAAGCCGGAGCTCACTGACCCCGAACTCTCTGTGGTCGAGGGAAGATCCTGCGTCCGTGGATGAGAGAGAGGCAAGGTTTATTGAGGATAAGGTGGGTTGTTTGCACGGACGTGGGGTGTTAGCTTAGCTCAGCCTTTTGAGACCGCGGGGCGTTGTCTCGCGTAACTCGGTGGCTGTTGGGTTATGGGAGAAAAGTTGTGCAATGTGTGTACTCGTTTTAGGGGAGTAGGTGGACCTGGAGACTCGATGTGTAGAGTGTGCTGCTTGGATAGAGATTTATCCCGTCTCCTTCATTAGAAAGTAGTGCCTGCATACGTAATTATCGGGGAAGCGGGAATCCGGTGCGTTTCCTAGTAATTTCGTGGGTAATTGGCGCTCGTGTTCTCTCACAGATTGCTGTCTTGTTCATCAGTTGCCTCGTCTGCCAACACTGGGCCTCATTTCCACACCCCACCACTTGCCTTCTCGTCTCTGTCCTAACCACACTCATTGATACACCATTTGTGACGTCTGGGACACAGTGACCAAGACAGAGGTGGTGCAGTAGACACACTGTCCAGTCTCTCTCACGCCGGATGATGCCCTTAGCCTCTCTGGAGTCTCCGCCAATCAGCAAAGACCACGACAAACCCTCCTCCTCCTCCTCCCCCTCCTCCTGTTCCTTTGTCCGTGAGATGAGTCAACCAGGCCCCTCCTCCCTCTCCAAGCTAAGAGACCTTACTCTCGGCGAGCACCTCAATCATGAGATGGCGGTGGACATGCCGATGATGTGCGAGGACGGCGACGAGGACTCCAGCCAGTTCTCCATGTCCCCTCGCGAGCACTTTGACCATGAGAGCGAACTGTGCATGCGCTACTTTGAGAGCTGGGCACAGACCCGCCAGACCGAGTTTGTGGAGCAGCTGGTGGCGAGAATGTCGTTTCATCAGCACGAACACATCTACTCCATCCTCATGCCCATGCTACAGAGAGACTTCATCACCGCTCTACCAGGTCTGTTCCTCCTTCTCCACTGCACTAAGGAGCAAAGAGTCTTTTTGTCTCTCTCCTAAATCAATCTCGGCTACCCTCCTATTATCTTCTTTCTCCCTGTCTCGCTCGCCTTTCATATAAATTTCACACCATATTAACTTGGCGAATAGCAATGGTATGTGGAGTGCTCTTTGTTAAATTTGAGGGTCAGCAGCAACCCTTTCCAAGTCGGTCGTCGATATGTACATGAAATGTTTGCTCACAGAAATATTCTTTGCTCTATATATACACCTGATACCAAATCAGAAAACGTTTCTCCCGCAAACACCTTTCTAGCTACTTTCAATGACATAGTTTGTAGTTGATGCCATTTTGCATGCTGCTACATAAATACACTTTCTTGGATGTGTGGCTCTGTTGGGGGCACACCTCTCTCGGTGTGTGTGTGTGTGAGAAAGTGCACATGAGGGCCAGCCTTAAAGCTGTCCTCTGCAAGAGTAATCACATTGCCAGTTGGCATCTAATTTGGCGGCGGAGCCGGTGCCTCCATCCACGGTTTCTCTCACTGACAGCTGCTGCGTATGTACGTAGCAGGACTTGCACTTGTACTGTACCCTGCACTCGGGGGTCTGACGCAGTGCCATTGTGGGATATCGAATTGATCCTGTCCCACTTCGCATCCAGTTATATGTACTTACTCTGGACTCTTCCCCCGGTGTGGTTATTTTACCTTGACACCGCTTGCCGTGTGTATCTTACGCGTTAGGCTCTAGCTTGCTCCGCTCACAGAAACATTGCGACTAGTACATATGCCTGGTACTGTTTGTGATATACTGCAGGTAAGGGGCTCCACCATATCGCCTACAAGATACTGTCCTACCTGGACGAGCGCTCGCTGTGTCGCGCCGAGCTGGTCTGCCACGAGTGGTACCAGGTCATCACAGACGGGCTGCTCTGGAAGAAGCTGATCGAGAGGAAGGTGGCCTCGGAGCCCGTCTGGGAGGGGCTGTCCGAGAGGAGAGGCTGGTAAGGAGAGAGGGAGTAAACTTTCCGATTGCTTTTCCCACTATACCAAACTTCTTGCATAGAAAACCATGAGAACCTTTAACTGTGAAAATAAAAAATTTTCTCCGTCTAGTTCAGGCCTAGGGCACAGGGATGGTAACACCGCCTTATACTATAGCTGGTGGTGGTATTTTGAAAGTGCCGACATATTGTTGTGGCCACACATGGGGACTGTGTGCAAACAGTACTTCTTGACATGTAATCCTTGTGTTAAACAGTCCACTGCCATATTCACACACATTATAGGATTGGGTGTCTTGCACGTCGTACATAGTACCACGTGTCACTGCGTGTACACATTGCAATCTATCCCTTCCGTGGGTGTGCATATTATTGTGACCCATCCCTCTCTGTGTGTGTGTGTGTGTGCATAGGGGTAAGTATCTTTTCCGACATGTGGCTCCGTCGGAAGGAATCAACCACCAGTTCTTCCGTCAGCTCTACCCAAGTATCATCAGTGACATCTCTGTGGGTTACGTTACTGCTGCACAACTCTCAATACCCTGTGTGCTCGACCCTTACACACATTGTCTCGGCTTCAGTTAGCTATATATACACTTCCATGAAATTTAGCTTCCTCTGACTCGCTATGAAATGGAGTATACAGTCTGACTTCCTCTAAGGAAGGATGTGTTTGTATGTGTGTATGTGTGTGTATAAAGCTACATTACTGGTTGTCTTTACCTTTCTTCTGCACTCAGAACATGGAGAGCAACTGGAAGAACGCGAGACACACTCTAACTCGAATAGAGTGCCACAGCGAGAACAGCAAGGGAGTCTACTGCCTTCAGTACGATGACCACAAGATCATCAGCGGCCTGAGGGACAACACCATTAAGGTATAATATACCATACTTCCATTCTGACGCTGCAGCTGTACGTACTTCATAGGTTGTCGTGTATGTTTTTGCGAGTAAGTTGTGTACTCTGTGTGTGTGTGTGTGTGTAATTCACGAATACCGCATATCTTACATGTGTAAATGCAATAGTTGTGGCTTTTCATGAACCAGTGGAATGTTCTGATTCAGAAATTGATCTACACGTGTACCATTTCCTGTGCGTATCACACACGCGTGGCTCCCACCAGTCAGTTGTCAGGCCACACAGCTTGTGTATGTACATATTACCATGCTTCACTTCTTCCCACGTTGTTGTTGTGTGTAGATATGGAACCGGGAATCGCTGGAGTGCAAGCGAGTGTTGCAGGGTCATACGGGCTCCGTCCTCTGCCTGCAGTATGACGAGAAGGTTATTGTCACTGGCTCCAGTGACTCCACCATTCGGTGAGACGTTGTGTGTGTGTGTAGTGGAGTGAGGGGGGGAGAGAATGTATTACTGTGTCATTGATTGCAGAGTGTGGGATGTGAGCAGTGGACAGATGTTGAATACTCTGGTCCACCACTGTGAGGCCGTCCTTCACCTCCGATTCAGCGATGCAACAATGGTCACTTGCTCCAAGGTGGGTCTGTCTTTCCTCTGCTATGAATTGCTCCTCATTCCTCCTCACTACTACAACCTCTCCTGCTCCTTCTCCTCTCCTCTCTTTTCTCCTTTTTCTCTGTCTCCATTTCCCAGGACCGGACTATTGCGGTGTGGGACATGCGAGCACCTCACGACATTGTCCTGCGAAGGGTACTGGTGGGCCACCGGGCGGCAGTCAATGTCGTCGACTTTGACGACAGATATATCGTCTCTGCATCTGGCGACAGAACAATCAAGGTCTGAATGACTGACTCCTGCCAAAGTTGTCCCCCTCGCATTGCTTTTACCACCGTCCGTCTATCTGTGTGTGTGTCTGCAGGTGTGGAGGACTTCTACCAGTGAGTTTGTGCGAACTTTGCACGGCCACCGTCGCGGGATTGCCTGTCTGCAGTACCGAGGGAACCACGTGGTCAGTGGCTCTTCCGACAACACAATCAGGTGGGTGGCCCCTGCCCCGATTGACAGTCAAATGAACTGTACACTTTGAAGTGACAACCTTCTCTGTTATTCCGTGTAGGATATGGGACATTGAGTGTGGGGCCTGTCTCAAACTATTAGAAGGCCACGACGACCTTGTCAGGTGAGCTCCACTTAATTTCTGTCTGCCTTGCTCTATACATACGTACCTCATTTATGATCCATGAGTCATGGTCCTGTGTGTTTTTCAGATGCATCAGATTCGATGACAAGAGGATTGTCAGTGGAGCCTACGATGGGTGAGTTTTGTACTGTGTGTCTAGTTTATATATTTGGTTGACTTTGCCAACTATGCTTTGTGTCCTTTGTCCCGCAGAGCCATCAAAGTATGGGACTTCCAGGCAGCTCTGGACCCCCGGGCTCCGACTGAGAGCCTGTGTGTCAGAACACTCAGTGTAAGCTCACGAGAGAGACACACAGCAAACACCCTGTGTTCCTTGGGGAGTTTTAATGGCTGCTAATTGCTTACCACACAAAAGTGCAGCTAAGTATTCCCTAATTGAGCTCTCTACAACGTTAAGTGGCTCTTTCAATAAACAAGCCTTCCATGTGCACCTTCAATCACGGTTTCTCAATCTCACCTTTTTCGCCGTATTTCTCTTCAGGAGCACTCGGGGAGGGTGTTTCGGCTGCAGTTTGACGACTTCCAGATCATCAGCAGCTCACACGACGACACGATCCTCATATGGGATTTCCTTGATCCGGTGGCCCCGGGACCCATGGAGGTAGAGCAGGCGCAGCAGGCGACGCCAGACACTCCGCAGGGACCCCAGCAGCCACTCGGCCTGGCCACACAGGACTCGGTACAGGACCACGACGACTCCGCCTCCTCCCCAGACTCGGGTACCTTCAAACCACCTCCGAGTGCATAGCAGCTTCTCTCTCTCTCTCTGTGTGTTTGTGTGTGGTGTGTGTGTGAGTTCATGTATGAACATCACCACGTTTGTTTGCTTGCCATTCCGGGCTTGGCACTTTTCCTTTGTGGCCTCACCTCTATATCATTCTCTGCTTCAATCATTGAGTCTTTAAGCCTCCCTCTCTCCTTCGCTCTATTATCTATGACCTACTGCACATGTCAAGAATCTCTCTCTGTGAATAAAAATGCCTACTCTACTCCACAATGTATGTGTAAGTCTTGTACTGTACACCGTTTCTGTAGATCCCATAGCAAACTTGTATTGTACTGCCAATACCCAAAGTTATATATTTTTCTGTCACTCATCGAGAAATGTTGTCATTTGCAACATGGATAGCAGTGAAAACAGAGAAGTGGAGCAGTAAAAGTGAAAATGTGGGAAGTGGTTTAAAACTCTAGTCACTGTCAAATGAATAGCGCCTAAAAAATGGGATTTCGCGGATGGAGTTCTCAACCTGTGCCTTTATTACAGGGTCCCACTCAATCATTTCCCTGGATTTCGACGTCGACTTGAAGGTCTTGTCGGCGCACTGTGCGAGGTAGTCCTTGGTGCATGTTAGTTGAAGGAAACTGCAGATTTCTGTCATTATTGCTGTCGGATCTCGGATAAAGTCCTCCGAGTGGATTTGAATCAGTTCCCAATCGTAGTCCTCCCCTAACATCATGTGCAGGTAGTGGGCCTTTGTAAGTATAGTGTCTGCTGCCCCGCGGATGACTTTCTGGTTACTGTACTTGTGTCCCACTGAAGCATTTACCTTAACGTCTTCAATGGGGGACCCGCGGTAGAGCGAGAGTGTTGCAATCATGTCGTACGGGTTCCGGATCACGTTTATGACTTTCAGTGGGAGGTTTACTAGCGATCGGAGGCTGCTGAGGTGACGAACGAAATCCGTGGTGCTCTTTCTGTACATGTTTGTCACCTCACCTGCAGCTTTGTCCCCCAGATTCGCAGGCTCCGAAAACAGCCCTGCCAAGACCCGGACAGTTTCAGGTTGTATCCCTTCTCGTTACGAAAGAAGGACCTCTCCCCGTACCGAGCATTGCGAAAGCTGTTGGCGACAAGCTGGTTGAACAGTACCTTCCGGGACACCTTCTGATTCTGTCTCTTTTTCGTGAACTCGTGAAGGTGGGAGAAGAGTAGGAACTCGTGTGCTATCACCACATCAGGGTGGCCGTCGAGAAGACTGCCAATGATGCTGTGACCGCTCCTCTGCCACCCGACAAAGAAGACAAATGCCTCGATGCTTTCGACGTCTCTTTCACTCAGAAGACCGTAGCCATTAAGGCGATTGTGTCGGAGGTAGGGGTCGTCTGGTTGACCATCCATCCTCTCCACATCGCTCCGCCTGCTCTTCTCTTTGTTTATGCTGTCTATGATGGCTGCCCTTCTAGCCTGTTTCCTGGTTAAGATGAAAAGTTATTATGGTATGACCCAAAAACAGTAATGTTGTTACATACATACCGCATTGAATTGCATGGAGAGTCGTTGTCCATCATTGCCTCGTCCGGAATATCTGGAGGGCGTCTTAAATACTTCCTTCTAGTAGTGTTTCGACCTGCATTATACCTAAAAGGTCCCCATAATGTATATAACCCCTTGTAGAAAATAGTACTATACTACACAGCACTTACTCTACATGAAGTTGTGGCTTTCTGACTAAGTGCTCCTCTGTTACTTGTGTGGGCCTTCGTTGCTGGTTTGTAGTCAGTCTAGAGGTATTGTCCTCCTTAGTGCGGCTCTCTTCCCCAAGAACAGCACGTCCACTATACAATTTCTGTTGACTCCAATGCAGTACTGTTTATTTCACTTACGTGAATCTTGGCTGTTGATTTTTCTGAGGAATGATAGCAATTTGAGAGTTCCTGGGACAGAATGAATTGCAGCAGTTATTAGGCAGAAATTTCATTGAGTTTTCTTACAAGTGTTGGCTGGTTTGTGCCGCAAGTAGAAAATGTAGCAGGCAGACTAGCAGTACTGCTGAAGACACGCCCAGCAACAACCTCTATTGTAGATGGATACAACACTTGGAACTGTACCAAAAGTCTTAATTGTTATTGAGGGCAATGATTAGTGGGATACTATCTTTTCTTGGCACTGGATACTGCAGCAGGACATAAACAGAATCCTATACATGCGGGAAGGCGTTCTAGGGTACTAGCTAATAGTCATATATAGCAGCTACTGATAGCCACTTTATATACGAGCTGGCAAAAAATCATACTCAAAAAAACCTTCACACTCAGGTCTGTCAGCGACAGCCTACGCCGCAGGTAGCTATCGAACAGAGTGACAAGCCCGCAGCAGCTCTGGAGGACTCACCAGTTTTGATCGCATCCTCATCTTCCTCGGTCGTCCGATGGTACGGCAAAGGCGAGGCAGCTCACCAAGTTGGAGCTAAGAACGACGGCAGATACCTACACACCGACAGAGAGGTGTGTACCCGCTGAGCTAGCAGCGGAAGTTGCTTTTCGTCGTATATATACACGTGTCCACACACACACGTAAGAAAAAGGGGGCAGGGCTAATTTAGATGCGCGCGCGCGCAGCTAGCTGGGCGGGCCGGCTGAGAAAAATGGGCGGGGCGATGTTTTAGCGGGCATTTTCAAGAAATACCACACAGAATCGAAATGGCGGAGTTTGCCACTTGTTCCCAGGACAGCGTCGTCTTCTGGGACTACAAGTCCGTTTCCTCCAAGAGATCCGTCCAACCGTTCGGTGGCTCTGGCTACCACATTCAGTCGGCGGGCTGGAGCAGCAGCAGTATCCGCCTCCGTTATACATTGTTTTGTAGCTGGATAGCTTTCTCTTGGGTAAATTCTTTGACAGTTTCTCTCAGACAGCAAGCTAATGGTGGCTCCCAAGTGGGGCGACTGTATTGCCTGGTGTGAGCCAGCCTCTGCCAGTGAAGAGTGGAACACAATATGGCACAAGGTAGGGCCCCCTCCTCAAACTGATTTGGTGTGCTGCTTCACAATGTATACTTCTATCTCTTCCCTTTATCCGCTTTCCTCTCCCTCTTCATCCCTCTCTCCCTCCTCTTTCCATGGTCCCCCCCCCATTCACTGTTTTATCTTGTGCCTGGCCAGGACAGAGGTCACTTTACGTGTGGATGTTTCCTGGGCAACAGCCGCTACCTCCTCTCGGGCTCCTCCGATGGACTTCTCATGCTCTGGGACCTCAAGAACAAAAACTCCACCAAAACCATTGAGGTGGGTGGAGTCTTTCCAGGGGAACATAGCGGTGAACCCCTCTAATAAGAACACCAATGAGACATAAGGAAATGGGCGAGGTGTCCTTATTTCGGGGGTAAAATTGCATGCAAAAACTGTTCTTTGGGAAAGAATAGGATTAGAGAGGTGTCCTCATTTCATGCGTGATCTAATAGAGAATGGTTTCACTCTAGTGGGAGGGATAATATGTTTGTTGTGTGTGATCACAGGGTCATTCAAGTCCAGTGACGGCAGTAGCAAGTGCCTCCAGCGACCAGCTAGTGTTGTCCGCTGGTCAGGACAAGACGCTCGTCCTCCATTCTCTGTCCTCCTCTCACTCTCTCCAGAACACAGTCAACCTCTCCACCAAAGACACAGCTGAACAGGTGAAAATAACATGTCTGCAGATGCACACATACGGTAGCAAAGGACAGTGTAACAGTTTTAGTCAGAGCCATAAAACTCCTAATCTCCCTACTGCGTGTATTAGCAGATGTGTACTTGTAGTTTCATGCCATCCGAAAAAGAAGGCTGTTAAAGTTCCCAGCTCTAGACACCCACCTCTCTCTCTCCCTGTGTACCAGGGTGTCATATTGAGACTGAGGTTCTCAGTCATGGACAGAGCAGTGGCTGCCTCGGCCAGCGATAGTGGGTGTGTCTGTCTCTGGAGCGTCGAGTCTCAGAGATTGCTACACAAGTTTCCCTCCTCTGGTACACACGCAATGCTACAATCCCCACTTTGAGAGGTGTGTTATGGGCTGCTGTTGCAACCATGCACAGGTCCTGCTACAGACCTGAGCTTTGCCCAGAGCAACAACAAACTTCTCGTGAGCGTTGGCGAGGACTGCAAGATCCACTTCCTCGACACACAGCAGAGAAAGTGAGCCATATACCTCCACGTGCTTCTTACTGGCTGTGCGTACTTTGGTGTAGACTAAGTTTTGAGTCACGAAAGAACCAACCGTGGTGTATCTGTGTCTGTTCCTGCAGGGAAGTGATGATGGTCTCCACGCCATCTCCGCTGAGCTCGGTTACCATTCTCAGAGACGGCTACACTGTCGCTGCCGGCGGAGTGGATGGTGAGTGGCTGCATGCAACAGACACTCTGATCTGCTTGGTGCTCAGTGTATCTATGCTAACTGAACTGTGATTCCCAGGGAAGTTGTATGTTTACGAGCTGCGAGCGATGAAGAGTCCGAAGCACGTGCTGGAAGCTCACCAGGGAGCAATCACCTGCATTGCTGAACAGAACTCTGCCAAGGTTGGTTTTAGAGCCTGGTTGGGGATAATACATTGAACTTTTAATGTTTTAGTCTTCTAGAAGTTCAATGAAGAAGGCAAAGAAATCAGGTACTTATGTCTTAGTATCTCCTTCCCGTTGTGTGTATGTCAGTCACACTATTGAAGCAGTATATTATCTGTGTGTGTACTGTCTGCAGCCAAGGAGTCATCCAGACTCAGCAGTCTGACTCCATCAGACAGTCCTGCCACCCCTGCTGACTGCACTGTTCCACTAAACAATCAGCACACCCATCCAGCCCCCACCACCACTCCTTCCCTCGAGACAGCTCCTCCCCCATTGCCCCAACAGCCTCCTCCTCCTCTCCCTCTCGCCTCTCACGTAGTAGCTCTCTCTAGCAGGGTCCCTGCTCTACCTCACCAGACCCCCTTCCCAGCCGGTCAGCGAGGTGCAGTCCAGTGGGGCCAGTTCACCACTCCTGCTCAGACAGCCGGTGACAAAGACAGCACAGGTATGGCAGCCTCTCCTACTACATAGGAACTGGTCCTTTTGTGTTTAGAAGGTGTGCAGTAATTAAGAGGACCAAACGTTGACACTGTGGTTGGCTTCATTTTCAGAAGGTTGCAACTCATTCTGTCCCTTTCTACCCCACCCCAGGGATATTCAGTCCTGTGGACTCCACGCTGAGCACCCCCCACCCTTCCTCTGGCGCTAGTGAGACTGGTGGTAGCGGCGCAAAGACAGCCACAGCTCCACATCAGTACGCACTGGGGCAGCAGGCTTCATCGGCTGGTGCTAGCAGTTCATCTGAGACTAGGTCTAACTGTACAATTAGAAAACTTTCCCAAGTTGTTGTCTATGAAGTCTTATCAGTAGAGACCATACTATCTCAGCAAAGATTTTTCTTTCTTTCTCACCATTCGATCACTATGCCTACTTCCTCTGATCTTATTCCTACTTCCTCTGCCAGTTATATTGTGGGGAAGACTTGCATGAGCACACTGGTTGCTTCTCTTTTCCTTTAATGGTGCCCCCAGGATGTGACCGTAATGTGATCAAAGTACTGCGTTGTACTGTCTTCCTCTCTGTGTATGTGCTTTGCAGGGGCCGATATCCTCTTGTTTCCACATTTGTTTCCTCTACTCCAGCAATGCAACACCCTCCACTTGGTTAGCTCCTTAAATGGTAGCTCTCATACATCTCATTTGTCATGTCTATTTGTGCACTTTCTTCTCCGCTCGTTGTTCGTCGCCCAGGTATGTCTGGGATATTTTCGCCTCTGGATGCACCCACTCCGGCCTCCCTCGTCGGGGGTCTGACAACAAAGAGTTCGATTGTGGGGGATCCAATTCACGGGGTCCGAGGTGTGGAGGGGGAACGGTGGCAGGGGCCGCGAAATGCTCCGTCGATGACTCCGTCTGCTTCTACTCCAGCTCTGAGTGGTGTGGGTGCCCTCCAACCTCCTCCAAACCCAGTCGCCGGTAAACAAGTCACTCTGTACCTTTAACAGTGGAACCATGTTGACTATGGAATTTTGCGTCAATTAACTTTTTCTCCCTCATTAACTGACAATTTGATGGGATTGCAGGGGGGCAGTCAGAAGGGTGTTTACCTACTCATCCTCCGAGTGCTCCACACACACTTCCCACTACCTCGAGTACTTCACAGACCTCACTTTTGTCTCAGCTCTCCTCCGAGAACGACTCATCTCCACTGCCGCCCGGTGATACAAATTCCCCTCCAATGACCAAAGGAGGGGGTTCGGAGGTGGATGGCCCAGAGACCGGAAGACCACTTGTATCCACACAGACCTCTTGTCACACTGAGACCTCTCCCAAGGACCCACGGGCAGTGGTTCAGTTGCCAGTCGTCCCTGAGGCCAGCAGCGTTCACCTCCAGTACATGGAGAACCTTATCCGTGACTCCAATGAAGAAATGAGGCTAGTCCCCTTAGTATGAGATGACTCTATGCTATATGTACTGTATATTTCTGCCAACAGACTTGCAGTGCATCGCGACATAAGAGCTCTGGGTCTCGACATGTTCAGACAGTTTCTAATGTTGCAGGTAATGAGCCAATGTTTGTATTGAGGGAGGGAGGGGGTGTGGGTGTTTGAGATAATAATTATAGCTACAATTAACCTCTCATGTTCTTTCCACAGCAACAGGTCGGCACGGCAGTGTCTGCGCTACACGAGAAGATTGACAGACTGAGCGAGGAAAACAAACGCCTCCAGGAGCAGCTACACCAGTACGCACCCAACTACTAACACAGAAGCCAACTCAATGAACGGTCGTTGATATAACTTGTGCAGCCACTGCCATTGAAATATGTCAAGATTGTTGAGTGTGTGTAGTTATGTATGTCCACGACAATAATTGAGTTTGGGGTGTACCCATGGGAAATGTTACAAGATGGTTGAATGAAAATAAACAGAGAGAATCACACGTAACACAATAGGCAAACTACACAGCTGCAATACTGCTGACAGTTTTCTGTCTGTTGCGTGATGATGATTTGTGCAGCAAATAGAAAGTGTAAAAAGTCACGATGCACAGAGCCAACAAAATTAGGCACAGCAGAGAGGCAAATGTCTGCAGCAGGGAAACAGAGAGGAAAAATTTGGAATCAGAAAGTGAATTTTATTAGAATAACTCACGGTGCTTCCAGCTACGGCTCTGAACAGACTGTCATCTCTACTGTCTTGGTTGATGTTGGACCAGTGATATGCCACTACACCTTCTAGAGTTGTGCTTCCCGTTGCAGCCACCACCAGTACGAAACTAGCCAAGAAATCCTGCAGAGTATAATATGAAGAATGCAGTGTGATTTTTTGCGAACCATAAAAACGTACCGTTAGCTTGAGGTAGACAAGAGTGGAGAGGGAAGGCTCGTAGACGTAGACGCAGCATTTCGACGCGAGAATGAGCGCCGTCTGCAGAATGAGTGTCGTTGCGGCGGCGGCCGTCAGAATCCCCGTCACGACCAATGTCTGATCGATGAGTGGTCCGTTCGCCGGGCGTTCTCCGGACTCGACCAGTCCACCATCTCCCTCCTCAGCCGTCTTGGGTTCATACTTCATGGCTGTGTTGAGAGCTATGGCTCCTGCGATCAAGGTAAGGCTGCTGGCGATCTGCGTAAGAGATATGCATGTCGCTTTAGTGCCACTACAATGCAAAATTGACGAGTCCCGTCACTCACGTACAATTGCGCCAAGTCTCAAGTACTCTCCTGTGGACGTTACTTTTTCCCATAGGGAAGCAAATCTGTTTCGTTCTTCAGCCATTTCGATTCTCTAGCACAATCGGATATTTCTGTTTTGAAGAGCTCCATGCACGCATTTTTATAAAACCCGCCGACCTGTCGTCGTGGCGGTTCGGTTCTGCACCCCGGAAATGCATGCGCGCGCGGAGTTTTGCACTCGAGAAGTACTGTACACTTATAACAGTCCATGAATAACTTGGGTGTGCAGCTCAGCTACTGTGTCTTTGTCGTAACCTTTTGCCTGGAGAGAGCAAGAGATGAGGGAGAGGGAGAAGAGAGAAGCAGGCAATTGCTATTGGTGCATCCGGCATTATAAAAGCCTGTCACCTTGGTGAAGTACTGGATGGCTTTATCGAGGTCCTGAGAAACAGCCTGGCCTAGCTGGAGAGAGCGGGCCAGAGTGAAGCAAGCGAGAGACATTCCTTTTCTCTCCAGCACTGACAGACTGCCTGCATCACTCTGCAACTCACACACACTGCATTTGGTTAGTGCTTTGTTCCTTGATACAACAGGGGTAATCATACCTATATACCTGAGTGCTGTCTCAGTTGACTTGGAGAAAAGCTTTGAAGTGAAGTAGTGGAGTGCTAGTAGGCCTGCTGCATACAGACTTCCTCCAGCTGCAGCGTTCTTCAGCAATTGCAGCCCTGCAGTCACATCTCGCGGGCAGCCCCTACCGTTTAGTCTCATCAGGCCTGCCGCCGCTGAGGGTGGAAACTGGCTGATGTCTATCAGTGATTACTGTTGACTTACCCATGGATTCCAAATGGCCATTTTCAGCAGCACACGAGTGCCAGTGGAGTGACTGCAGGAGATATAACTGTCTGTAAACTCGGAATATAAGAGAGAAATCTGTTATATTATAGCAAACACCTCCAACGTTGGCAATAGTAGTGAAGAAAGGGACTGAAGAGTTGTTGCACTATTATAGTATGGTGTGTTGCTACCTCCTGCCCATTGCAACTATAACTCACTTTCCCCAAATCTTGAGTTTCCTGTCGGGAGTAAAACATGCCTAGTGTGTTCTGTGCTCTCACAACACTCTCCCACTCTCCCCCTTGTTCCTCCTCCTTCTCTCCCTCTCCCCCCTCCACTGATCTTCTTCCCTCTCCCGCCTTTAGCCACCATCTCTCTGCTTCCTCATCCGACTGTGCCACACCATATCCCTGTTATAACAAAGTTTTAAAGACCCTTCTACGTAGGCGATGGAACACTTCCTGGTTGAATAATTGTGGTTTTTGGGTCACTGGCTATTGGGGGTGGAGACGTGCTAAAGGTTTAATCATATCCGGTTCTCATCAACCGAGAGAGGTCTGCATGTGTAACCAAATAGATGTAGTCACTCACTTGGTAGAATGCCCGGCCAATGTTGTATTGAGCTCCAGCACCAACCGAGTTTCCAGACTGTGCTGCCTTCAGCATGTGCTGAAAACCTCTCTTCTGAAAACATGAGTAGATGAGTGAATTGTGGACCCCAGGCAGAGAGGAAGTTATGGGTGCGCAGGAAGTTGGAAGGCACTTCCGACGGTCCTTGATCTGCATGACTAATGAACTCACGGGGTTCTGGGGAGCGTCAACGCCGTCATAGAACATTACTCCCAGCTGGTATGAGGCCTGGGCGCTCCCACCGCCCTCCGCACTGGAGAAGTACCGCAGTGCAGTCTCGTGGTTGCCCTGGGAGTAGTGATACTGTCCGAGGGAGAACTGGGCGTCTGCATTACCTGTCAGTTGAACAGAACAGTGGCTATTGGGTTTGGCTCTAGCTGGCTGTATTGTACTTATACCTCTTTGCGCCTTTTCCTCCGTTTCTTCGATCCATTGCTGATCTCTGTCTCCCCTACTCTTCCCTCCTCCTATTTCAGTTGGGAGTCGCTCCAACTTCTGCAAACTTTCCGACAGTAGATCTCCTGCAGGAATGCAGCTAGCTTTTTTTGTTGTTATTGTCGTATTGTCTAACCTTTTTCATTCATTGTGCAGCATTCGTATATTCAGTGCTTAGTTGTGCGCAGAAAACCTCTCGACTCTTGCAGGAGAAGGCAAACGCCGTTGTTGTTGTTGTTATGGTGCGCTTTGATTGGGGTTGAGCCCCACCCCCCCTGGAGCCCATCACGTGAGCAGAGCCAGCCGAAAGCGGAGAGAGGATCTAGGAAAGGAACACGCTGGGGATAACAACACACAAAGTGCAATGGCGACAGGAACACCCGAAAGCTGGGGGTCTGGTAGCGATCATTTCTTCAAGATTCTTCTCCGAGACATCAACCCAGACATGGTGGCGGCTTGGAAGGACCCTGAGGCTTTCGGAGATCGGGAGAGATTTGACGGCCTCGTAGAGGTGGGTGCAAAAACCACTAGCACGTTACTCTAGAGTATCTCTTCCCGCCAGATCTCCTGCGGGGATATATTCGAAGGAGCCCCAGCTGCAGATGCAATTGTAAGCGTAAAGATTCTCCTACTAGCTATATTTTCTGTCTTTGCTTCTGTAGGTTTCTCCTGCAAATAGCTTTGGGTTCATGGATGGAGGCATAGACATGGTATACTCCCTTCACTTTGGATGGGACCTGTGAGCCACCGAGCACCACACAACATCATCTCTTTCAATGGATGTTTATTGATACAGACAAAAGAGACTGCAGGAACTCCTGCGCAAGCAGTACAGTGGGGAACTCCCAGTGGTATGGTAGACCCTGCAATGATTAGTTACACCACACTCACTTGCACTATTATTTCACCTACTATTCTGTGTGTTGAAACAAAGGGTTGTGCTGTGGTGTTGCCGGCCTACCCTCCTGATCATGATTTTAGCAAGACTCCATTGTCCGAGTCGGTCAACGAAGGTCGGCCCATCCACCACCTGGTCTCAGCTCCCACCATGAGAATACCCACCAATATCTCCACAACAGTCAACTCCTACCTCGCCTTTCGGGCAGTTCTTAGATCTGGTGAATCCTTGCATCGTCTGTCGGGCACTAAATGGCTTATCCATATCACAGTGTTGGAGTATCAATCATCAGGAGCCAGTAGCGAGGACAAGATCCACAGGGTTCTCTGTCCTGGGCTGGGTACGGCGGTGGGAAGGATGCCCTACTCCAGGTCTGCCATTCAGGTCTTATGTTCTTAGCACTATTATATACCATATGTGAGTCTTCTCTCCTCTACTGTGTACAGATGAGGACAGCCTATGATGCAGTGATGTATGGTAATGTTGAGGCTATAAACTCTCCATCATCACTTGGCGACAGCTGTACAAGTCACACTAGTCTTTGTCAGGTCTGTGTGTTACAAAGCCAATACAACCTGATGCGTGTGACTGTCTGTTGTCTTGCAGGCTGGAAAAGGTGGTGAAACTGCCTTTGGCCCCACAGCAGAGGATGGCGAACTGTTTGTGGACTGAGCGCATCCCATTTTTCTCGTTGTTTTTATGGCTGTGAGGTTTCAAATGTCACACAGAAAAATAAATTCACTGAATTATTGTGTTTGTGATTTTCCCAATCTCGTCGATTTCGCACTCTACAACATCCCCTTTCTGCAATGAGCATGCAATGCAGCCAGAGTCAATTTGAATTCGTGATTTATTTCTTAATTCATACCTTGAGCCAAATTGGAGGGTCTCTGAAGCAGCCCACACCAGGTGGAGTGCCCGTCAGTACCACATCCCCTGGCTCCAGAGTCATAAACCTACAGAACACCAATTTTATCACCATTGGTTAAATTCTCCATCAAAAGATTTTCCTGCTAGGCAGTACCGAGTTACCTGGAAATGAAGGCCACCAGAGCCCCAGTCTTGTGTACCAGTTGCTCTGTATTGGAGTTCTGTACCAGCTCTCCATTCAGACGACAGCGGATGCCCAGCTTGTGTGGGTCTAAGGCGTGTATATACAAAGCATGGAAGCTGACAGAATAATACCACTTGTATGATCATAGATTTAACCAGAGCCTAGTGAAGAGTGTATATGATGAAACCTAGACATTGTTGAAGGATATGCATACATAGTAGGTAGAGTGTATGGTTGTATACCTGAGAGAGAGCTAGGGGTAACAATTGCTGGGCCGAGGGGACAGAACGTGTCGAAAGTCTTGCCCAGCAGCCACTGTTTCCCGTTCTTCTTCATCTGCCAGTCTCTGGCACTGACATCGTGAGCCACAGTGTATCCTGCCACGTGAGACATCGCCTCACTCTCCTGCTCATGAAAAAATCACTAGTGAAGCCAGTAGACAAGTATATTCATACCTTGATGTGTTTGCCTCTTCTTGAAATGACAAAGGCGAGTTCAACCTCATAATCAAGACTCTAGTGGGAGTATTCACATACGATTACATAGGTGGTGGTAGTATACAGGTACACTGACATCAGTCTCTTTGGGGTGGATGACAGCTCCATTGGGCTCAGTGATGGCTGAGGCAAACTTGCTGAAGATGATGGGCTCCTGTGGGACAGGGTAGTTCTGCTCCTTGCAGTGGTCCACGTAGTTCATCCCAACACACAACAGCTTCTGGGGGTCGTAGATGGGTGCCTTGAGGGTGCAGCTGGCAGCCGCGAAGATATGGTCTGACGATGACGATACCGCCTCTGCAACTCTGAACAGAAATCATACGAGAGTGAAAGGCTGTAGCAGTAGCTACTTGGCTGCGAGAGGGAGGTTGGTGTCCCAGCCTTGCAGGAAGGAGCGCATGTCCCTGGGAAGGCTTGGCTCCGCTGCGCACACGTCCACCACGCTGCCCCCGTCTCCCAGCTGAACTCCGACCCGCTGGGGAGAGCTCGCCGTCTCGAACTGGACGAGACGCAGTTTCACGTCGGCCATGGCTCCGTAACTGGATCGTTTTCATGTGACAAGGGATACAGTCGTAGTGAGCTGATGCTAGGCTACCTCAAGAAACTCGCTGGAGTCAGGAAAGGGCGGTTTAGAGTGAGTAGAGACGGAGACGTCTTGCTCAGCAACCTGCCAATCAGCAGCATGCTGCAACGGGGTGCGCATGCGCAACACAGATGTTGTAGGTGGGGCTCCTTTCTGCGACCTCTCTGATTCACGCCCAACCCTGGCCCTAGTTGTAGTTTTGCTGAGTGCCTCACCGTCTGAAGACTTTTGACCATGGGAGACAAGAAGATCGTGGGCATATTGCCCAACCAGTACGTCCACGTTCTGGATCTGGTGAGTGGCAATAGCTATGTAATGAATGTCAGAGTTATGTCCCATTCCCTCGCACTAGCTATGCCTGCACGGACCATTGAGCTCTGTGTATTCCGTTAGCATACAGGGTAACGTCTCCCCTTTCCCTCCTAAACTTCTAGAACACGAACATAACGGTGCTGGAGGTGGGACCGCAGAACCTCATCATGCAGGACAACCACAAACTGGTGGCCGGGCCCCTCCCCTTTGTTACCATCCCTCCAGGCCACTATGCTGTGGTTGTCAACCCCATTGACATGACGTGAGACCCAAACACTCATTTTCTTATTTAGACCTGTACAGAAATGCTGGCTGTATTTCTGAGTACATACATACATACTGTATATACATCCGATGATGGAGAGGTGTGCTGTTTGTAATAGAGGTGTGCTGTTTCTATTTATACAGCAAGTGTAAAGGTGGAGGGAAAGTTGTACGAGCTCTCATTTGGCCACCAAGAAGTACGTCTTCATGGGGTGAGTATCACAGCGTGTGTGTGCTCCGTCAGAATGAATCGTTATGAGGCTATGATTACAGGAGCCATTCCCTCTGTACCCCGGGGAAGAGCTCGAGGGAGCTCCTCCAAAAGGTAGCAAACGTGTCCCCGTTCCTCCATCCACCATAAATAATATACTGCCCCTCCCTTGTATGTCACTGGTGCAGACTTCTCGCGAGCGGTTAAGGCTCTACCGCACGTAAAGGCAGACCACGGCCTTCATCTGAGAGCCCTGGCCACCATTGACAAAGATGAATCTGGGGCGAAGAGGACCGAGAGAGAAGAGTGGCAGCTCCGTGGGCCTCTCACCTACATCCCCTGCCCGGGAGTCGTGGTTAGTCGAGAGCAATCAACGTGGAAACGAACAGGGTTTTACCCCTGTGATTGGTTTACAGGAGGTGGTTCGTGCGATGTCTCCCCATATCATCAGTCCCGGGCACGCTCTGCGACTGAGGGCCACTCAGGTCCTCCAGACATCCAGTGGGGAGACGAGAGCCACTGGGGAAGAGTGGCTGGTCAGAGATGTGGGTGCCTACCTGCCTGGGGTTTTTGAAGAGGTATATACAGGGTCTCTCTTTACCTTCCCCCCTCCTTCTCTTTCACTTCCTCAACCGATTTTACTTCAAAGTATAATATACAATGGAAGCGAAATAAAGTTACAACTACTGGTGATCCTTCCACAGGTGGTAAGCATGGTGAAGGCAGTCACGCTCACCCCAAAGCTGGCTCTCCATATCCGTGCCATTGATTCCTACACTGACCAGTTTGGTAGGAAAAGGTGTGTAGCATTATGTTCAGGCACTTTGGACTCATCACCCTGCATCGCTGTTAGGCATGTAGGGGATGAATGGCTGGTAACTGACGAGGACACTGAATGCTACATCCCTGACGTCACTGAGGTAAACCATGCATTGTGACTATAGGACTGACATACATAGATGACCCTTGGGGGGTTAATATATTATCTGTATGGTTGCCCTGTGTAGGAGGTGGTGAAGGTGGTGCGGTTGACGGTGCTCAAACCCAGGCAGTACTGTGTGGTGGTTGATGCAGTCGGGAAAGATGGACGCCCGCAGCTCGGTCACAGGGAGCTCCGCTGCGGACCACTCACCTTCTTCCTCCAACCAGGCAAGTATAATCTCATCCAGTAGTATTATATATAGTTTCACTGCTGTATAATTATATTAAGGATGTATTAGTGGGTGACTACACATGTATAATGCCATTGTGTTTGTGTTCATGAGGGAGGTTCTATAGTGCAAAAGACCCTCCTACAGTACTCACTGATGGCTAGTGTACTGTGAGTATGTTTTGTGTATTAGGAGAGCGTCTGGAGTCGGGGATCAAGAACGCGCTGCTCCTGCAATCAGATGAGGCGATTGTCGTCACTGCACAGGAAGAGTTAGACGACATACTGCCAAACGGTGAGTAACGGGCGAGAGATTTGGACGTCTACCAAGATCCTGTTTTCGTTACACGAATTACCGGTTTAGAACCGGTCCGGAGTGTGTTTGTTTGACTCTTGGAAAGGACTACAGACTACTGAAAATGGCTTCTATCTAACAATAGTCCAGTTTATGTATGCATAGAGTGAGGATTCCTGGCTCGCCAGCTGGTCGCCACACACATTATATACCCCTGAGTGAGAGGGTGTGTGTGTGTGTGGTCTGCTCAATAAATACCATTTTAGTCAATCACCTACAGCTGAGCTATGTAATAATGCATAACCCTCAGGTAAGAAAGTCCACCGCAGTCCTGGGGACCGGTGGATGTTGAATGGACCGATGGACTACATCCCCCCTATAGAGGTTGGGGCCTTCCAGACCAGGTGGGTCCTTGTACCTCCATTCAACAACTCTGTGCATATTATGCACAATAGTAAAGGGTAGGATAGTCTCAACAGTGGAGAAGGGAGGGAGGGATGGCACAGTGCCCAGTCCAGTAAACGCTGCTCCATTCACCCTACAGGAAGGCAATTCCTCTGAATGAGAATGAGGGAATCTATGTCCGTGACGTTCAGACCGGCCAGGTGAGACAGTGGTGGCGGCTGTAATTACATCTCTACTGGGAGTTGGCGCAGAGGCAGGGCTAGTAATCCTATTGTGCGTTTTGCTTTGAGTGCTCTTTCTTAGCGTGTGTTGCCTAGTTGCCCAGCTGATGTTATTGCATTCCTGTATATTATACAGCACACAATACGACTGCACACAGGATATGGTTGATCTGTGTGTGTGTGTGCGACTATTGTTCGTGCACATGTCTGTTTTGTAGGTGAGGAGTGTACTGGGGCCACAGGCTTACATGTTGAAGGCAAACGAGGAGCTGTTTGAGAAGACACTTGTTCCACTGGTTGAGGATATTCTCAAGTACAGACCCCGCCATCTGTCAGTCTACAGCTCTGTGTACCATACAACGCACACACTCGCACAGGAAGGGAGGCGGGATTGGTGACACCAACATAAGGAAAATGGCGTATTTTGAGAGTTTTGTGGACGACTCTTACAAGGCAAGTGTGTGTAGCACCACCTCTCCCTATTGACACCTCTGCATCCCTGTGTATACAGAAACGTGACAAGACCCGTGTCATTACATACCGATGCCCAAACAATTGTGCTGTCCAGGTAAAAACTGACATACTCAACAATCATAAACATGCAAACTCCCTCCCGTTGTCCTTGTTTTTCCATTCTTCCTGCCTCCCTCCTCCCCCTCTCCTTCCTTCCCTCTTCTCTCCTTCCTTTTCTCTTCTCTTCTCCTATCCTCCATTGCTGCCGCTGATCCCCCGACAAGGTCTATAACTATGCTGAGAAGACGGCTCGCGTGGTGTTTGGACCTGACCTGGTTGTCCTGGATCCCCACGAGACCTTCAACGTCCTGTTTCTCTCAGGTGGGCCAGACCCAGCTGCCCATGAATCATCATCACCTGATCAATACCACCAAAAGTCTTGAATTCACTCGGTCTCACCTCAACCGTGTAACACACTGTGCGTCCGGTTCCCAGAACTCCAATTTGTGATTTGGGACTGAGACGCAAACACATCAATAACGAGGCTAATGAGCCTTAATCCTCAGAGGAATTGTGAATACTGGTCTGAACACATGGTGTTTCGTGGGCAAATGAAATATTGCATCATTTTTTGCCACCCACAGTATTTTACATTTTGACAACAGGGACTATGTATACACTTCTCTCCCAATGAATATAACTGACACATTGCATTATACCACAGCTGGCAAGCCCAAGAAGCCAGGGGCCCTCATTACCATTTGCCTGATGCTGGGGCCAGACTTTATCTCAGACGAGCTTGTGGTGGAGACCTCTGACCATGCTAGACTCAAGGTGGCTCTGGCCATGAACAACTACTTCACCGTGAGCTCATCACCTGTGTCCCTACTGAGCGTGTGTGGGTGTGGGTGTGGGTATGGGTGTGTGGTAGTAGTGAGTAGTGCTGGAAGGAGGTGTGGCAGGGGTGTGTCCATACTCTTGTGTGTGTGTGTGTTTCCTGTCAGGTGAAGTGTGGAGATGCAGAATCTGAGGCAAAGTTGTTTTCAGTCCCCGACTTCATAGGGTTTGCCTGCAGAGAAGTCGGTGAGGAAAGCACACACATACTACACGTATATAGTTCTCCGTTTAATCTTGTGTCTTGCTCCATAGCCAGTAAAATTAGAGGGGCGGTTGCTGGGATCCCCTTCGAGAAATTCCACAAGTATTCGAGCGAGATCATTCGTGCCGGCGTGTTTGGTCGCGACGAACACGGGAAGCTGAGAGACCAACTGGTGTTCCCTGCCAACAACCTCGTGAGTTGCACCTTGCCCCTGCACAATTAGCCCATTATTGAAAGGGTTGTACTCGCCAATTGTGGACGCCTGGCATTGCTTGTTTACTATGCTTTTCTATATTATGTACCCCTACATAGTGTGTGTTGTAATGCAGTGGCCCTTAAACCTGCCGTTTCGAGAGAGAATTCATAGTCGCCAATCAAACAGTAGATTGTTTTGTAGTGTTGCAAGATAATCACACAGATAAGGCAAAGTCCACTAATACATTTTCGACTCCCACCACAAGCCGGCAGGTGTGTAGTACCACCAAAACAGGAATTGTATGTCTATAGCTTACAAAATCAACATAGCATTCGGAGGTGGGTACCGGTGTTAAAAATGCATTGTTGTGGTGGAAAAACCAGTCTACACTTTGCTCAGGATTGTTCTTACTTCTGAGCTCTCTGCATTTGTTTTCTCTGTCATATGCCACACACACACACACACACACACACACACCACACACACACACACACCACAGGTGATCACCAATATAGATGTTCAGAGTATAGAGCCAGTGGACCAGCAGATGCGAGACAGTCTGTCAAAGTCTGTCCAGATGGCCATCGAGATCTCCACCAAGTTAGCCCCACCCCTTTCATTACATGCCTGTTTAGCTGGACGGTTCTCATTTCTGATAAGGACCGGCGTGTGTGTAAACTCTTCTCATAGTAGCGGCATTCCAAACATGTATATAGCACATGCTGTGTACAGTATATTGGTTCCACTGTCTCAATACATTATGAGTGGTTTGTGGCCGGTGTGGCAGTCAGCATATGGTGGGTAATTTGTCTCGACCAAGTTCTAATTAAGGGGGGGTTGCTTTACTCATCATTAATCAGTGTAGGGCAGCATAATTATTATTATGTTAAGTTTCGTCCGTTCGATAATTCAGTGTCTGGTGCCAGCATGATGTGAGTTGAAACAAAAGACATTTGTGGTATACTGCCTCGTGCACTGTATACATACACATGCCTACATATGGTGTGTATAACACCATAGCTGAGAGGGTTAGCGTTGTATGTTGATACAACAGGTCCATAGAGCGTGCAGCACAGCATGAGGCCAAGAGGACTGAACAGAAGGCAAAGGGAGAGCTGGAGAGACAAAAGCTACAAAACGAGAAGGTGATGTATATTCAAATAGTATGCATAAGAAGGCATTTGATACTGGTATGCAAAACAATCCAGCATGCATGATCTTTAGTCTAGACCGACTTTTGATCACTTGGCAAGGCTCCAAGTGTCCTGCCGTTTGCACGAGGACACAGAGGAGCCAGCTGCAAGCAGAAAAACGTGTCTGTCACTTGTTTTGACCTGGTGGTTGCCTGCACCAAAACCACGCATTATCTCCCGAGCGCTCTGTTTTGGCTGGCCTGTGGGCTCACGCTGTATATACATTCACGGTTCTTGTGTTGTGTGTCTTCAACTTTCGCCTGGTTGTGTGCGTGTGTACAGGAAGCAGAGGAGGCTCGGTGCACTCTGCTAGAGCTGCAGGCGGTGGCTGCGGCTGTGGAGTCTTCGGGCCAGTCAAAGGCAGAGGCACAGGCAAGAGCTGAGAGACTGCTCATTGAGGGACAGAGTGCTATTGAATGTGAGGCAACTCTCACTCCCCCACTCTCCTAATGTGTACCACCTCGCTCAAAGCCCACAGCAAATAGTCTCATAATATGCAATTGTTACTCTGCTGTCCTCCTGAAGGGCTTAACCTGCTGCGTGGGTGAGGAAGGCATTGTGCTCACTTTAGTATAGTACAGTTTGCACCTGCTCGGTGGATTAATCCACGTTTTGTGTGTGGGTCGTTTCGGTGAAAAGAGGGTGGTGCGGGTCAGAACAAGGAAAGCTGTAATCTGCACACTACCAGTGTTTCTAGTGTTTACCGGTGTAGCATGTGTGCACATCAAGTGAGGGTCTTTTCAATCGCCCCTGTATTCTTACATCGACATTACTCTCCACATGCCAATATACGTACGTAAGTAGTTTATGAGGTGGTTCACTGCCTGCCCCTGTAAGAATGAGTGATAATAAATGCTGAGCAGCTAAGGAGCTAAGGTGATAGTATGAGAGTAGCCAGATCTGCTGTTGCCATGCCAGGCTGAAGTCAAGGGTTGCAGTTGATGTGAGAATGTGGCTGACAGCGCTGTCAAAACGCATAACTCAATTGCCAGCGTGTGTGTGCCGCTGCGGTCACCCCATACCTCCGGGAGGCTGCCATCAGCTTGTTTAGCTCGCGAGCAAGCCTCTAGCGGGCGCTGAATGTGCTTGGATAGGTGTGAATGTCAGACAAATGCCTCCATTCATTGCCCAGTACCACTGGCACTGTCTGCTCTCAGTCCATACAATTTCAAACACATGGCTAGTAGGTCACAGACCACCTCCTAAGACTTGCACTGTATTATTCAAGGTTCATGTATTGGGGGGCATCCTTACATCCACCTACTCGGGGTCTTGTCGAGGGCTTGTTAGTGAAGGATTTGCATGCAGACACACCTGCACCACACACCTCGCGTGTTTTATTGTGTAGTGGCAGAATTGAAAGCGGAAGCTGCGCGTATCGAGACCAATGCAGAGCTGGATTGCCAGACAAGGGCCAGGGAGGCAGAGATCCAGTTCCTGAAGGAACAGAATGAACTGGAGACCAGCAGGGCCAGGGAACTGGGCAATATTGAGGTGAGCACGTGAGTGATTGGGTGATTGGGTGATTGGGTGATTTGTCTGCAACCCTCCTGAGCTTGTAAGGGCACACAATGCTGGGAGGGAGCTGGGCATTGTGTGGACCTGCCCACACTTGTACAACTGAAATGTGGGTGTAGGTTTTGCACCTGGCCCGTCAGTTTTTCCCTCTCTGCTGCACAGGTGGAAAAGTTTTCAAAGACGGTGGATTGCATAGGTCAGAGCACGATCAGTACCATTGCCAAAGCTGGACCCCAGGCAAAGGTGGGTACAGTGTACTGTCTGGAGTACTGACCTGTGGACCTCTCAGAGAGAGGGCAAGTGTAGGTGGCTGTGATGCAACTCAATAGGGGCCTGGAAGTTTAGGGGTTGTTTGGTTTGGAGGGCAACGTAGTACTGGCTGATGCAATTCTCATGTTCTGCAGATGCAGCTGCTCCAAGGTCTGGGAATACAGAACACATTGATCACGGATGGCAAGACTCCACTCAACGTATACCAGGCCTCACAGGGCACCTTGCTTTCCCCACCACTTGCCCACTAGAGACCAGCAGATTGACTGCAGACTTCGTAGTGTTCTCTAAAAAAATTCCTTTTTTTGTGAATTATGACGTAATTGAGAAGCTATAATTAACGTGACGTTCGCGGCTGCGATTGGTCAGAGATCCTTATCGAATGATTAGTGCCGTGTGCAAGGAATGTTGTTTACAGGGGTATAATTGAGCTGGGTCGAGAAGGTTCTCTCAGATTTTTACAGAGTTAGGAGCGACACATTGACTGCGGCGGGCGGTGCAGTTGTTTACTCGTACCCGGCGAAAGGAGCAGAAGGCGGAAGGAGAGCTGCTGGGCCACGACGAGCTGCAGCGCGGCGCTGCGAGACAGAGCGAGACCCGCGAGAAAGCAACTGACGACGACCGTGCATGCACAGCTGCTCTGGAAGGAATTGCATCATCCTGCGTGTGCCGCGCCGTCACTGGAGCACCAGCCGCTGCGGTTCTGCATGTCGCACGCTCGCATCGTGTCTGCTGCAATCACGCTCTGAGGTCCTCCGCCTCGCCCGAACCCGCTGAGCTCCCCCTCCACACACCGTCGGTCCGTCCTCTCCAACTACAGCCACTACTACTACCCGATCATCCACAGGTGTTTTTTCATACCTGCTACACTCTCCGTGGACACAGTGTGAGCTCTATGACACAGCACGTCCACGAGAGACCTCACACCAGTTTTTAGACAGCCCTCCTACCTACCCGTTACTTCTCTCTACCTGTGCCTCTTAGTCAAAAACTAAGTTTCTGTTCACCTCTCTACTAGCTAGTCAACTCAGAAATTTCAGAAAATTGTATACCGTCTGTTGACAAGTCAACCATGTCGTCAATGGAAGTAGACGTACCACAATTGAATGGCTTTGCTCACAACCCCTCGAAGGTCGCCAAAAAATCCGTCCATTTTGGCTCCCCTCCTGCTCCTGCCAACGCAACCACAGCGGCCGAGATTACCATCGTGACGAAAAGGAGCGAGAGCAGTGTAAAGCCGAAACACAAGGCTCGACGCCGGGCCAGACACCCGAGCAAGTCGGAGGACCTAGAGAATGGTGGAGTGCCCAAGCCCATCTCTCCGTGCAAGGTCCACAAGATGGCCGAGAGAAACCGTCACTCCAGGAGTGGAATGAGAGGTCTCCCCAAGAAAGGTGGAATGTCCACTGCATATGTTACAAATTTGAAATTTGAAACACGTTGTGTTGGTTGTTTCTAATGTGTCAAGATGTATACAGATGCCTGGCCTTGCATACTAAAATAGTCAGCAAGCCCCTTGATGGACATAACCTGTTTTAGAAGTAACCTAGCAAAGCTGAATCCCTAGTAGACACATTTTGTAGTAAACTTACCACCGCCTTGTATGTTGACTACCCTGCTTCAATCTGCTTGTCCAGGTGGGGCAGGTGGGAAGGGGACTTGGGGGAAGCTGGGAGAAGTGTACTATGACGATGGACACACTCACGACCAAAAAGACCCAAACTATGACTCGGAGGAAGAAGAGGTATAGGTGTATGTGTCAAAAACCTTGAAATTTTTTGATTGGTGTGTGTATATACCAATATTGAAGCATAGAAGCAAGTATCTGTCATCCCCATGTTTTACGTCTTTTCTCATTCCTCCTTCCTACCGGCCATTATATATTCTTTGTTTTCTCTTGCACAGGGGACATATACAGTGTCTCCGTCTTCCCCACACCTGAGCATCGAGGAATTCAGGAAGCAGGCAGTGGCCATATTCAAGGAGTACTTTGAGCATGGAGACACGACTGATGTGGCTGTGAGTGATCCACACACAATCTCCCTCCACATGCATCCCAGTTAGCAGATACATGGAAATCTGTTTATTCCAATCGCCTGCTTGTTGGAGATCATCAGTTTATGCTCTCTGGCGAAACAACACACACCCTCCCACGCAGTACTAAGCTGTCTTCTCTGCCTGTTAGATATGTATCTCGCATCGAATTTCTTTGCCTTTGTCCACAGGCGTCGCTTGCCGAGTGCAACATCCAGAACATCAAGGAAGAGGTGGTGCACATGCTGGTGACGGTGGCTCTGGAGGAGAGCGCCTCTCGTCGCGAGCTCGCCTCAGTCCTCATCTCTGACCTCTACGGCTACTCCGTCATCAATTTGCGCGACGTCACTGAAGGTGAGCTCCCAACACAAACACACGCAAATACATGTAACTCGTGTATCCAATCTTGAAAAAAAAACAACTACTACGCTCCACTGTGACTTAGTGTGCATAATAGTCTGAAACATCACTTCTTCCTCCACCCTTTGTTTTGAGTGGGCGCCCCATGCAAAAGAGATATAGGTTGTTGCTGTTTTCGTGGCTTTTTCTTTTTGAAGATGGAGTAAATACCATGTGGTGCATTATGTTTGGTCAATAGTCCCCCGAAAAACCGTTGTGATTTTATGCTTTTAGTGTGCGTTGCTGCTGGTGTGCTGTGTACACATAAGCCATTAAATTCTAACGTGGGTTAATTGGATGTCAGAGTACACGATAATAACCTGCTGTGCAGTGTTTGTATATACTTGTACTAGAAAGGAAATTGGACATTATTGCAATCCGCTACCATTCGCTGGGTGGATTCACATGACTCTCTCTCTCTCTCTCTCTTGTTGGTGTTCAGGGTTCAACATGCTCCTGGAGGAGCTGGATGAGCTGAGTCTCGACACACCAGATGCTCCAGAGGTTCTGGGGAACTTCATGGCTCGTGCTGTAGCCGACGACTGCGTTCCTCCTGCCTACATTGTCAATGTGACTGACGTACAGGACCCCAAGGCACTGTACGTTGCTTGCTGCACTGTCTGTCCTAGCCAATTAGTATGCACACAACTTGCTGAGCTGGAGCATGTAGCACTATTGGCCATTGCCAAGTTTTTACAAACAAGGTCCACGGCTATCGTTTCCTCTTGGTTTCCTCCTCCTCCTGCCCACACTTGCAGCTCTGCTCTGAAACGTGCCCAACTGCTGCTCAACATCAAGCATGGGATGGCTCGTCTGGACAATGTGTGGGGAGTCGGTGGTGGACAGCGTCCAGTCATGTTCCTTATCAGCAAGGTGAAGAAGAATTTAGATGTATCTTTAGTTCATCTGTCTCTAGCTTACACATCTGGTGTGTATACTGTGTTGGTGGTTTGTTTTGGGCCTTGTTACGGCTGTTATGCTGCTGTATAAAATGCTCAGTTTGGAGAGAGATGTACTTGTAACAACATCAATCATGTGAGCGTGTAGCTTGTGCTGCTGTACAAACAAAGTGTGAAGTCTCTTGTTGTGTGTGTGTCTTGGATACTTGTGCTCTTTTGTGGTATCATTGTACAGCGGGTGAAATGCCGGCACTGCTGCATTTAGCATGAAATATTGTTGACAGAGACATTTGCATTGTGTAGGACTAGCAACCCGTGAATGTTTCTCTCTTTCTCTCCGTCTCTTCTTTCCCTCCGCATACCGTCTTCCATCTCTCCCTCTTGTTTTAGATGAACCTCCTGCTGAAAGAATATTTGTCCTCTGGTGACTGTCGTGAGGCCGACCGCTGCCTCCATGAACTGGAAGTACCTCACTTTCATCACGAGCTTGTCTATGAGGTAAGTCTAGCACCATGTGACCAGTCTGCTGCCAGGATGGTATTTTGTAATGTTGGGTAATACCTTGGGGAATCCCGTGTGCCTGCATCAGTCAGGACTCTGTTGCTGACACCAGATCCTGCTGATAGGGCCAGTGTAGCATCTCTGTGTGTGTTCCTAGGCTATCATCATGGTTCTGGAGTACGGGAATGCCGAGAAGATGTGCAATCTGCTCAAGTACCTTGCAGAGAGCACTGTTCTAACCCTGGACCAGATAAACATGGTGAGTGTATTGAACTCGCCTGATGCAGCCCGACATGATACACTGCTCTTTTTCACACACTTCCTCCTTCTCCTAGGGTTTCATGCGAGTTTTCAACGACATGACTGAGATTGTCCTGGACGCACCAAACGCCTACCACACTCTGAGCAAGTTCGTGGAGCTTTGCTTCAGTGCTGGGTTCGTCTCCAAATCCATGGTTGACGAGCTACCGCAGAGGTTGGCCCCTTACATAACGAGCATAATAATGATCTGCACGAAGATGCCAAGCTTCTCTGTCCATTGTGTGGAGACTATCTCACTCTCTCTTTTCTCTGGGTGCAGGGGCCGCAAGCGTTTTGTGAGTGAGGGTGACGGAGGAGCCATCAAGGTTCCCGAGGACTGAGGCAAACCCCTTTAATCTGGACTACAAAAAAGGATTGGACACTGTAATACTGTAGTACATACCTCAGTTGTGACTGAACCTATCAACCTGTCGTGTCCCCTCAAGTTGTGTATTACAGCACTAGCCTGTGTGTGCCCCATCCCTCTCATCTTGTCGCATTCAGGTCACTTGTCTTTTATAAACCAAGACCTCGGTGTAATGATCTGTCAGATGATCTTTCCTTTGAAATTGCATCGTGGCGCGTGTGTGCGCGCGCGCGCTGGACGCCCTCCGATATGCGCATGCGCAGTGTGAATGCGTGGTTGCGCATGCGCGGGATTGAATCAAGTCCCGTTTCGCTCGTCGACCGACGCCGACGTCCAGCTAGCTCAGCTAGCAATGATCGTGATGGATGCCAGAGTGACCTGAAATGGGAAATTCGTGGAGAAAGAAAGCCGGTGAGTCCTGCTGCTGCCTGATCTGGTAAGGTGGTGGTAGCAGTAGGCACTAGTGAGTGACGAACATTTGCACAGGAGCACTGCCGTCAGCCCCGATTGCTAATATATACAGCTAGCAAACTGCATTGCACAGCAGTGATAAAAACCTCACCACTACGACAAACGTCATCTGTCGACCTTGAACTTCGAAATCTGGTGTTAGATTTGCACATGAGCCAATAGCTATCGCTGCCTTGTATACGCGGTGGGCTGTATAAAATAGCGTGACCAGCTAGCTCTGGTGAGATGTGGTCAATTACACTACCAAAACATCTGCACTCAAAAGCGTATGAAGCCCCTTTTCTACAGTTGTGTGAGTATATAAGCATGCTTGCTTTGATGTCAACCAGACCCTGATGAGTATCTTGTGGGGCCGCAAGTGTGCAACTGGAAACTGAGAGGATCATGGGTGGATGTCTGTCTTGAAACTGTGGAGCATGTGAACTTAAGCGATGATGACTCAATTGTTATGGGCAACATTATCGCACATGATAAAAAAAGTGGTTAGAAGCAGTAGCTAATTATTTTGCATTGAAAATGCTTGCATAATTCTGCTGTCTTGATATGCTTCCAAAACAGTGCCACAGCCAGCAATGCTGCTCAGTGCTGATGAGACAGTCTCCAACAATTCCCCAAGCACCAGTAGTGTTGACTGGTCACTGGATGCTCAACACGAGAGTGAGTTGTATCAACACTGTCCATTCAACTGCCAGCCACTCGCGTTGTTGGAACTAACCAACACAAACAAAAGCCCAAAACACTTTAACGATTTGTTTTTGGTGGACCTTGCAGCTGTTCTAGACCTGGAGATAGAGCAGGTGATGGAAGTGGGAGAGGTTACGGAGAACAAGAAAGCCGCCATCATGGCCACCCTCCACCGGCACTCCACACAGCTCTGCAAGGGAGTCAGCATCACATGCCTCGTTGCAATCCTCTACTCCAACAACGTGACCGGCTCGCCAGTGTTTTCTGGTCTCAGTAACGCCGTAGGCAAGTCAGAATACCTTGTGCAGGAGATTTTAGCGGCTGTTGAGAGAGAGCCTGCAAAATTTGAGGACGTGTGTAGCAGCATTGCATTGGCTCATTCACCGGCTTACGGCCGTCTCCTGTGGAGTGAGTGCGGAAAATTAATATTTGCCTGCATGAGTGCTATTATATCTGCAGCTGAGTATGAAAGAGAGTTAGCAGTTCATGAGAGGACTAGTGGTACATTTTGTCGATCGAGGTGAGTTGTGCATTCCATGGCAATGGTATCAATTGTCTGTTCCATCAGTTCTGAGTGATGAGGAGGTCGTTTAAACACCCAGCAGTGGATGCTGAGTGGGTCAAAAGCAAGAGTCGTGAAAGACGAGTCACAAGACAGACAGTGGCGACCGTAGATTACTTATCGTCGGTGTGTATGTAGAAAACCTTTTGCGCATGCGTACTTACCCCGTATACAGCGCATGCGCATTGCAGTAGGTGTGGCTTCTGACTTGCATGCAGGCTTCTCTCGACTCCCTAAAGCCCAGTAGTGATTCTGAGCTCGTCCAGACCGCCGAGGCGTTCTTACACTGACGGTGAGAATCGTTTCCCAAGTCTTCAGTATTTTATGTCTTGACTGCAAGCCATATAAACCGCCAGCTGCTAGCTGTAGGCGTGGCCATCATGGGCACGGTGCTCTGGATAGCAGGGACCCTCTGGGCCGCTCTGCTCGTCTACAATTTCATCACGGCACTGTTTGGGATCAACACCTTCCGCGTGAAGTACATCGAGCTCCTGAGATGGCTCTACCGGGTAACACACTCAGTAACTTTGATTATGAGGTCCAGTCCCACACCTCCTCACTGAAGGGTTTGGTATGCTCATAAATGCCCCCCACTTTTCCCTCTGTTCCAGTTGGTAGGTATGAAGCCGATGAAGCCGGCCCCTAAGAATGGGAGCATGCAGCGGCAATATGGGGACGGTAAAGACAGTTGTATATATATAGTGTGTGTGCATGCGAGCTCTAACTGTTCCACTACACCATTTTGGATGGGTTTTAAGAACACTTAGTATGTACACATGTTTGCACAACCAAATGTAATGATTTGGCACTGGCAACAAACTCTATAAGTATTAATCACTTTTCTCTCCATTTGGACTCCTCCCCCTCCCCCTATCAATGTCTGTGCGGGGTCAGAGTTCGATGGCTATGGGATGGAGGGAATGAGTCGAGTGAAGTCATTTGGTTCGTTCAAACGAGGATTTAAGTTGGATGACGTGTGCGACTTTGTCAAGACCGGAGTCCAGGTTTGTATGGTCGTCAACATCAGTAGCAAAGAATAATCGTCGAGAGTGAGCATGCTCATCCACCGTGGCCCACACAGGGTAAAGATATCCTGGTAGCTCAGTTGGTAGAGCGCTCGCCTAGAAAGCAGAGTGTCGTGGCCTACCCAGGGAGACTCTAAGCCTTGTAATCAGTTCAAAGGTCATAACGCTGGACCTGTCAGTCACTATAATTATATGTGATTTGAAAGTATCCAAATTCCACACTCGCTCCTGCAGGTTATTGTTGATGATGAGGTCACCCATCGTTTCACAACTGAAGGTGAGCGAGCTTGCGACTGTGAGCATCGAACCAGCCTCTCTCCATAATCTTATGTGTGTATATACAATGTTACAATGTCGTACTAGTGTATCGGACAATAGTGTAGTGGATGAATAAACTATAGTGTTTGTTGAGAGTCAGCAGTGTGCTCCTCGTTTCCAGAGGTGGAGCAGTGGAATTTCCTGACGAGGACTCAGATGCAACTCAACATGGGGTTAAGCCTCTCTCCCTAACCTCCTCTACTCTGACACTGAGTGTGTTGTGGTGTGTGTGTGTGTATGTGGTACAGAATTGGATATGAGATTCTCCTGTGGCTCTCCATACTCTTCCGTTTTGGTGCCTTCTTCATTGTCAGGTACACATCGTACTATTTACTGTTGTTTTCCGCCATGTTAAATTTTCTCACTCCTGCTGCTGGGGAGGATGTACTTAGCTGTCTCATCTCGCTCCCTTCCTCTCCCTCTCCCTCCTCTCTCCCTTCCTCTCCCTCTCCCTCTCCCTCCTCTCTCCCTTCCTCTCCCTCTCCCTCCTCTCTATACAGACTCCCTATAGGGCTCACCAGTCTGATATGGCTGTTCTCAATCATGATCGCCTTCTCCATTCTCAACCTATTTGTACCCACCGCTCCGTGAGTATAATATACTAGTGTGGTGAGTGAGCAAAGAAAAGTGAATTGCGTAATTTTTCTGTAAGCTATCCGATGGTCTCAGACAAGACATTTGCACGTGGGTGAACATCAATTAGAGTGGTTCAAAGGTCACGCACGCTCTCGGTCTTGCTTGCTCGCCAAAAATGCATGGTATTTCCTCTAGTAGATTACGCCAAAAGCAATTCCGAGAGAGAGAGAGTGAGACAGAGAGACAGAGAATCATAGTATTAGCACCATTTCTTGGAAAATGCCCCGATTTTTGGCTCTTTGTCCTGCATCTACAACACCTCAACATGGTCACCCGAACATGCCAGATTTCAGGGGAAGGTGCGAGTGATGCCTCGTGCCACCTCTGTGTACTGCCACCAATTGTTCGTATTTCCGTGTGTGTGTGTGTGGTGTGTGTTTATTGTGTGTCGTATTTCAGGTGGAAGCTGAATGCCGAACGCTACTGTACAATGGTCTGCAGTCGACTCATTGCAGCTACGTTCACAGCTGTCATCAACATACACAACCCGTTAGTATAATACACACAACATACATATACGCTACGTAATGAGTTTGGCAGTACGTATGATGTTGAATGCCGACGCTACTCAAATGGTCTGTCAGTCGATCATGCGCTACTTCACAGCTGTCACAACAACACAACCCGTTGTATATCACACACATACATTACGCTACTATGAGTTTGGCAGTACGTATGATGTTGAATGCCGCGTGTATAAACTGCTTTCCCTCTGCTAATACGGGGACCTCTAATAATCAGGTTTTGGGTCCCGAATGCCCAGACAGGCATATGGTGTAGATGTAGCTTGTGGAAGTGGAGAATTGCTAGGTCTACCCACCGATTTGCCTCATGACATTGGTCATTTGTTGGACCAACAAGACGCCGAGTTAGCCTGCCTCCATTCACCTTTGACGCTGCCACTCCATTACCTGGCGCCCGTTTGGAAACAGCCCATTCACGCCGCGCTCCTTTCTCTTTGTGCAAACGTTTGTTGGGGGAAATGGAGACCGCATCGTGTTTTAAGTGGCGGTACACAGCAAAAACACGATGCACTCGTTGTATCCAGGTGTGTGTATGCCTACCTACCTACCACTCTCCTTGTCATACTACATACACATATTATACTCTAGTAGCACTCTCTCCATATACAATTAGTGTAACATGGAGCCAAGGTGTATAGCTGGTTGATCGTACTCTTTTTAGCTACCACGTGTGCATTGACACGGAGCTAAAAAATGATATAATATCCGGTTCAGCTGGCCCGCCTTTGTTTCAGGTGTAATAATCCGACTCTTTTTCATGGTTTTGTGTGTTTTGCGTTTTTTTCTTCTCGCAGGCAGAACAGAGCAAAGTGTGGGAGTGTGGTGGTTGCTAATCACACCACTCCAATTGACATTGTGATGCTGGCAGTCGACAATTGCTTCACTCTTGTAAGCCAAACACTTACATGCCAGTGGGCATACAAACATACATACATACATGATATTCCGTATTGTATTGTAGTCTTGCCAGCTCCACTATATTTGAGCTCGAAATGAAAGATAGAGTGTTTTAGTGGAATTCCGCAGAGTGTTTGGACTAATGGGAGCATTCTGGGATGTATAGCTCTCTTCCATATGTAACACAGCGCTCCCACACCATCCTTGGAACGAGAATTTGATTTGCATTCAAAACTAAGGGGCAGGAAGGGGAACCTGCCAGCAAACTGCGACCGCCGCTACATGCGCGCGCGAGACAGCAGTACAGAGGCGGAGGTGTTCTCCACTGGGTGGACTCGTAGGCTGCATTTGTCTCCTTGGCAGCGTTCGGGGGCAGTGGTTTGGGCTCTGCCAGCGGAGGAATTCAGGTGCTCTTGAAGACGGAGGCCAGCTGCCAACCTGCCACAGGTGGGAGCAGTCAAGTGGACAGACACTTGGAGAATACTTAGTGCAAGAGGTCGTGGGTATAAACCCACTCTTTATTTTGCACACATCACACTAGATTACCAGCTCATCTGTATATGTACACACACACACACACACACTGTACACGTCTGTCTGTGTGTATCGATGTACAATACGTTTACGTTATACTGACGCTGCATTATGAATGAAAACACTTATCTCGTGGCTCTCCAGATACTACAGTCTAAACTAATTCAGTGTGTGTATACTTGGATTAGATTTGTTACTTACGAGTGCTTGTGCAGCACCTCCACCCAGTGAGCTTGATAGGCCAGGTGTGCGGACTGCGGCTGTACTGGTGTATGGTGTCCTTGTTAGCGTAGCTACAGCAGAACAACAACTCCCTGCAAGCTGCAGGAAAGATAACACACAAATGGCTGTAGACTAACAGGAGAGGGACCTCAAGGGGTGAGGGAGAAGGGAGAAGGAGGGTGAAGGGCAGAAGGGCTGAGTAACCTGTGGAATGTTGATCATCTGTGGTCTAATATGGCCACTCCTAGCCAGGTCTCCACAATGAGGGGTGGGCAGACCCTGGCTGTGGGTAACGGGTCAATGTACACTGGCTGTGGGAGCCTGCATTGTGGCCTTGACCATCAGGCATCCTGTCAGGAATGTAGGGTCTGGGGTCTGGGACTTGCCTTGTGCTGAGGGACCTCACTCCCTGTCAGTTGTCCCCTCATTGTTTCCTGGCTCACAATAGTCTGTGGTACAAATAAAATCGGATTCGCTGAGATCTCCTTTTCCAGTGAGCTAGGCCCTCTTATTTATTATATCCTCTAGCCTGCATCTGTAAAATGCCATCTTCATGCCTGGCTCCATTTGGCGGGTATGTCTTGTAAGGGAGTGGACCACAGCTGAGTTGGCCCAGCGTCAGTCTCGCTGCCTGCGCCACTTAGTCCACTCTAATCTCCACAAGCATGCTTTTCACATCTCCCGACCGCCTCTTGCCAAGAACCTGAATTCCTCCTTCTGCAAATGTAGCGTCGCCCCACTCCCCACTGTAAGTGTGTGTAAGTACGCACACACTTTGCTATGGCACCACACATGTGCCTTCACTCAGCGCTCATTGTTTTTGGTCGAGTGTTGTCTTGGAAATAAGTGGATAACCATCTAATAACAATGAGCTCTCATTTGGTGCTCGGGGCAAAACAAGGGCCTCTGAGGGTACACACTGGCAGACAGGGTAAGGCTATCTGAAAGAAAGACCCTCAATTCAGCCCACTATTACCTGCAGACACCCCAGAGACTGGCTTCTTGCCTCTGTCTCTATTGTATACAGCTCTAAGGGGGTTGGGGAGGGTATGAGTGTCTCTTAGAGATGTTGTGTGTGTGAATATACAAGCCCTCTTGATCCTAATGTTGGTGACAGCTACTTTTTATTGGGTGTAGTTGCATGTTTGAGGCATGACCTTGAATTCTAACTGTTGTAAAACTAGCTGGTGGTGGTAAGTAACAGTGATCAAAATTAGCACCATTGCGTTGTGTGCTAAGGTCTCACTAAGGAAGAGCTAATACCTACTAGTTGAATGTATCTCTCTCTCACTCTCTCTCTCTCTCTCTCTGCTGCAGGTTGGTCAGAGGCATGGAGGGTTCACTGGGATCATCCAGAGTGCCTGCTCCCTTGCCCAGAGACACATCTGGTTCGAGAGGAAAGTCGCCGCCGACCGTAAGATGGTGGCCAAGAGGTGACTCAGTCTGCCTGTTGTCACGGGATGAGCACACACACACACACACACACACACACTCTGCCCTCTCTTGCATCGCGTGGGCATACATCTGTACACCGTCTACAGCTGTGTGTACGTAGAGTACGGTGAGTGTCTTCACTTGGACAGCTGAAGATCCATAGCTACCCCCACTCCCTACTCCACCTCTTGTGGGGTTGGTTTAGTTTCACTCTGTTGCCTGTTTACACTCAGCACACAGCATACTGAAATAAGCAAACAGCTCCATGCTTTTTTTCTTCGTGTGAGTGCGCGTGTGTGCGAGCTTGTGGAAGGAAACGCATGTAGTCTTGTGTGTGTGTGTGCACATAAGTTAAAAAACACAGCTTTTGAATGTCCTGCTGTTTTTTTTTCTGCTTCAGGCTAAAGGAGCACATCTCGGAACCGTCCAATAGTCCGATCCTCATATTTCCAGAAGGTCAGGCACCTAATCACGTCATGTGCGTAGCTTACACTAAGAATTATTATGTGCTGTGGCCTGAGCTCGAGATTAAGGGAAGGTGTCTGGGTGTTTGTTGTCGAGCATATCCTCTGATCTAGTCCGTTTGTTTGATGTCCTGTGGCCAAATTGGAATCCAGAGGATTGAAACTGCTTAATAATGACCTGCCAGTGTTCTTTGATCGACACGTGCGACGAGACTTGACGGAGTGTTGTTAGGCACTGGGATTAATGGACGGTCCTTTAAGGTGCGTTCCGGTAGCCGGTTGTTGTGGCTCTGAGTGTAGGCTGAGTCACCTAGTGTATGGATGAGAACTGTTGCTGCTGGCTGCAGAGCTGAGCTGACTGGCTCTGCATCCTAAGAGCTGACACAGAGTCTGTGCATTTATTCCCATCCTTTGACGTGTAGTGTATGCCTGTGTGCATGTGTGTGTGTGAGTGCATCAGCAGTTACACCGGCAGCGCCCACAACTCCGCGAGACTCGGGCGACTTCAAAGGCCGACCGGAGCTGCCTCGATAATGTAAGAGTTGGGGAAGTGCCAGGTGATAAATTGAAGGCTGGCTCAGAGAGCACATACCGCACTCTTTCCTTTGGAATCAACTGTCTGTGCATGCACTTGTGTGTGCTTGTGCGTTTAGAGTGTGTGACGGATGAACAGCGAAGGAACTAGTACGCAGGTGTCCACCGTATTGCGTTTTTACCTCTCTGATGGTATAAACACAGTGTTCTGAATTTAGATACTGGAGAAAGGTTGTTTTTAATATGGGCTTTAGTGGTGGCTGGAGCGTGAGGCAAAAAGAAACTGACTGGACTAAGAGATGGATTTGATATGGACATACACACACATCTACATTTAGGTATATACTATGGGGTGAGCAGAATAAACAAACTCCCTTACCAAAAAATAAACAAAGTAAAGTTGTAAAAATAACGTGGTCACAGAGACAAAAAACTGAAACTCTAGCCATTCCTTTGCCAGGGCACTCTGTTGGAAAGGCATGTGTTTTTTACTAGCTCACAACATGCAGTGTGTCTTCATTAGCGGTTCTTGCCATCTGCAGGGACATGCATCAATAATACCGGCGTTTTCATGTTCAAAAAGGGCTGCTTTGAGCTCGGGGCCACCATATATCCCGTCGTGATAAAGGTAAACATACTATGCCCACACGTGTCTGTCAGGTCATGCAAGTTGTGACTATTTTAGACCTAGGTGCTACTGTAGGGGGTGCTTACTTGCCAGCTCCTTACCAACTGCTTATCTCAAGTGCAGAGGCTAGTGCGTTCTCATTAGCTGTGGAAACACAGAAAGTGCCAATAGATTGCTATGCAAACACTACTTGAGCTTCTGCATGCACAGATGTCCTCTGTGCCTGTGTGACAGTGTTTGTCTTGAAAGTCTCGGTCACCCTTACTGTCCCATTGGTCCAGTACCGCAGAGAGTTTGCCGACCCCTTCTGGAATTCCCAGGAACAGAACATGCTGACCTACATTTTCATGCTCATGACCAGCTGGGCCATCGTGTGCGACGTCTACTACCTAGAACCAACCACAATCGGAGTCAGTAACGTGCAATTAGCACCAATCAGACCAGGGATGGCTGGCGGTAAGTGAGTATTAATGTCATCCGTGCATCATGTTTTGCAGAAGGACGAGGCTGCAATTGAATTTGCGGCCAGAGTCAAAGCCGACATTTGCAAGAAGGGTGGGCTGGTCGACCTGCCTTGGTAAGTAAGCGTTGTCACAGTATACTGTGTTAACCAACAATACCCTGCGGCTCCTTTTAGATCATTACGTAAACTAATTGGACATTGTACTTTAGATATTGTCAGCACTCTGGTGTGCTAGGATACCATTTTTGTGATTTCCTGCACCACAGGGATGGCATGATCAAAAGACCTGGAAACGAGTGCTACTTGAACAAGCTGATTGAGGATGAGAGAAAGTCTTACTCCTCCGGACTCCAAGTAGCAGACTGATAAGAAAATTCAATGGTACACATGACTCTGTTCATGCACTAGTGGTTTTTGAAGCTGTTTGGAGCACCGCTCGGAACTCTTTGTTTTCCCTTTCATTCTCTATTGCACGACTGCGTTTGTTTATTGAGAATCAAATTTGATTGTGAAACTGATTTGGAGGCTGTGAGAATCATCAGGTGATTATGTATACTTGTGGTGGTGAACACAGAAAAAGATTTAAGACCAGAAAAGTGATATAGTTTGTGAGGGTGATAACATACACAAATTGCCGGATTACAATCATGAACAAAATGCAGTGAATGATGTGCTATAAATTAAAATTCGGCGGGGACTTTGAGTGTGTGAGGTAACGGATGGGGGAATGGTTGGTAGGGCGAGAGTGAGCTGGGGCAGAGGGGAGAGAATGCAGGGAAACTGGTAGCTGCAGTTGGAGGGCAGTAAAGAGGGCTGGAGAGCGCCGAGAAGTTCGGTTTCATGAGAGGGTAACGAAGGTAGCCCTCCGGGGTGCAGACGTGCGCGTGTGTGTGCGGAACTGTAGACGGGGTAGTGAAGCTGAGACCGAAGGGAGGGACAGTGGCGACGGGGAAGTTCTGGGGCTTGAAGTCTGGCAGAGGCGAGCCAGACAGAGCCGTACAGTCTTTCAGCTCTTTGCAGCTCTTGGGGGAGAGTCTGGCATGCTCCAGTTGCTGCCTCTTGTTCTTGTAGCGCCTGTTCTGGAACCAGATCTTTACCTGCGTCTCGGTGAGGTGCAGCATAGACGCGAGCTGTTCCCGCTCGTGCGCCGTGAGATACTTCTGGACGGTGAAGCGTCGCTCCAGCTCGTAGACCTGGGCGTGCGAGAAGAGGGCCCGGGGTCGCCGTTTCTTGTGCTTGCTCGAGTCAATGGCAGAACCTGCACACGTCAGAGAAAAACAAACAGTGGTCAGTGACCATCTATGTTTCCACAACACCATCAACATTGGTTAGAAGTGCGGGAATATCTACAACGACTTGGTTGCTAACTTACCAGGCGAGCCTGCAGTGGACGATTTCGGAGACGCTCCGCAGCAATCCTCATTTCGGGTATCGTCTCCGTTCTTGCCGGTACTGTCGCGGCCGTCGTCTTCTCGCTCGCCGTCTGCGGCAGACTCGGTGTCCGAAGCCGCGCCGTTCGGTACGGCGGCGTGGTTGCGTTCTTCGTCCACGCTCGTGGCGTCGTCGTCGGGCTCGCTGTTGCAGTCTTCCGCAGAGCGCTGCCTCGGAGAACGTAGGGACGAGTGTAATATGTCCGATATCATGAATGAAGTGCAGCAGGGTCCGTGGGACCGGTCGTCGGCCTTGTAGCCCGGAGATGTAGATGCAGTGGTATCAGAGGTGTCCATATCCAGCATGGCACTACAAGGGGTAGCTTTGGTAGCTTTCGTTTCACTAAGTGCTATCGCTGCAAAGACGGTGTAAGTGATAGCCGAGCGTTGGGCACTCGTTCGTGTTTTATAGGGCCCGCGGACTTGTCCGCGCACGCGCACAACGCCGCGCTTTACGAATTTGGCGGAGAAATCCGATCCACCTGACATAAGAGGATGCGCTCATTTGTTCGCTATTTATTGTTTGTGTTGCGACACAACTCTCTGAAAAGGAGCTTGTAAAGCAGATACACGCAGAGCTTTGCATTTTTAAAATCAGATTCGTGCTTTCCCCAACTGAGATTTGTCTGCAGGTCAAGTTACACTGTGTCAAGTATGTGCATAGGAAATAGAATCTTTCTGGCAGCATCTTCCCTTCCTCTCCATCCCTCCCTCCCTCTCCACCACAGGGAGTGAAAAGAGGAAGACAATGGTCAGCACACGAGGGGGATTGGCCCTTATTAATGACTTGATTAACAGGTCCTTTCGTGCCCACCACTGCGTCGTGCCCCGCCTGGGCATTCACCGGCCGATCCACACAAATTGGCAGCTCGTTTCTCAGGCGAAACTTGATGCTTAGAAACCTGCCCCCCCTACACAGTAGGCATGGAGCAGTTCATTTTCTGTACATTGATTTGCACGGTTCTCATATTGTACTGAGACACAGTAGAAACTGCCCAGTGCCAGGAAGTGTGTGTACTCTGACCAAACTTAGGGTAGTCGTGGGAATACACGGAGCAGCGTGCTCCTGAATGTGTGTATGTTTTCATAGAGGCCTGTGGCCACTTGTGGAGTTTCCACAGCTAATGAGCCTGCTCTGCGCTCCGCACTTGAGATAAGTTGCGGGGAAAGGTACACTCCTGGAGCACCACACCGCAGTAACCAACGAGGCGTGGCAGAACTCTAGTCTCCCCGAAACCAGGAACATATATACTAGCAGCAGTGAGGGAGTGTGTTGGCCTAGCAGTATCAGTGTAGACATGGAGAGGTGTTTGCGCCGTTGAGAACACTGAATTATAACTGGCTCCTTTCGTGATCTCCGGTTCAGCAACTAGTGCAAACAAAAGGTGGCCCATTAGGAGGCAAGTGATCTGCATTAGAGTGTATCAGGCCTTGTTGTTCACCCTTACCTTGAGATATGTATATAGTATGAGAAGCTGTTAAAGGAGACTGGCAGAGCATATGGCGACCCCATACTGAACAAAAGGTCTTTGCGGTTCAACAGTGCAAAAATCAGTAGCTAACTCTGTTCTTCAAAAGAAAAGGTAGTTGACTGTGCATAAAGTAGGCATACTATTAGTGTTCTACATCAATAACCCCAGGGGGAAGACAGGGGTGGAACTACTGGTCTGTGCTGTGGGTGACGCCACTTGTTGCTTTCCACTTCACTGGCTAGTGGGCAGATCATGAGGAACACTTGAGTGGCTCCACAAAAGTGGGAAGGCGGACCTAGAGTACATGCCTCTTCTGCTGATATACCTGAAGCCACCGCCACGTGAGTATTTGCATTGTGTAAGTGGCCAATAGCCCTAAGTGGTCAGACAGTGTGGCTTCAGTGCACCTGCGCCCCTAGGATCCACCACTCAGCACCTAATAAGTTTCAGAGTGGCGCTTAATCAGTTTTGGACCTGCTACAAAGGGAGCAGTTAGAGCTATTAGTGAATTTGGCCAGGTGGGTGGTTGGGAAGATAGGCATTTTGGCAGCACTCCCAACTTCACATAGGACTAGCTGTACAAGCTGTCACCAGTGGAAGAGCAGTTCTATGGGGGCCATGAGATTTACTTTGAAGTAGCCTAATAATTTCCCTGAACCCGTTTCAGTGGCATTTGGCCAGAGGCCAGTCGAACAATCCTCTCGATAATGACAACGATGTGCAATAATGTGCACTCACTAAAGGCAGCTTCACTGCTTAGAGTGGCCAACAACAGGTTTTTGAAGCACACTCTTGCATTTAATCGGAAGAGACCCATAGAGGCTCAAGTAGTCCGCGAAAGGAGACTGTGTCGCTTTGTTTATAGTGTAGCTCTTTATTCTATGGAAGAATGCGAAGTGAAAGTGACTCTGTGAGAAAGATGCATATGTTTTTAAAAAGAGGGAGAAATAGGAGAGCACGTGCAAGCCCCAACTATTCAGTGCAACAGGGATTTTTTTATGGATTGGCGTACGTTTACATTGTATGTCTGTCATCTCCAATTTTGCGTCCAATTTGACGTATCAACACAGGCTTCATGATCAGCTAGCATGGATCCACAACAAAGTGTTAAAACGGTCGGCAAGCAAGCTTTAGGAACGCAAGCAGTGAATTTGGAGTGGCGAAATCAGCCTGGTGGGCAGTTTTATGGCTCACCCATTGCATCTACACCTGTGTGTGATCCAGTAGCACACACACACACACACTGATCAGCACCCAGGGCCAGATGTGATCACCCAGTCAGCCACTTGCTGCACCATTAGCACCAAACCCTTAGAAAATTATCCAACTGTAGAGTTAGTAAATCCACTTAAAAATACACATGTGTGCTCCCAAATTGAGCATTTATGGTGAGCTACAAAGTGTAGAGTATAGTGGAGATGTGTGGGATGAGGAGAGGGTGTTTTGGACTAACAAATGACGGTCTACTAGTGTACTTGGCTCTTCACAGGGAGAGTATGGAGAAGGCTGTACATCAGGGGAAGGAGGAATTCAGGTTCTTGGCAAGAGGCGGTCGGGAAATGTGAAGAGCATGCTTGTGGAGATTAGAGTGGACTAAGTGGCGCAGGCAGCGAGACTGACGCTGGGCCAACTCAGCTGTGGTCCACTCCCTTACAAGACATACCCGCCAAATGGAGCCAGGCATGAAGATTGGTATTCTAGGAGGAGCGGAATCTCATCAGCATGAATCACATGCTTCTTCTATGCACTAGAAACCCTGTCACGGGCTTGGCACCATTGTCCTTTCACTATGCATGTGTACACACACACAACTGATCCTAGGTACTTGTAAACTTCTTCCATTTCTGGAAATTCCTCTCAAGCCCAGGCAAGGCAGGACACAGTATATACTTACCTTTTGGTGCTAAGATGCCTCCAAGTTGCAGTGGGGCTGCTACTACTAAACTGAGCTGAGGCACAATACCTTGGGCACTTGCTGGGCCGGGCATTCCCACGCTGTGTTTACACAGCACTCACTCCAGACGAGTTTGTACTCTGGCTTCAAGTGGGCTGCTGGGCCACAAACACACCTATCATCTAGAGAGTCCTGTGAATCTGTGACCATAGTTTACCCAGGCAAAGATCCACAGGCCCAGATAGTACAGTGAGCTGGTTCTGCCATCACCAAACAGGCTCTGCCAGAGAATGTGACATTCCTTCACCTGACCCCTTAACAGGTGCCCTAAAAAGGGTAACGAAGGCTAGGGAGGGGACCCTGTTCGTTATTTAAGAGCACCATCATTACTAGGAACAGCGTCCTTAAGAGTGTGTACTGTTATATCTCTCCGTCATGGATCCAGCCACTACTGAGGCAGTGGTGAGTTTTGACGGCATTTTTGAGGCAGACAAGCCCAAACCACTACAGGGACACTGCCAAGGGTGTGCATCAGGCCAGCACCAGCTAAGAGCCACTTGAGGAACCCATATACCTCAAAGACCCGCTTTGGGAAAGAAATACTTGTGGTCGACCAACTCTCCCTGCATGCATCGGCTGTTTCCACCTCTGCTCGTGTGTGTGTGTGTGTGTGTGTGTGTGTGTGTGCACACAGTGCAGTGTTAAAAAACACTGCCATGGCAGTCTGCTTCCACTTTAACACAGAGTGTACACTTTGTTTCCAGACACACAACTCATCTGCACTCGTGAAAGAAGCTGAACGGAGTGGGCTGTTTTGTAATGGCCGTCTGCTAAGTGTGTCGGAATTGGTGTGTGAATGGTGAATGGAGGAGGTGTATAGCAACTGACAGGCTGCCAGTGGAGATTTTATTGGCCCAGCAAATGACTACTGTTCTGACCTCCTGTGAGCTGAAGTGGTAGGCAGTCCTCCAATCCTGCCCTGTATTCAAACCAACCACTTCATTATATACAACACACAGACCGACACTCTCGACCTACGCCCGCCGCCGTACTAACAAATGCATAATTATAGGCTTGCAGGGGAAGTATGTGTGTCGTGTGTGTAACTAGGTAAACGCGGTGGCTTGTGGACCAACTGTGAGTAGTTAAACACCCATTCAATGCCAAAAACACTACGTTTCCATGGAAGGGTGGCTACGTAAGGGCAAAGTGTCTTGAATAATGATATCAAGCCAGTCAGCCGCGATAACGGAATAAGTAAGTGTAACATTAAGCTCAGGCAGAAGAGTTCACTGCTAGGCCAGTAAGTGGGTTGCAGTAAACAAAACACTTGATGCTAAGTGGCACACACTACAACATACCAGCTAGGTAGTATACTCTCTCTCTATTGCCCACATGGCAGCTTGTAGGGTTGACTGAAGACCTTCACCCATATTATATTATTATTATTATGCATCAGTGTCCCATAAACACACACACACACTCATGCAAACATACACGCTAAAGTCTTCCTGTGCATTAGCAACGATTACCAAAGCGAGAGAGAGAGAGAGAGAGAGAGAGAGTGGTAAGTTTTGTTATATCAGTGAAAGGTAAACCCGTCAGAAACAACAAAAACCTAATGCACTGTTTTAGTAGGCCTAGAAAAGAACACAGCGTGGGACTGGAAGAAAACTTCGGGCAGTTGTTAAGTGCCGTTCGATGACTGCTGCTGAAAATGGAAGATATCGTTTTGTTAAGCGTATTTTGTTATGTTTGCTGCATACTCAGGGTCGCCCATACTCAGGGTCGCCCCTGCAAAGAAAACAAGCTGGTAACAACTCTATCACTTTATCACTTATCTACCACCTACACACACTTAAAATATAGCTGGCACACTCCCTGGCTGGGTGCAAAGTGACTCCTAATGAGGTGATAAATGATCGACACCCAACTGTCTGGACATGATCCACTCCATCAAGGCTTTGATGTTCCACACAATGGCTAGTGACATAACCATTTCCCCTGACTCCTTTTGAACTCTGTGTTTTTCATTTCCCTTTCATTACACCAACAACAAGCAGCAATGAAAGGCCTGTTTTGCATTCAACATCCCCACCTTTCAAATGTGTAATGGTGGTGGCTTTGGAGGTTTCAAGAGAAGATATCATGGAGTTAGGAGCAGGTGGTGGGGGGAGGGGAAACTTGGTCTGAACATAGTAGAGCAACGGCCACAGAGAATGCTGACTCCCAGAGCAGAATATGTGGGGCTATAGCAAAGGCATTTATATAGCTGGCCAACAAGCATATTCATGGATTTGAGGTTGCAGGGCTCCTAAGGAGTCTACGAGGAGATCTCAAGTGCTCATTGTGAGTATCCCCCCAGAGTTTTCACAGCCACACACTCTGCGGGTAGCAAAACACCCACAGCAACCGCTTCCCCTTTGTCCAAGTGCTACAGAGTCCTGGGAAAAGATGAGCCGACAAGCATCTGCCAGCCCCTCGTCCCCTTATCTCTCCCTCAAGTGGGATAAGAGCTGCCACAGCTTAGTTTGGAGTGGTCCTCATGGTCTCTTAGTCGCACCCCTAAGGGCGTGCTGTTTATACTGCAGAGGATTAGGTCACAACGTGTGGCCTTAGACTGACTGCAGTCTTTCAAGTGGGTATATACAAGTATCCAATTTATTTCTCTGACTTTGATGTGACAGCACCAACCTCTCAAGTGGCTGAAAACGGGGAGATGTCATTTCTTTTGATCTTTCAGACAACTGTAATTACTTCCCATGAGAGTGGGTGCCTTCCCATCACTAGCAGGATTAATTGTCAATGTTTGTAGCGAGAAAGCATTTTTAATGCGTTAATCTGCAAGCTTGAGCTTGCAACAAAGCCCGTTTCAGAGAAAATTGCTCTATTGGTTTTGACCTTCATCTCCCACTACTCATACTTTAGTTGTACACCCATACTTGTTCATAAAAGTTTACACGTAGCACCTGCAGCTAAGCTAGTAGAGGAGTTTTGAAGTTTTAATGCTATTGCATGCGGACCACAAGGGACGTATCGATTCGTGCATGCGCAAAATGTAATGATAGATCATGCAAAATCAAAAACCAAGCAAAAACCTTCCCAAAACAGTTGATGCGTGCAGTTTACTTATAGTTCACCATCGTCACTGACAAGGCGCGTGTCATCAGCCTCAGAATCCTTTGAGTAGCCAATATCCTCCTGCAGACAGACAGACAGACCTGTGAGACAGAACTATCGCGACACGACCAGCATTTACCTGGAGCTCACTGGCAGATATGGAGAGGGCCATTGGATCTCCAGTGGTCCCCGCTCGCAGTGTCTTGTACTGTCCCTCAAGGTTCACGTATCGCCTGATGAGGGGAGAGGGGCAGGAAGAAAGAAGAGATGGAAGAATTGTGAAGGGGAGGGAGAGCAGTTAAAAACATTGTCTATCGTAGGAGAGTTAGGGAGGAAAATTGAGGAGTACAGCACAATGTGGAGAAGGAGAGTAATTAAAAACATTGTCTATCGTAGGAGTGGGAAACTCACTTTCTATACCAGAAGAAGACAATGATAAAGGCTCCAACAACCAGGATGACCACGAGGAACAGAATCACCAGACCCACCCCAAGACCAGTTGCTCTCTTCTTCTCCTTTTCATCATCGCTGCCGATGAACTTTTCCGAACCAGGAGACGGAGGTGCTGCGTTGTGGAGAAGACATTAATATGCTGTCTCCAAACCAAAAAAAGATCTTGTACATGGGCTCTTCCCGACCACGAAATTCACTAACCCCTCAAAAGCTACGAACGTGTATTGAAGCGCTCGTTCCTTCTCTCTTACTTCCAATGGTGACGTCGATGACGATACTGTTCCTTCCTCCCTCGTTGGAGGCAGTCACTCTGACACTGTAGTGACCGTCGCTGGCGTACGTGTACCTCTGTGTACCCGCCGCGTCCAACCCCTTTATCTCAACCTCGTCTGATTCGTCACCAAAGTCCCAAGTGTAAATAGTCTCCTCGGTCAATCCCTGCATTGACGTTAAACGATGGGATCTTACTCGGAAACCCAGGGGGAAATTATTTGTTGTTGACGCAAAGTTAGAAAAGTAATGACCTTTTCTTGTGTGAGTGAAAATGTGAGCTCTTGTCCTGCTTTGCTCTGGTCTCCCTGGACACCTATGGAAAGACCCTGTGCCAGTACCTCTGGAGGGAAGCAAGGTGGAGAAGAAGGGTTAAAAGAACGCCTACGTTTGCAGCTAAAACGGGGTTAAACGGCGGAAATGCAGTCATTACTCTAACCTCCGATGTGTACGATGACTGACATGGAACTTTTCCCGATTGGGTTGGAGGCCGTCACCCAGACTGTGTAGACTCCATGATTGGCGTAGGAGTGAGTCAGGACCTCCACCCTGTCGTGTCCCGAGGTGGTCTCCACTCTCCCGTCACCAAAGTCCCACTCGTACAGAGTAGCAGAGCCCTACGCGAGACAAGGTTAGACTCGTCTCCCGTGGGACCGAGACCTATAGTATACGTTCACACACCTCTCCTATGGTGACTGTGATGGTGATATCGTTTCCAGGCTCACTGTAGTCTCCGGTCAAGACCACTGACTGTATTTCTGGAGCTGAGAAGATGAAGCATGCAAGCAATCACAGCATTGCTGCATTTTACTCCAAAACACGAGTTAGACACCCTTTGGTAGTTGCACGTGTTGTTGTTCATACCTCCGATGTAGATTTCTACTGAAGTGGTTTCACTTCCTAGTCTCTCAGGCATGAAACCCATTGAGGGAGAAACTATTCAGCCGTGTGCAAAAACACTTCTCAAAGTTTTGCAATTATTGTCCAGTGGAGCATGGCTAAACTGAAGGTTTCAGGGACATAATGGCTTATCAAAAGGACCCAGTACAAGAATACAATCAGGCTTCCCGTTATATCCTAATAGAGAACACCAAGAACCTCACCCCCAATGAAAATCATGAGGTTTATGGAACTGCTCCCTGCTGGGTTGGAGGCCAGCACACTGACGGTGTAGCGACCAGTGGTGCTGTAGCTGTGGGTCTGGGTCGCCATGCTCTCCAGTCCAGCGCCAGAGATGACGATACCATCGCCAAAGTTCCACGTGTAGCTCGTGGATTTGACCCAACCCTGTGGAACACAGGAGGGCGTAAGTGTGCATTGGGTGGCTGAACAACAAAGAGTTGCCAGGGCATTGGCAAGGCCAACAGCACAACTACACCCAAGGCAACTATCTTCTAACAGAGCTGGATTCAAACATGTGCCACTGCAGTTTAGGCAGAGTGCTCTATATACCCCCCGAGTTATAGCTTGGCAAGCAGGGCTCAACACAAGACACACAGCAACTCTAGCATCGAGAGTCGACAAACTGTGGATTCTGCTGGTGGGTGTTGTGTGAGAGACGTACGAGTTGCTGCATAATGACAAAGGTGATGTTGCGGTTGGAGAGGAAGACGGAACTGGGCCCTCCTTCAATCTGTATCCCCAGTCCTTCCGGAGCCACTGGCGGACACGGTACATGGCCAGCCAGGAATTGCGAGCCAAGCAGATCGTTACACATGTCACCAACCACCTTACGATACCTGTAGAAAAACACACATGCACTCTCATCATTGACCTCTACAGGGTTTGTTTCCACACTGCTAAACGGTGCAGAGCTACGAAAACTGACAGCCCAATACTCTGCAGCTACTCCTGCAAAGTATTGCATACCCCCCTCCCTGTAGGCGTATGTATGTACCCAGATGGACTGAGGTAGTATGCTCCCTCGGTGCAGTTGTCTGGCGGAGGAGGGAATCTATCAACACACCTCCCACCTGGTGCCTCCAGTCTGTACCCTACATCACTGCCAACACACACACACACACACACACACACAAAGAAGAACAAGGCACTCAAAATTATAGCAGAACGTGTTGTTGTGTCAAAAGTAGATAGCTATATTATAAATGTCACCATAAAGTTTTGTGCACACTACTAAATACAGTACATGAAAACTTGTCTACTACTATAACTATGCAAGACAAGATTACCATTCGTAGTCTTCGCGACTGCAAGGACAGGAGGCATTGTTAATGGCTCGCACATAGTCAGGATCGATGTAGCAGCAGGCGGTGCTATTTCGCCTCTCATATGTCTTCTCCACCCCAAGTACACACCTCCTGTCAGTTCTCTGCATTGTACACAACAGATACAGTACATGGCAGAGTATGAGAGAGGAGAGAGAGGAGAGAGAGAGAGGAGAGAGAGAGAGAGAGAGAGAGAGAGAGAGAGAGAGAGAGAGAGAGTTGGTTTACGTGTGTGTGTGTGTGTGGCTTACCCCATCTGAAGGAAGCCATTCAAAGTAGTCGTTGGGGTAGGAGCACTGGTCTGGGACGGCGACGGAAAAGTCCAGATCAATAACAGAGCCATGAGAAGGGAGAGACGCCACGCAGGTAGCCAAAGAGCCTGAGTAAAACAGAGTCAATATTATAGTCGCGGCCATCGACAACAGAGACAGAGAGTCACATTGTTGGAGTAGCTCCCTAGAGTTTGTGTACGTAACAGAGCCAATAGAGTGAGAACTCAAAGAAAGAGAAGAGTAAATCCCTAGCAAGGCCCTGCTGTGTGAGCTTCACTACTTGCAGGAGGAGTATATACAGTAGTGAGAGTGCTCCGTACGTGACACGTCTGGATTTCTCCCCCTTCTGTGACAGGAGCCCGATGAGTCTCATTGGTGTGGTGGTGAACACGTAGCGGGTCCAGGTGACTCCTTCGTCACACGACCACCTAGAGAGAGTGGGAGATGACAGAAGGGACACTAAGTACACTGCCCACCTGCACGTGCATATGTACGTGTGCTGTCAGCAACTTTCAATGTGTTCAACTACTAGATTACCGACACGGAAGGTTTAATACGTACATTGCGTGTGCACACGTGTGTGTGTGTGAGTGTGTGTGTGTGGTGTGTGTGTGTGTGTGATGGAGGTGGTGTAAACGTACGTGACAAAGTCCAGAGGGTCCACCGTAGTTCTCTTGGGAGCCATGACTATGACAGAGCCAAGAGCCACCATCCGGAAGGTCCAGTGTCCTCTCTCCACCTGGGACCACGAGAATCCTCCGTCGCGAGAGATGTACAAACCCAGGAGATCTCCCTCGCCACTCAGACCTTCCCCAACATTTCCTGGGAGGGAGGGAGGGAGGGAGGGAGGGAGGGAAGGAGGGGAGACCACACAATAGCACCACTGCCAAACACACCTATGAAATAAACTCCTTTGGGGGAAAATGTGTATATATATTAGCCACTCTATCTATCATATCGCATGCACTTGGGAGCTTTGCTATTGTAAGCACCGTTGCCAAACACATGAACCCCAATGGGAAATAGTATACACAGCTCTTCGTACATTCGCCACCGTTCAGAGTCTATCGCAATGGTGTGTTTTGATGCTGCATGCACTTGGGAGCTTTGCTACGATGTCATTGTACATGCTGAATGTATTTCCGCTGTTACATAATTGTAAATTTATTATTAAGCGCTCCAAAGACTTTGGTGTATTATGATATGGTTGTAGACACTATAGTATGCGAGTGTGTGGGCGGGCGACCCTGTCAGAGCATCCAAAACAAGTTGCGCAATCTTGACTTCGTAACAAGGGCCATGCACAGCCTCTTACAAGAGTAGGCATTGAGGAATCCACTGTGTGGCTGTCTGCCAAATGCAGGTGGCGGGCCTTAAAAATCTAATGAGCATAATGATATAATTTGGCAGAAAAAGATGCACATACATTTAAACCACTCAATAGACAGTGTAAGGGAACGTGGGTGTGGGTTCGGAGGTATTACCACATGTTTACCTTGAGCCATAATGAGACCGACTGCCGATCTCTTGGAGCTGATGGAAGAGTACCCGAGAGGTGCATCGGTGTCCATGCGGAGATGGAGGGAGCAGCCCTGGTGAAGGACAGAAACTGTGGTAATTGCTTTCTGATTACAGGGACTTCCCCTGCTAACCGGCAGACAGAGAGTCGGCTGGCCGTCTGAGTCCACGGGAGGAGCTGCTAATGAGCGCCAGCGACTTCCCTTGTTGTAGGTGATGACAGTCTTGACATTGTCTCCATCGTACACGTTAACCATGTACATCCCATCCATACCTCCCACCTAATACACAACAGAATATATACACTATTGTCACTCTCTCCTACAACAATACACTGCTTTCTACACTTATTCTCTCCTACAAAGACGGAGGTAAAGGGGGCACAAAAACAGCTTTACTCCTCCCTAACTGGGCCGACGAATTGTCTTCCGTTATACCTTCGACCCCCTCCTCCTCTTCCTCCTCCCCCCAGTGAAAAATGTGACTGACCACGTGGATATCAAAGGAAGGCTTGTCATCGTTTCCCCAGTCCTCAGTGGCCACCACGTGGTCCAGGGACAGACTGTAGTAGACTCCCTCCGCGTCAGAGATGTACAGATGTATGTCGCTGCTGTTGGCGTGCTCTACTGCCAGGAACACTCGGTGCTCGCTGGCGTCCATCACTGCATAGTGCTGCAAACACACCACATGAAGGATCAAGCGGTCAATCGTGGTAATAAAAGTGGCTAAAAGGGGCACTATAACTCCAAGTGTAAAAATGGAAGTTAAGAGCAATAGTTATTATAAGTGTGAGACTTACTGCTTGTTCCATTGGCTCGAGGAAGACGGCCTGCCGGAAAGGGCGTCGGTAAGCGCTGACCCAGAGCGGTACGGGGTTTGATTCCGTGATCCTCTGGACCAGGATATACTCGTGGTTCAAGACTGTGGAGTTGATTTTTATCGGTCCCAGCCCCGGATCCAGTTCCACGGTCTCGGTCTCGGAGTACGGGTCACGGGAAGTCATGAGGACAGCGTGGGTGTCTGTGAGAGAGGGGTAACTGTAGTATTAAAAGAGGGACTGGCAATAATTGGTAATCAAGGAGTAAAACCCTGGCACAGGAAATGAAGGCACACGCCGCCTTGCATTCCCAGCAAGTATGAACACTTTTCTCACGGCAAACAGCGTAAGAAATTAAAAGCATCGGCGATTGCTTCCGGTTCAGCCCATGCCAAGTAAGCACAATAATCAGCCACTGCCCACCGCCTGCGGGCCTGTGCATTATGCTCACCATTGATGTCCTTCTCAAAGTACAATGAAGTGTTGGACTCAAACTCTTCATCCAGTACCCTCCACCGGTAGCGACTGATGTTACTCCCCATGAACACCCAGGTGTCCCCAAGGTCTTTGGACACGTACAGCTGTATGGCAAATAAAAATAATGCGAGTGGTTTGGAGGAAGAAGGGGCACTACAACAGTCATTAGTCTCATAGACCACAGACTCACATCTACTCCAAAAACAGCAAAACATTACTTGATAAGCCACCCTCAACAGGGCTGTTTGAGTAAACCCTGGAGTCATTATACAATCCCAGCACACCACTACACATGGGGAATATATGGGCTCTGGAACACTCACCATTTCTATGGTTAAAGAAGGTTCCTACTTCACATAAATCATAGACAATGGACTACAAGAAGTGGGCAGGGCTAGGGGTTAGACTAGACAATGGAAAGACAATGGAAAACATGTTTGTACTTGTGTGGAGGTAAACCGTGATGCAATGGCCCAAGAAGCCAGTAGAGAGGCAATGTTCACGCACCGACTGTGTATCAGTCTCGTAGCCCATGATGTGTTGGGAGAGGGCTCCCTTGTCTGAGTTTGGAACAGTGCGGCCCTGGTAACGGATATTGTTTGGCTTGAAGTCGAGTTCCCGCCCTTCAAAAGTGACTCCCTCGTCTCGAGTCACAAAGATCTTGTTCTGGCGAGTGTCGGCCATCACAAGCTGGAGTGAAGGAGGGAGAAATGACACAGTAGTACACAGGGAAAAATAAGCAGAAACAGAGTGTTTCTGTTTGGTTTTACCTAAAATAACACTCAAAAGTAAACAATTAATGTCACATCAACAAACATATCACTACGCTCGAGTGTATTATACTCACGTATTGGTCAAAAGGGCTGACATAGTACCACGATATGACTGCACTACTGTCGTTGAACTTATAGCTGTCATTGGTGAAAGTCACGCCGTAATCAGTTGATCTGGAACATAAAGGAGTAAATAAAATCAACCAGAGAGAGGAGGAGAAGGAAGAGGAGGAGGAGGAAATAGAGGAAGAGGCCCACCTCCAGAGACAGCTGTCAGTGGGGTTGCTGCGGCGTGTCATCGTGACAATGAAGAGGACTTCCGACGGATGGCCAGTCCAGTGGACCAGAGCAAAGTAGTGTCTGTTGGTGCCATTGAGACGAACCGTCGTTCCAAAATCAGTGCCATTTGCAAATTGCCGTTTGCTGCGACTGCAAAGATGGAAGAGAGAGGGAGTGCAGTAGAGAGTAGAGAGTGGGTGGAAGGAGGAGCACAGGATCCGGACATGTGTTTGTGTATGGCAGGTGTGGGCGTATGAAGATGATGATTAAGGGTGAGAGGAGGAAGTTATGCCACATGGCCCTTGGTGCCAGAGACAGAGACAGTAATAGTAATCTACTCCAGACCCACAGGCATCTGGCTATCAGAATGAGCATTTACGATCTGTAGTAGTGGGAAGCCCTATCCAATGGGAAGCCCTATCCAATGGGCATCATGTCTGTAGAGTAAACAGCAACACCTCTGTTTTCTACAGAAGTTTTCTTGTGAAGTCTGGTGCAAGGCACCAGAGCCAACTGTACCAATAATAGCTACTCATTGAACGGAAAAAGTCAATCCTAAAGCCAAATTCAATAGGAAGGCATTTCAATGAGAATCATCAACAAAAGAAGGATGGCTGGTTGCCAACCAGACTAGCCTGCTACTCAGGATCACTGGCTTGTATAAGCGGAACTGCATTACAGCCAATTGCATAACACTTGCATAATGCACCAGCGAGCTAACGGAATACGAGGCCTGCCATATTCCCCTGTACTCCACAATTGCTGAGTGCAGAGTTGCAGCAATGTAGCATCACTTGTCCTCCTTCCACAACAAGAAAGTAGTAGTATATACAATATCAGCACACGTGCACAACGACCACGATTTACACAGTGGGAGCTACGTAACTCACGCGGCAGCAAAATTGGACCCCAGGACGCTCTTGGCGATGCTGCCGAGGTGGTCGTCTGGAGATATCTCCACGGCCATCGGCTCCATGAGGTCCTCCGCAGCCCTCCGGTCCACGATGACGCCCAGCACCAGTGGACAGCAGATGCACAGTGCAAGCAACAGCCCTTGCAAGGCAGACATTTTCCTGTGCTCAAACAGAAGGAGGTAGACCTTCGCCTTCAGCTACAGTTAGTTGTTTTTTTTGTTGATGACAAACTGGCGGAGCATTTTATGCTGCCGCGAGGCTTATTGCGCATGCGCACACTTGTTGTTTTCCCAAGGAAGAAAAATGGCAGCCGAACGGGGGGCATCGTTTGCTGGCTCCGGAGACCCGAGCCCGGAGGAGATGAATGGGATGGCACAGCTGCTGGCATGGTTCTTGATCAAGCACAAGTTTTATAACCGCCAGCGATACACCAAGTGGCACACCGCTTTCTACGGTATGCGGCGTGCGGGCGTCACACCTCACTTTCCCGCCCCTTTTCGTTTTTCTAGCCGTGTGTGAGTCCGTCTCTGGGGTAATGACGAGTGAGACGTACCACCTCCTGACGCTGGCGTCGCTCCTCGTGAAGGTACACTCGGACCAGGAGACGACGCGGGTGTCCCTGAAGAGAATTGTGACACTCCTGGAGCGGGCCATCCTCTTCCCAGAGCTAGCTGAGCTCAGGGGCGCACTGCAGGTCCTTCTGGACGAGGCCAAATGCCAGGTGAGGGTGATTATATTTTATAAAGTGTGTTATAATCGTACCACAAGTGTTTACTTGTGGGTTTGCCCAATAAGAGTCAGTGTCCCGAGGATCTAATATCTGGCATTGGGTCAGACGGTATCTGTTGTTCCCCAGGCTGTGCTGCAGTGCTGTCCTGCTGACTCCCCTGCCAATAAGGATGGATGGACACTGTTAGATGAGTATTTCGGCTCCAAGCAGGACTCCATTGATTCCGTAAGAAGCCACTGAAGTAATTAGGTTTCAGCCCTCCTGTAAGCGCTGCGGAGATGCCTGGCGTTAACTGATTTGTAGTCCAACTTCATCCTGCACTAACGTACTAATGACTGTTGTGTAAACTTTGGAAGCCAGACAATTTGCACTACCCCTAGCGCTAGATGTTCGTGATAAGGACTTCCTGTCCAATACTGGTGCAGCCCGCAGCCCACAGCTCAGAATATTCCTATAATATAGCACCAGGTTGTTTGAAAATGCACATGCCCCCTATTATGTATGTGGTTAATCCAATTCACAAATAAAGTTAGATAAGAACTGTTCTATATACACGAAAACTAAACGGCTCACACTTTCACATGTATAAGTATCACTGCCTGTTCCCGTTCCCACCATAAAAGGAGGTTGGTCAGGAACTCAACCGACTGCTGAACGGATCAGAGAACAAGTCCAACGCTGCAGACATGGACAGGTTTTTAGCAAAGCACAGTCTGTCGCAGTTCACAGAGGTCCTGAGGGAATTTCTCACTTCTGCCGTCACCCACCTTTCTTCTTATCGCGTCTACAATGTGCGAATAGCACTGCATGACTGCCACGTCAGTTATCAATTTCTGTTTTTTCCCCCAGAATTTTCACGACCATATAAAGATCGACTGTAGTAACCATCCCAAAGTCACTGCTGTGATAAATGGAAGAGTTGTTCAGAGTGGGCAACAGAAACCGGCAGACGAGGAGGAAGGGGGGAGAGAAGAGGTGGAGACCGATGGAGATAGAGATGGTGACAGAGTGGGCGAGGAGGTGCAAGGTGTTGTGCAGGAGACACAAGAAGGGAGAAAAGGTTGGGAGGGAGGGGAGAGGGAAGGGGAGGGGGACGATGAGGAGGAGGAGGAGGATGACGAGCAGGAAGGAGAAGAATATAGTGGGAGCGAGGAGGAGTTAATTGATCACAAAAATGAAGAGGAGTTGGAAGATGACTCAGATTTTGCGTATATGACTCCCTCAAAGAGACCAAGGTAGGTATATATGCAGCCTAGCCATCATGTGCTCTATGACTTTGCAGGGGACAGGAAATTAATTGGGAATCCAGCAGTGATCTAACAGATGTGACCACACCCCCCAGCCGTTTGCCTGGTATGTATAATTATATCTCTTGTTTGAAATTATGACTCCTCTTGCTTTATCCCCCCTTTCCTTGCATAGAGAGAGACCCGAGAGGGCTTGTCATTAGAAGCAGGAACTCCCTCATGAACAGTTCTCCGTTGAAAAACGTCTGGAGTGTCCAGGAAACAGAACAGCTGCTGAAGGGGGTCAAGCAGTTCGGTGTGGGGAAGTGGAAAAGGATTCTGGACCATTTCGACTTTGCTCCGCACAGAACCTCTGTAAGTCTGAAGGACAAGTGGCGAAACCTCCAAGGGCGGAAAAAGTAGACTGCTGCTTTTGAACTCCCCCATACTTGAGCTGCTTTTCATTATAATATATACTCTGACTGTCATCATAATATTAACCCTCGGCGCGCATGACGGTTTGCACTTGTCATTATAATAATTATGTATCACAGTTGTTCTCTTTATTTACTCAATTTATATAGCATCACATCGCACCATTGTTGATTTTGCTTGTCATACTCTTAATCAGTGTCAGACGGAAAATATTGTTAAAACTTTTCATGTAACTTCTACAACACAATTGGTATGTGGTGGAAATATGAAGAGGGGTGCATGAAATATGGTGGTATATGGAGTATATATAACATCAGTCTTCATGGTCCAGAGTCCTGTATAATCATAGAGAGTGTGGAGAATCAGATAAATCTTACAGGGAGAAGGGGTTGAGACACTCACACACTGCAGAGTCCGGCGTCTGCAAGAGAGAACTGTGGCTGGGTGTCCTGGGGCGCAGGGTCGTACCTGTGCAGTTGTCGTCTCCACACGCGCATCTGGCCCTGCCACGATCGAGTGCTGCACAGGTTGTACTTGTCGGGTGTTACCGGATGAGATTTTTGACGTTTCCACCTGTGACAAACATTGCTGTGTGTTTACATACATATCTACAGATGAAGTATGTGTGGTATTTGAACTAGAGAGGGCCCTAAGTAACTTGGAAGGCTTCACTTTATTTTACCCATATTATGGCATTCTACGCATTAACAAACAAAACGTAGTGGAGTAACAAGGACTTTCTTGGTGTACTTACTTTGGAACCATCTGAATGTATCTCTCGTAGCCCAGCGTGTTCTTCCCAAAGTCAATCTGCTTCTGTCTCTGTGCTAATCGGTGTCCGTCTGTCAGTCTTTCTCCGGGTTGTTTTGGCTGCCGTGTGGGGCTGTTGCAATATACAGTCGTGAATTACATGGAGGGGTGGGCCAGTGGCAAATGTATTATGACTAGCTGCTGGAGTGTGATACCTTGCCTGCTCCTCAGTTTGCATTTCAAACAGCCTTCTCTGGACCAGACCTGCTTTTCCATGGATGCTAGAGGAGGGGGGAAGGGTGATTTGTAAAGCACCCAGCAACATTATGCAGCAAACCCTTATAGCATACAGTGTATATACACTACAGCAAGCATTAGGCACGCACTCACTTGCCACTTTCGGGAGTTGTGTCACAAGTAGTGGGGGACGTGGGGTGAAAAAAGTTCTTGAACTCAGTCGGTGTCTTCATGATGTCAGATGTGACGAGTCGCTTGACGGGGCCCTCGGAAGGAGAGAGACAGCGGTCACCCAGCGTCCTCTTGGCGTTCCTTGTCACCATCTTGGCGTAGGAGGCGCCGTTTACCAGGTCGCTCTCACTACCCGCGGAAGAGAAATGGGCGAAAGGAAGAGTCGTCGTTTCGTTCTCCTTGTCCTCCGTCGTCTGTCCGACGACTGGGTACTCGGTCAGGTCCAGGAGCGCCGCGGAGAGGGAGGAGTCCGGGCGGCGAGGGGCTTTGCGACTGGTACGAGCGGACACGGGGGCGACTGGAGAGCTTGTTTGTTCTGCTTCTCCTGCTTTATCTCGGCCGCTCTGTTCCTGTAGACAGACATTGGGTCATTAACTAATATCTAGACGATCCCCTGCTGTTGAACACAGAGGAGATCTGTGAGAGAGAACTGGACCCTACCTGAGCTCTCGAAGAGTCTCCTGATCGCCGCTCAACTCCGCATCCACGATGTCGCTCCAGTCTATGTGCTCGTACTGCAGCTGCAAGTCCATGATGGTGGTATTTCTCCCCGGTCTCAAGTACAGCCAAAGTAAGACAGGGCGACGACAAGAGAAGACTGATCTTGTGTTGTGTGTCAGTTTTCCCTTTCCCGCGCCGATTTACCGCCCTTTTTCATAAGTTTCCCTGTGCGCATGCGTGCCTGATTTCGCTGTTGAACTCTGACCTGGTGCACACGTGTATCTACCGTTCTGCTGAACACTAAGTCTGGCTGTGTGATGTCGGTGACTGAGTGTATCAGAGAGTTCTGCAGTGGATCTGCCTCACAGGATGCACCAAGGGCTCTGGCCAGAGGTGACTCATCTGCCTTTCTTAGCTGGGGCCGCGAGAATTCTGTCTCTGTCTTGGCGTGCAGACATTACAAATGAGAAGACTGATCTCCTGACCATCGTGAGGCGCTGGGGTCAGTTCAACCACTGCAGCCTTGCATGTAATTGATCATGGGACCACTGTACTGTGCGTGAAGGGAGTACCTGGCAAACAGTGCAGTGGAGCTGCGGTGCCAGGGAACTAGGCTTCTGTCAGAGACACTGATCAACCTCTCCTCTCGCCAGCTACCTCAAGACGATGGTGAAATGCAGGCTCAATTAAACACTTTGGGCGTGATTTTATTTGTGTGCTCTCCAGTGCACTACCTGGTCGCATTCTACTGTGACAGACTCAAAGACAAGGTGGCAGTGCTGCCCTTTGTTCTCCGTGGACTGCATGCAATGGTGAGCCGAGGACACCCTCTTCACCCTCTAACTCTCTCTCTATGCTACTGTCACAGGTGGTCAATCAGAGGGTGTCCAGTGATGACGTCGTCGTCATCTCAAGAGCAATATACAGCCAAGTATACAATCAGGTCCCTTTTCGAGCATACTGTTGTGCTGTATAAACTTTGTTTTCTCGTGCAGTCACTCCCTCAGGGGGAGAGAAGACTGGTGTACACAATACTCGACTACTTTCTCTCTGACTATACTCAAGGTTGTTGGATGTCCTACATTATGTGATGGATTTGATGGTACATGTTGCCCGTGGTATTATACAGCTGTGAAAGAGATGGGAAGTGAGTTTGTGCTGGGTTACATCCAGACCATGGACGGAGAGAAGGACCCGAGGAATCTTGTCATAGCCCTGAACAGTGTCCACAGAATCGTCCTCTCCGTACCATTTGGTGAGACTGGCCCACAGCCAACACTAAGTTAAGCATTGCTCTGTCTCAGAGGTGTTGGCTGAAGATCTATTCGAGGTCGTGGCATGCTACTTTCCCATTGACTTTACACCAGTAAGAGAATCTGTTTTTCACCCACAACCTCAAACCTCATTGTCGGTTCCAGCCTCCTGATGATCCTCACGTCGTCTCCAAAGAACAACTAGTGTTGACTCTGAGGAACTGCCTGACTTCAACCCCCAAGTTCACTGAAGTATATATCACTGTTTCCCCAGCACCACAATCTCTCTTTTTTTAACTTCCTCCTTCCCTCTCTCCATTATCATAGTTGTGTCTGCCTCTGATGCTGGAGAAGGTGACTTCTGACCTCCTGTCTGCCAAGCTGGACTCTCTGCTCACCATTGCTGCTGGATGCCACACATTTGACCCCAAGGTCCTCCACACTCACCTTCAACCACTGTGGACTGCCATCTGGAAAGAGGTAAGCAGTGGTCACAAGCACATAGGGTTGTGTACATAGGAGAATCCTTTTGGGAATTCTTTCTCTTCACTTTCTTGCATTCTTTCAACTTGTGTGCTATGCACATGTTGATAGGATGAGAATTGTTGCATTTACTTTTTTCTCTCCAGATCTTACAGCCAGTTAGCGACGAAGTTGAGGTTGTAAAATTTTCCCCATACTGTTCTGCAACACTTTACCCTCATGTTGTTGGCTATAGGCAGCTGGGGCACAGTGCCTAGAGTCCATGTCACAGTCACTGGCAGCAGGAACCGGAGGAGAGCGTGTGGGAGAGTTCACTGAGATGGTGTTGAAAGGTGAACAACGCAGGATTCATGTGTGTAAATAAAGTCTTCTTTTTTTCACTAGCTCTAATTTTTTTCGTATTCCTCCTAAAATTTGATGTGGCAAACAAAAGAGTATTAAGGACGCAATTGCGTCTGGGTATGTAGTACTATTGCTTTGCTTACACGGCCTATCTGTCCGTCAGACTGCAGCCGTCACCTCATGGATCTCGAACTAAAGTTGCTGGGACCAGCATCGCGAGCACTCCATGCGGTAGCCAGGGGGTGTGGCCAGGCATGTCGGACCATCACTGCTGCCTCTGTCCCCCTGCTCCTGAATCAGTTCCACAGTCGCTCTGCAGTGAGACCTCCAAACTCTACCCTCTCTCCATCCACCCATACATAGCCTGTTGTAGGTGACTCAGAAGAAGGCATTTCTTCAAGTCTTGGCCGAGTTTATCAACATTCTCCATCGCTTCCATGGAGAAAAAGGTATAAAACTCATATATACAGCTGTCTGTGTTTGGGCGTGCTGATCAAAATCTACTGGCTATATATAATATACTAGAGCCTTGTCCACTGGACAATCTCAAGACAGAGCTCATCTCCCTGGTTGTGTCCTCTGTGAGGGGAGGGACTCAGAGTCTGGTGGAGACTGGATTGGAAGTCTGTCGTGGTTTGCTAGTCCTCAGAGGCTTCCTGGACGATAAAGAGGTCACGTAGTGGTCTACTTCTACTTGAGTCAAGACTCTTTTTCTGGTCCTGCAGGTTTTGATGTTGGTTGAGCATGTGAAGCAGCTGGCATTGTGCAGCAGTGAATCTCTAGCTGTGAGGGAAAGATCGTGCGACGTGCTCGGCTGCGTGTCTCAGTCCTACCCCCACATAGCCAGGGAGGAAATTGTTCCACCTTTATTGCAGCGCTTCACACCAGGCATGGAGCACGACTATAGTTGGTTGGTTGGTTGACTTGCATGCTTAAAGCAGGTTTGCCACTGGAGACGGATCACATGGGAGTACAGTCGGAGACTATCAGTTTGCCAGACATGTCCAGGGTGTTGGTTTCCCTATCGAGCTCTCAAGAGCTACAGGAACTGACTCTGCCTGTCTTTGTAGCTGTGTTGGAGCAACTGTTGTTGACAACAGAGCTGGTTGAAACCTCCGAGGCCGTGGTAGGTCACCTGAGTCAGCTGGTGGAGAACACGGTCTCTGGGGGTGGTAGTGTGGGGACAAGGTTTGTGCACAAGGTGGTTGCAGAGAGGATTTTGGTTCTCTGTGTTCTCCCGAGTCTCCCCGAGAGCTCAGCTGGACGTATGTTCACAGAGAAGGCGGTGCTCCAGCAGTGCCACTC